ATAAAGATGTTGGATTTGAACACATGACTAACGAGAGACAATTTCGCACTTAAGCTACTTGCTAACTGCCTTCGTTTTAATTAAAGAGATGCATACACACATATAAATATATAGGCTACATCAACATACAATGTCTTTTTGCTTGCAAAGCCTTTTCGTTTCGGCGTATGTTAATAGCGTATGTGTTGTTCCCGCAATTTGGTTGTAAAGAAAATTTTCGATTCTGGAACATTTTTGTGTTGGTGTGCACCCAACACTTTTCCAATCATTTCCAATATCTCGCAATCACAATCTCGTTCACCTTTGTGCGCCTCCTGTCAAGAAGGCATCGCAACCCGTGGTTGGTTGTGGCGCGTAACGCCTTTTATGGTTCAATAAAAATGCTACTGTTACGATACATACAATGCGTCTCCAATTTCAGTAGACACAACAAAACAAAAAAAAAAACAACAACAACAGCTCATCCTACACATGCTTGATATGGGGGAAAAAAATGCGGCCAGAGCATCGCCATTGCACACTTACCATACATTTAGTGAATAGCCGCCAACAACGACAACAAAAAATTAGGTTAAATTGTAGGTCAATAGCCGCTCTTAGGTTATTGTAAAGTGTAATCGTCCAAGCCGCCGCAGCGCAAACTAGAATTTGTCAAGTATACACCTGAGCGTGTTTATATTTAGTTAGGCATGTATGTATGTATATGTATATAGGTGTGCAAGTGTGTGTGCATATTAAAAATAGAAACCGTTTCAATAAACGTAGGAAACATTAAAACGGCACTGTATTACAACTACAGCGATTTAATGAGGTGGAAAGTAAGCAAGAAATTGGTAAATATGTGGAAGTTTGTTGCACAATTTCTTTATTAACCTTATGGGTATATAAACAGATTTTAACACGTATTTAAAACCAATAAAAAGGTTGTCCGTATTAGGAATAACACTAACCACTTCGGCTACCCTAAGTGCTCACATGCTGCAAATAAAGTAAATACGTAGATAGAAAACAATATAACGCAGAAGAGGTGAAGTTACATAGAGAGCATTAGCTTGAGATAAAAGAAAATATAGCGCAGATTATGATCGGATAAAAATAAAGAAAAAACGTTAACTTCGGCTGCACCAAAGCTGAAATACCCTTCACATGTGCATAGCATAAAAGGATCTTATCTTGTTCAATTTGTATGACAGCTATATGCTATAGTGGTACGATCTGAATAATCTTTGGCAAGTTTTGTTAATATATCTTGTCAATCTGAGCAACTTTCCTGGATATTGTAGTGCTGCTTTGAAGATTAATCATGCCAAATTTTGTTAAGATACCTTGTCTAATAAAACAGTCAATACATGAACTTGATTTTGATCTTCAATTTTTATTTCAGCTAAATACTATAGTAGTCCGATATCGTCGGTTTCGACAAGTGAGCCGATCTTTGGCGAGAAAAGGATGTGCGCATAATTTCAAATCAATATCTCAAAAACTGAGGAACCAATTCATACATAGACAAACAGACGAACGGATGAACAGATGGACAGACAAACGGACATGGCTTAATCGCCTTAGCTATCCATGCTGATCATTTATGTATGTACTTTTTAATAGTAGGTACAAACTTTTACTAGTAGGTTACAAATGAACTTTCTTGATCTGTTATCCATTATCTTGAGGCTTAGCTGTCAAGCTTGTCTAGCGAATCTTTTAAAAAGAGCTTAATAATTTGTTTTTTAATAATTTTTTTATAATTTACTTTTTCTGAAAACTTAATTCATTTCCTATACATTTAGTAGGTAGTTAACAAAACTTGTGGTAAATATTCTCTCATTTTCCTTTTTTAAGTTTCCGAATTATTTAGTTTAAATAATTTTACTTCGGTCGGGGTCCCGCTTTCCTGAAACTCAGTAAACACTTAATTTGTCTCGTATATACATATGTAAGTTTCCGAGTCCCTATTGATCGATATTCCCAGAACTATTTCTTCTGTCTCTAGTAACATCATAGGCGGTAGTTTTCATAACCGATGAGTGGTAATGCTTTCAAAAGGCGAACGTTTCATTGAAAATTTGTTTGAGGAGAGCAACAGGAGCAAAGTATGTCTCAGCAATAAACTACCTTGACATACCTTACTCCGTAAAACAAACCAAAAATATTGCGGTCGGTGAAGTAAATAGAATATCACTTTAATGCTCATAATCAATTAAGCTACATCTCGTAACAATGTGGACTTAAACGTGCTCCGCTTTGTCCTCTCTTTCACTAGACACACAAAAATTTATCGACTGAGCTAAGCATCCAATTAAGTGAAACCACGGTATATTAAAGAGGAATCTGTTTAAACTTTAATTAAAATGGCCACTGATTTTCCAACTGATTAGACGATTTCGCCCTTGAGCAAATTATATTTATCTTAGCTAATGCACCGAAATTTCATTGTACACCTTAAACTATATGCAGATACATATACAAACAGTTCCAACCGTATGCAGCACTGTCGAAAACTCACGTTTAAGTTTTGCAATTTGCATTTTCGCAGTGAATGGATTGTTGCCACAATGAGGTGAGTGTGGCGTTGAAATGCTGCAACACTCACCTGCTGCACACCAAAGAGCCAACTTAATGACCCTTTGTCCACCAACTACTGTGATTTTCCAATGATAACTTTGTAACACGTCGACAGTCATGTTGGCTTTTCTGATTTTCCGCTTTAGCCATGTCTACGCTCATGTACACGTAATCCGTACAGCTAAGTAAACTCATTAAACGACAATTTTGCCAGCAACGGATTAGAAAAGCCAAAAAGCAAACACTTAGCAAATAACGCAAACCGAGCGCATTGCGCTAAATGCCGTCTACTACGATTGCATTTGCCAATATTACAGTTGGTGCGACATCCACTTGCTTGTGGATAGCAAACCGCAAACTACTCGGCAGTGCTTTCACTTCCGTCCTCCCAATATTTGGCAGTTAACGCCAATAACTGCTTACAGTGTGTTCATTTAAGATTTTGATTGCAATGGCAACGGAGATGAACGGAATTTTAGGACGAGAGAGCTGGAGCGGAAGGAAACACATTAGAGCTTGCCAAGCTGACGGAAAGAGCCGCGGACGTACAAGTATTTACAAAAATTGTGGCAGAAAATTAATGATTTCAAGATTTTGCGTAAGTGTCTTCAATTCTAAACAGGTTAGCCTATCTTATATCTTAACTCTGCATAACAAACTGCGTACAGCTGTGGAAATACCGAAACTTTCAGGGTTCGGAGGATTTCCGATCACAACACCCACAGTGTTGAAAGCCTTAGTCAACACGAAGCAAAACAATAATAAGATTTGAGACGATGAAGGAATAAGAATACATATAATATCCATGTCTGTCTCAGCATAAGCGATGTGCATTGTCTCTGTAGCCGGTTGGTTGGAAAGTAATGGTTGATATCGAGACAATCACCAGCACCAACAGGAGCAATGAAATTTCGGCGGCTTTTGCAAGTGCAAAGTATATTTGATGAGAATCGGATCTTGTCGGCTGACAAAACATCAATTGTAAGGCAACATTTTTGGGATAATTAACAAGTTCAAATATAATCGATCATGCGATTTGTGGATCACACAAAATATATTTCATCCAAGACAACCGATACATAACCCACAACTAAAACCTTTCGAAATCTTTTTGGAAAATTGAAATCGTAATTATCTTTGAAACAATAAGTTTCGCATAGCTTTTAGGAAATATTCTTTATTCCTTCACCAAAAATTTAGAAAGACTAGTTGTTTTACGCGTGGACTTCATTATTGCTTCACGCCTTTTTAACACGCTTATTTAAACCGCAAACTGTACCAAAACTTCCGTCAATTGAGAGCTTTAGGCTGGTTAACCACATACAGGACTACGAATGATTTCTATCTACTAATAACAATTTTAACTGCTTGTATATTTTTGTATTCACTTAATTACCGTATTGAAGTATGATTACAAACAAGTTGGTAGTGCTGGAGAAAGTTTGCCCTTTCTATCTCAGTCGAATGAAATAAGCATCAATTTGCAAACACTTAAAAGTGAACTCAAACAGAGAGAGACATTTGCATTGAAAAGTCTAGTATCACAACTACTTACAACTAGGAATTCCTAAATGAAATGAAACTAGATAGAAAATAACTACAAAACAAACTCTTTAGTCCAAATTGAAAATAAAGTGGTACGAAAAGTAAATGATTTGTCACCTTTATAAAATGATTTATTAGTGCTTTGTTTTTGCACACATTTTTTTCTCTCCAAGAAGCTGCTCACTTGTCGGAACCGCCGATATAGCTGCCATATAAACTGAACGATCGGAATCAAATGCTTGGTAGAAAACATTTTCATTTGATGAGGTATCTTCTACACCAAAGAAGCTATACAATAGAATTTGATAGTAACTAACTCATCACAAATAATATTTATTACTATGAAGTTTTTCAACTGTTTGCAATAATTTTTGATTAAATTTGGTTTTATAGCCCCGTTGGTGTTTTCGTTTTACGTTATAAATAAGATAAATACATTTTCCCCACACTTTACTTTGCATATTTTAGGATTATAGTTATTTTAGTAGCTATAATATAATTATATTAAAATTTCTTGAAATTCAGATAATATTATATAGGGAATTTCGAAGCACTCTCCACACTTATATGTCAAATAGAGAACAATGGGAGAGACATTAATTAGATTAAAGCTTTTGGGACAAGTTTTGTAAAGCTTTTGATTTTTATGGTTGCTGCTAAACTTGAAGCTTATGTGAAAAGTTTTGTAAAGTTTTTAACATTTATGGCATCATTTTATAAAGATATGAGCTTAAGCTTCTAACAAGCTTAAAGCTTCAAGATTTTATGTGTATGGTATAAATAACCAAAGCTATATTACAGCAGCCGGATAAAGTAAAATTCGAGAACTGATAGATTCATATATGTATGTAATTGGCATACTGCTTTTTTATGAAAATTAATAACAAATAATATTCTGGGTTATATTAAAATATATTTATTAATCTCACGTATGGATGTGTGCAAAAATAATTAGTATTTTTTAAAAATAGTAAGTTTAAAGCTTATACGCACATTTTCATATACATATGTATATGTACATTTATGAAATTAAAGCAAATAACCATAATATCGTTTTGTTCGAAAGCGATTTTTTTACATTTTATCATTTTCGAAATTTTGGTTTATATAAGCTCCACGTGTTGTTTCCGGTGTAACTGGCGCGGTTGGTGCCAATGTTAAGGGTAGAGCATATACTGGATATAATGGCGCAAATTCACATGGTCCAAATGCGTGTAAGTCATCTTCATTTACATCGCCTCGCAACGTGTGCGTAGACTCCTCGTAGCTGGGTGGTGCTTTTAAAAATATACGAGAAATAACAACATTGTATTGAGTTTTAATCTTAAGCGAGTATAACGTTTAATATAATAAAGAGTACCGAAGATTTGTATTCTAAAAATCTACGAAAATATTTTAAACATCTGTATAATGGAATTCAATTTCACATCGAAATATTAACATTCCATTAACTGGAATTTGGAACTTTTGTAAAGAAAATATTTCCAAAACATTTCGAAAATGAAGTTTGGACGTTATCTTAGTAGCTAAAATCCAACGATATATTTCACTCATTTTGTTGGTAGAATGTGGGCAGTGGAAATTTCGGATATGAAGTTAAAATGTCGTGACGACATCTAACGTAAAATTTCGAGCGGATTATATTATATAATTTATATAAACCAGAGCAGAGAATGTTAGTGAAAAAAGAAAACAGAGAATGTTAATGAATAGAGAAGGCGCAAATGTTAGTTGTTCTGTAATATAAATTATTATGAGGGAATATCGAAAACGCGCAAGTTCGAAAGTAAAATTTCACCACTCTATCAGGGAACCAAGCCGTTCTCGAAAAAAGTGAAGCCTTTGTTTGAATTGAGATATGCTAAGATTCAAAATAATAAAATAAAAATATTAAATAAAATTTAAGATCGGAGTCAAGTTCTTGTAAGGAGCTTTTGTATATGTGAAGGATATTATAACTTCGATGCAACCAAAGTTGACGTTTTGTCTTGTTTATTATTGTATTATCATTTGCCTATTAGATATTGTTCAGGCAATGCACATAAACGTGCTGAAGAATTTATCTATTAAATGTGTGTTTTATTCTGTGGTTTTTACCAGTAATCCCTATTTGTAATTCAAAAGGCTTTTCATAATTACAAATTTTGTCACATCATATAAATTGAAAACACAAATCTAAATAGGTATGCGCATCGATAATTTATTTAAGAACATTCCTTGTGTTATATTTTTCGATGTTACCTCTTGTGAAAAGCTCAAATTAGTATTTTTTTAACTTTTGCACTTTCTCTGTTTATTAACATTCTCTGCTGTAACTAGTTACAGTTTCCACAATTACGGCATCCACATTTGAATGACGAACACAGTCCACAAATGGACTTTAAGTAGATTGTGGATATTTTCCACACTTGGATCGTATTATACACTCTGTGCAAAAAGTGACTGGATGTCCTTAAAACGAAAACTTAATTTTATATAAACTATTTTCAATTATTCTATGAGGAATATTAGCGTTAACTCAAATAATGAAACTTCTGTACTATTTCAGTATTCCCAAGCGAGCAACTGCTATTAAGAAACGATTTATTAAGATTTAAAACCAATGACTCAATTGAAGAACTAGACGTTGTGTTGATATTCTAGAGTTTGCTTTCTAAATAAGTTTTAGAGGGAAAATCAGCTCCATTATAGAAGCCGAATGATTTGAATAACAAAAGAATATATAATTTGAGAGAGAGCCATAAGCTTATGGATTAAATACCACTTAATACAATAAATGTGTGAAACCGAAAATGATGTCTAAGTGATATCAAGAAAGGAAGAGAAGATTGTATATGTGAAAGCTGTCTTCTGAGAATAATAAATATTGAATAGAAATCGACTTCGGTTAAATTTAAACCTAGGGTTAACCTACTTTACTGTATAAGGAGTTTTAACAATAACTGCATCATTGGCAACTTGCCAAAGGGAAACTCCAGCAACAAATTTTTCGAAATTTAATTTATACTCACGTAATTCCGGATAAATATCTGTTGGTAACTGAACATCTGTTACTGCAATATTTTGCTCAACCTCTACGTCTGTCACAGCTTGCTGTTCGCCCTTATCGGTCGATTCACCACCCTGTAAGAGCGCTTCCTCACTGAGCGCCGGCATACGACTACTGCGTGGTTGTTGTTGTATAATTGGTGGTGTTTGCCACAATGGCACATTTCCAATAAAAATGGGAATTGTAATGGTTTGACTAGAATACCAACCCTTCATTCGTGCCTCGACCTCCAACTGATAGGAAATGCGTATAATACTACACGACCGCAAGCAGGTTGGTGGTGTGGCTGGTACAAGCAATTCTTGCGTCAGCGATCGCGTACATTTACGCAGCACAGACTCACTCTTCGCCGTCGTCATGGTAATACGTTCGAGGCATGAGTTTACAGCTGGCGCCGGACTAGAATACCGAACCAACATTATGAGCGCATAATGCACTTCGGCAACTGGTATGTTGGTGTTATTGATTACTAGCGCATTGATGGGTATACGCTGTCCGGGCACATAACCGGCCTGCGGTAATTGTATTTGCATTTTTAGCGGCTCCGTTTTGCAGGGTCCACAGCAGTATAAACGATAATTCTCTGAAGTTATTGGAATCTATTGTGTAAAATTTTAGAAAAATATTTCTTTAATTGTAAATATACAATATATAGTTACAAATAGGTTATGCACACACTTTTAATTGCGGCGATTCATAGTTAAGATCGAGCATTTTCATCACCGTGAAGCCACGTGTATAAGTCTGATTGAATTTCCAAGGTATCAGTAGTGTAACTTTGACTATATACCGAACGCAACCATGGAGGCCCTCAAATGATGTCGGACAATTCTCTGGTAGCTTGCAGGCAAAATTATATGTATGCTTACCGGTTTGTATTGTAAAATTTTGACCTATGAATGACAAAAGTAGGTATACCATACAGTGAGTGAAGGGTGAAATATTATATTTTCGTTTAGCACACACTTACTTGTTTCCGATCCCATTAGATATGTTTTGGATTCCATGTAATCCTCACGTCCGGAAAAGTTTCGTCTTCTACCAAAACGTTTTTCTCGCCATTTTGTAATAGCAAATCCGGATATATTCAATATTACAGCTGGAAGAGATTAACATAATTATATTAGTAATTCAAAGATTTTAACAGTAAAAAATAGTTCGAATATAATAAAAATTGTGCCAAAATATTGAAGTGTATGTTAGAATTTTGGCGAATTCAAAGTTTCAAATCTGTTAAAAAGGGCAGAAGCATTCCCAACAAAACATGTTCGGTTAAAGTTAATCAAATTGTATAGCTAAACTTGTTGAACAGGTGTATGTTTGGGATGGTCCACATGAAACTGAGACAAGCGAATAATTAAGTATTCGCAAGTGATGCTTAAATACGTCGTATGTCATATAAGAGCTGTTCTACTTAGACTTACAGTATGAGACCGCATTATGTGTAATTTCTACAATCTCAATAAATTCTTTCGATTTAAACAAAAACCCCGGTGAATTCCAGAACAAGAGATATCAGTTTAGTATGATAAAGCATGCGCTAAAATGCCGAAATCAATAAAAGCTAATAATTGCGGTCGCAAATATTAATTCCTTGATAACAGCAAATACCTGCATTAGATAACACTAAACAAATACAGCAACTGTGTAAATATGTATGTGTCAGTGGTAATAAAAATCATACTAAAAAAATATTCAATAAAAGTTAAATTTTTCTAAAACTCGTACATACGGTACTTTGCAATGAACAAATTATAACTGGCAAACTGAAAGAAATTTTATCAAAAAGTCTTGAAATCTGAGCAATTTTCAGTAATCATAATCCAATGGCATTGGAGAAATGCAAATGAGCTTGTTTATTATATACTTATATATACTTGTATGTTCCAAAATAGTCATGGCCAAAATATTTTTTTACCAACCCTTAAGATTTGAGTACTAAGCAATAATTCAACGATTTTCTCCTACAAAGTTTCTAATCCAGCTTCGAATAGCTATGATAATGTACTTTTTCACTGAAATATATAAGGTTTAATGTCTTGAAAAGCTGGACACATCTTTCTATATATTTACTATATATTAATGCTTAAACTAAAAGAATAGCTCAGTATTTTCTTTGCTAATGCTATAATGACTATAATTCAAAACTCCATCGGATTACGCATCTATTAAAAATTGATGAAGAGAAATTATACAAATATGTTACTCTAAACACTCGCTTTACTTTATACGTCCAAAGGCTAGTCGAATGCTGTCTGGCAGCTTTTAGTTGCACTTAAGCCACCTGTACACTTAGCTGCTGTTCAGTGAAATTGTATTGGAAACGTAACACTGTTGAATAACTTGCTACATTTCATATCATTTTTGAGCTGCTTCCAACCTAATAGCTTAATATTTTTTGAATTGACCGAAGGTTGAACTGTTTTATTGTAATATTTCGTTATCCTTAGCTCAAGCCAATTCTAATTTACTTAAAACGTTATGTTATGGGTATATAGGATGGTTATATGGTATGTTATGTTATGCTATGTTATGTTAAGCTATGTTATCTTGTGTTATGTTACCTTATGTTATTTTATGTTGTGTTATGTTATGTTAAGTTATGTTATGTTATGTTGTGTTATGTTATGTTATGTTGTGTTATGTTATCTTATATCAATTTATGTTATCTTATGCTATTTTATGTTATGCTATGTTAAGTTAAGTTATGTTATTTTAAGTTAAGTTATGGTATGTTATGTTATGTCATTAGAATCGATACCGTTATTCTAAGCTTTCTTATGTTATGTTTCTAACTTTATTTCAATTATTGAAATTTTAGTTCAATTTACCGTAATTTATAGATCTTTTTAAAACTTCAAACGTAATGTAAATATTATTTTGCCGCATTAGTACATATTAAAAGTGTGTGCATATTAATTTCACGGCACCGTATATGCACACAACTACAATGAAAAATCAGACAACATTAATGACTAATCAGATAACCTGAACGACTGATAAGTTAATTCGCAAAATTTGCTGCTTGAGAATCGCTTATGCCATTGCAATTTAAGCCTAATTCCACACTTTTTAGCTCTCTACTAATTCTTAATTTCTAGTTGTTGTTGTTTAATTTTCATGTTAATAACGATACCTTTAACATTTTTGGGCTTATCGGCCTCTAGCACCACCGAGCCATCCACCAATTGGCCAGCGAAATAAGTACCGCACTCATTCTGGTTGAATTGAATATCACAAGTTACGACCATTTTGCTTAGGCAATCGACCGAATCGGACTGAATGTGCCAAAATTCGACAACGCACCATTGGCTTGTTGGCGCATAGGGTAAGTAGCTCGCATTAAGCACGCATATATACACATGTAAATGAGTGAAATGCATGTGTGAGATTGTGATAAAACAATAGCGTAAATGATCTTTCAACAATATGTACACTTACAGTTAGAAATATTTGATATACAAGTAAAATAAACAACAACAACAAACAAACTTGCGGTTTTATTGTAGATAAGCGAACGACGTAATTCTGTTATGAAAAATATTCAGTGTAGAAATGTTGTGGAATCGAAAATGTACTCATATGTTTTTTAAATTTCATTCACTCTCTATAACACTTGTGATTTTTGTTCGCTACTGCCGCTGATAAGTTATTGAAGGTCGGTCCGAAAACAAAAGAAACAAATTTTTGTACTTGTTTATTTATAAGTATTTATTTATTTATTCACACTTTCCGCTCTAAGTCATAGCCAAGTACTCTTTTCCGGTGGTACAACACCGTTAGTCGCTACATCATCAATCTTTGGCTCGGCATCAACGTCGTCTCTGCCTGACGCGCTTGGTATCTTGAAGACAGGATAACGTGGTGCAAATTCGGTTTCGCCATATTCTTGCCCTTCATCAATGGAAAGTTTTGCTGGTTTCATATGCAGTGCGGCTTCATAAGACGGCGGTGCTGTGAAATAAAAATGTATTTGAAACATACTCGTTTAAGGAGGGGCTAAGATCGGGCTTATAACACGTTCATTAAAATCCCTTTATATGCACGGGCTAGGGAAAAAGTCAACTTGGTATATTCATTACTTACTTCCTGCGCGACACTAAACTTCCTTTTCGTTAGAATACCCGCTTGAAATTCCTGATTTCATAAGCTCACCCTATCCTAAATCTTTCTTCATGTTTGATTAAACAGAATTCTAGCACAATAGTGTCGCATCCATGTTCTCTTTCATCTTATTATGCGTATGTGGATCTACAAGTATTATATCCTGCCTCACAATATTTGCAATTTTTAGCGTCGTTCGTGACTAATTGGGGTCTCTTTTAGCACTTTAAAAATTACTTATGGCCAAAGGCGTGTTTGTTGCCAAATTTTGCGCAAATGCCCTGTTCTGGGTACAAAGTTAATATTTCTCAAAAGTTACCGTTAGATAAACGAAAACAAAAGAAAAAGGTATCGTTGGAGGTACTAAAAATTAAAGAAATCATGGCTCAGGGGTATATAAGATAAATCAACAGTTTGATGTTGTCAAATAATTACTCACGTATACTGGCATCTGCGGCCCAGGGACTTGGCGGTGCAGCTGCCATTGTAGCAGTACTTGTCGCAGCACCACTGTTTACTTGTATCGGGTTCTCTTGTACGGTAGACTGCAGTTGGTCAATTTCGGTGAACTTCTTTTCGCCAATATCGCCGCTCTCCTCATCCGCCACGTACGAATGGTTCATAACACCATTAATACTGTTGCTAGGGACAAGGTTTTCAGCTGATGCCAATGGCTGATTTTGTATGACGCCGAGCAACGGCACATTGCCTATTGTCACTGGCACACAGATGACCTGATCCGCGTGCCAACCTTTCACTTTGGCCACAACCTCCACTTGATAGGCAATTTGTATGATGCGACATAGATTGAAACATGTTGGCGGTGTAGCCGGCACCACAAGTGTATAGTTGAATTGTTTCTTGCAATGCACCGACACGCCATCACCTTTCAACTTAAGCACCGCTATGCGTTCATTCTTCGTATGTGTCAATGGTACTTGACTGTAATAGCAAACGAGCATTACCAATTCTATTTTGAGTTCTTCGACTTTTATATTCGATTCGTTTGCTATGAGTACGCTAACTGGTATCGCTTGTCCAGGCACATAGCCACTTTGTGGCAGGGAAACGTGCATCTTTAATGGCTGTGTTTTACAAGGCCAACAACAGAAGACCTTTTGTGCTTCCGATTTGCAAGGCACCTATGGAACGTGTTTATACGCACGAGTTCTACCTTAACCAAATATCGTATATAACCGTAATGGCCTTCGAAGGATGAAGGACAGGTGGGGGGTAATTGGCAGGCAAAAGTGTAGGTATGTATGCCGGGCTCAATTACGGAAGATTGGTCTGTTGGCGAAATTTTTGAATCGGTTATAATGTAAGTCTACATATGTCAATTAGCTTTTACAAATTCTACACACTTTCGCTGGAGCTAAGCAGGTAGGTCTTCGATTTTATATAATCCTCGTGACCTCGGTAGTATGTTGTATGGCTTTCAGTGCTCGAACGTCCATGTGCATCGGTTGTTGATCTGTTAGAATGCTCTTCCCAGCTTGTGTTTGCGTCGCCCGTAATTTTCAGCACGATCCCTAAAAACACAAATTTTCATAAACAATCACAAGCAGTACTTAGTTTATAATGTTGTATCATGTTTGATTGTACAATATGAGTGACTCATCTGATCATTTTAATCTGATGAGTAATGCTCGCCAGACTTATGAATCATTACCATAGTTTAAGTTTAATTTCAGTTTTGATAACCTGCTGTATACAGTTATCTATTTATGGGGAAAATTAGAAATAGCATTATCTCTAAACGAGAGTTGTGTCTAAAGCCTAATTATATTCAATATTTATTATATTATTTTATATTCTACCTTTTTACAAGTTAAAGTAATACAACCAAGTTAGAGCTCATTGGTCAGTAAACAGTGGAAACCATCGAACGATTTTTCTTCGGAAAAATGCATTTGCCGATGAAAGGAAAGCATTATGCAGACGTGGAGGCCATTAAAAAGGCTTGTACCGGCATACTGTCGGCCATACCGGGCAACGAGCTAAAACACTCGTTCGACATGCTTTTGGATCGAGCAAAAAGCTGTATTAAAGCAGAAGGAGACTATTTTGAATAAGATTAATTGATTTTGCCGATAAAACCATGTTTTCTGCCTTTTTTTTAAAGTCCTGTTTACTTTGGAACACTCCTTGTATATGTATGTATGCACTTTCTTGTCTACTTTAAGACAGTACAATGTATCTAAATATAATAGACGTATATATTTAATACTAATGTGTCCCAAACACGAAAATAGTTAGAATGCGACTAATACAATGATTTTTACTTTCAGTATTATTATGTTTTAATTTTTACTTTTAAATTTTATCATAATTATTTACTTTCGCATTAATAATGAACTTTTGTTATCATTAAAGCTCACCTTTCACCTGCTTCGGCATGTCGGCTTGCAGCGTAATTTTACCCGTCATAATTTGACCAGCAAAATAGATGCCGAAGGGATTATTATCAAACTCAATTTCACATGTTACAACCATATTTAACACATAAATCAATTATTTAAATAAATACAACTAAATTTAGCTAGCACAATATAAAATTTAAGTTTTAACTTTGAGTATATAATGGTAAACAATGCGTTCTGCCCCGTTCTGTGGCGTCCTATTAACTGCTTTATTCGCAAATAGAGTACTAGCATTTTAGCAATTCTTAAAAATGTTTCACGAATTCAATATCAATCGGCTTCAGGCCAATATTTGCCTACTGGCTTGCGCGCTTAGTTAACGTTCGACGTAATTTTGCTCACATGTGTTGTGTTATCAGTTCGTTGATAAATGCCATCCATATATTTTAACAAATTTAATAACACGGAAATATCTACATTTTTGCTTACATTTATATATAAGTAAATATGTATGCGTGAAAAATGTTTTGGCCGTGAAAAGCTATATATGAAAATATATATAATTGTTTTTATACCCTACACAGGGTACATTAAGTTTGCCAGAAATTTTGCGCATATCCTTTTCTCTCCAAGAAGCTGCTCATTTGTTAGTGTAGCATATATCTGCTATACAAACTGAGCGATCAAAATCAAGTTCTTATAAGAATTTTTTTTTTTTGTATTTGCGAAGGGTATTTATTATAGCTTCGGTGCAATAAATAGTTAATGCTTTTTTTTAAGAATGCAAAAAACTTATCGCTTATCGAACAGTTAGCTAACAATTGAACAGCTTGGTGTTATTACAGATAATATAACTTTGTCAAATGTTAATACTACTTAGAGAGCAAGAGTTTAGAAAGCACTTCGGAAGGTTTTAATTTTAATGATTAAATACCCCCATAAAAACAGGTCAGAAGTGTTTATGGATCTGTTTGTATGGCATTTGATCTGAATAATAATTTCGAAAATTTCTGTGGACAATACTCTTGTGAAATACAAAAGTTATTCATACAAGAACTTGACCTTAATTGTTCAGCTTGTATAACAGCTAGACGGTATAGTGGTCCGATATCGGCAGTTCTGACAATTGAGCAGCTTCTTGGAAAGAAAAAAACATGTGCAATATTTCAGATCGATGTCTCAAACACTTAGGTACTAGTTCACCTATATAGAGATGGACAGACTGAAATGGCTAACTCGACTCAACCACTCTGTTCATTTATAAATATATATGTTTTATTGCATCTCCGCCATTTCTTTCTGTCATCTTCAGGGTATAAACAATTTTTTACCCTGCTCACATATATTTTTAAAGGGCATATTTTGGTATCAACTATTATTCTGTATATGTTATCTTTGCTGTACGTTTCTGTAAATCGTTATTAGTTATTCGTGAAATCAAGCATACACCGAAACGTTTACCAAATTATCTTTAACAGTGAACAAACACACTACTCGCACGTTAATGCGAGTGAGTAACAGAAACAAAACAGATAAAAATTAGAATAGCAGCTTTATGATATCGCGCTGCCCACACACACAACCATGCCATCGCAGCGCTATAAGCACCTGCTCACCTAATTACGCACATACTCGCATATTGCTTGTCCATTGCGGCGTAACTGCGCGATCACCTACATTATTAACTATTATTATTGCTTCAGTTCACCGGTGTTGCGGTTGGTGTGCGGTCGTACCATCTGCAATAGATTTCGTGGCGAAAGCGTGATCTCAGTGCTAACGCACATAAAGGAAAACTTTTAGACGAACGACCTTTTCAAATTGAAGCAGAGTCTTCAAATTTTTCGTGAACGTCTATGATTTCGTGTTGGAAATTTATTTGAAATTAATAAAAATTTAGCAATTGCTGAATTTCAATTCGATTTGAAGATGAGTGAAGCTAAGAAGTTTAATAATTGTGTTATTGTATTTGATCAAAATGATTTCGGCACTTATTTTACCGGCCAAATTGTTAGTGGTAAAGTGATTATAACGCTGGAGAAGGCAAAAAAGTTGAAAGGTAAAAAATTGGAAATTCAAATTTCTAAAATCTCACATCTATTGTAATATGTGAAAACATTAGAACCAGAAGTGAAGTGAAGCAAGAGTGTATATAGAGTTAACTTTGTATTATTACTTTAAATTTTAAAATAAATATTAATTTATTGCAACCAATTCAATACTGAAGTGCATATTTAATTCAACCGCTTTAGATAGAGGTTATATTGTTTTGACAATGGAATCTAGACAAATTAAATGAAATTGCATTTTAAGTTCAAAAAGTAAATTCAATGACAACAACCAACACCTGCTGACCAACTGGTTATTATAGATAAAACAATTATGTGTCTATTTCTCGTAAGGCTGAACTTATAAGTTTAAGTAATGCAGTAATGCGATCAAGATCGATATAATATTGTATATAAGATATATATATAATATAAGAAGATGCCTTGTAGTTTTTGAGCTTCGAAACATATCAGAAAACATTTATTACAATACTATATTTGGCTATAATTGAAATTACCAAATTCATTGAAAAAGTTGTCGAATACACAAAGTGTTGCGATGACCCTATTAATCATTGCCCTTTTTTCAATTTTATTACAATAAAAGACTGTAGCAATAAAAGACTGTAGCAGATTATACTATATTAAGAGAGAAAATATATGAATAAAATACGAATTCTGTTTTTGACCACCAAAGATACTTCGCATTGTAAACCTATGAGGACTTATGTCTCTATCGTAGAATACTATATACTTGTATATTCAGGATTTCCTAAACAATCCAACACGGAATGATATCCACTCTATACATTACTCTTTTATATAACAATGAAGATCAGTTACTTTTATAGCTCGCAGACAACTTCGTTTACATTATTTGATATTTAGTGTGTCTCTTGCTTTTATTGATTAACTATAAGCATGTTCTGGTCAAAACTATATTGTAATTAAATCAATAAAATCAATAATCAAACCTGAGCCGGGTACAAATTAAAATTTTTTCCTCAACAAGACGTATGAGTTCAATAATAGCTATATAATACTTTAGTGTCTGCTGTAACAGCTTACTTTTAAATATATAATATATGTATATCGAATGGCGTACTTGAAGTTAAACAACCACCGATAGCAAACGAAGAGCTCGAGTTATCCCGAGTATCTTTAGTGATCCTTACGCAATTTCTTTCTGAATACTGTCGCCGATTAAACTACCGCTTACCCAGAATCGACCCCGGCTAACCAAATAGATATTCTGCGTGCAATAAGTTTGCACAGGACTTTAACCACCTCTTTAAAAGATAGTAATAGTTGTATGAACTTGGGCTCAGCTGCACACGGTCAAATTCCTGCAATCTCATTAGTGTTTTAAAACTATTTTATTTATTACTAACTGTTTTCTAACGGGTAGTTCAACCCTTTTCTGTTGGTATATTCTCATTTGTGGAATATAACCCATTCAGTATTTAGCTTAGATACTCTTTTCTATTAAAGTGGATTTGACACAAATAAGTATCTTAAGACCTTATAAATACGAGTCTTAAATATTTGAGTTTGTAAATATTTGTCTAAGTGGCCGATTTCGCCTACATGCTTAAAAAGCATATACATGCTTACAGACTTAAGACATTTTTCGATAAATATTAGTGGCCCACATTTCTGCCTTAGTACGTTCGTTTCTTAAAGTTCTTCAAATTTTAGGCTTTTATTCATTATACATGAAATTGTATATACCATATGTATTTGATTAGTATTTGGCTGCCTACACCCACATACCATATTTAATCGCTTTTACCCATCTATGACTCAATAGGTTGAATATTGATAAACAAATTTCTTAAGAAATTCACGAGAATGTGGAATTGTAAATTAGAAATATGCTGGTTTTATATGGGGCGTAAGTTTATAATTATTTTCTTGATATGTATATAACCAACGCTGATTAAATATACTATATATGGTAAAATGTGTTGGTAATGCAATGATTAAATCTGACTTGCATATATGTATACCTTTTAACAGTGAAAACAGAGTTATATCTTGTTAAAATGTAATACATATGCACTATCTTATCTTTACTGTTATGAGTTTTCGTTTGTTGATTTATCGTATCACCGTTTATAATTTACATTAAACTCTAAGGCAGCATGGATTAATAGAAAAGGTTTGGTTTTCAACACTTTCATAATAAGTATAACACATTTATTTTAAACAATCAGAATTTCGAATAGACCATTGATTTATATATACCACTCGAGCACATGTCTGGGAAGGTTGACGAAACACCTTATCTCGACTTACGAGATCAATGCAACGAGTAGTTAGCTTCACCGCCCGATGGCGCCATTATTGCAACAGAAATTTATTATCATATAGTAAATTCTTATAGGCGATTACTGATAAACGATTCGATTCTTATATCTGAAAGGAAAATCGCACCTTGAAATCAAAGAGCGCTTGGGCGCTTTTTGCGAAGATTCTTCTTCTTCATTCGTGACTATAAAAAATTGGCTTAACAAAATTCAACAAAATACCACGGTCATTTTTATTAATCCACGCTCAGTTGCTCCGAAAACGGCTATCACAGAGTATAAAGTAAAACATTTCACGATCTATTTGCAAACCAAAAGATAGAAGGTGCGCGAGATAGCTAACACCGTAAACATCTGAAAATACGCGTCATTGATATCGTCCATAAAATATTGGACAAGAGAAAGCTTCACAGCAGTGGTTAACGCTAGTACACACCAGCAATCAACAAATGGCCAATGACACAATGAACTTCACACTGCGAAACTGCTGTGAGATAAGCAAGATTGTGCTATCGCTATGATAACTTTGTGTGAATCAATGGCCATCATTTTAACCCACTAAGCTGCAGATCAGTCTTCTCAGAAGAAAGGCGGTACGAAAAGCTAACACCGCCTGTACTGTGCTTCTATTGAATATTGTTAAAAAACAGATTCGTTTCGAAACAATTGAGAGATACAATTCCCACATCAAACAACAGTAAACTTCATGAGTTTTCACAATTTAGAGTCTTGTTATAACAGTGATATGAAAGATGTATTAGCTCTTAGTATTTACCACCAATATACATATTATCTTTTCAAATTATTGATTTATTGGGTTGGCAACTAAGTAGTTGCGGATTTTTTTTTTTAAATCAAAGACAATTTTTCCATGGAACTAAATAACTTTATTGTTGCGTTAAATGCGTTACTTTCAGTTCGTGAGTAACCCATGTATCGAGTTTTTAAACATAGCCAAGTTGTTTTAAATGATTTTCAATGCATGTATGTGATACCTGAAGCTGCTCTGCAATCTCACGTGTTGTACTGTGAAGATCCGAATCGATTATTGCTTTGATTAGGTCGTCATCAAATTCAACTGAACGACCGAAGCGTTTTTCATCTTTGATGTAAAAAATCACCAGAACGAAATTTGGCAAACCAATTTTGACACTGCCGTTCTTTTATGGCTTGATCGCCATAAACAGCACATAACTTTTTGTGGGCTTGCGATACGTTTTTCCCTTTGCGAAAATAAAAAGGCAAAATATGACGAAAATGTTCCTTTTGATCTTCCATTTTTTAACGAACGCCAAACGAAAACTACGCAACCGATCTAAATACTTTTTTTTACTGATTTACAGCTAAATTGCTAGCCATCAAATAACAAAATGTGTTTTACATTTGGACTACGCCAGCAAACCTAAATATGCAATTGAAATCCGCAATTACTTAGTTGGCAACCCAATATTATTATTATTATTTAACTTTGTTTCTATGCTCTTCCATCCTTTTAGCCATTAAATTACAAGTTTGTGGTTTCGCTGCTTGTCAGTGGCGTGAAAAGTATGGACAAAAGCTGGCTGTAGCAAAAATTAATCCAAGGGACAAGCATGTATACTTCGGTCGGGAAGATTATATAGCGTCTACGACATATTTGGTAGGCTCCGAGTTTGGCAATAATTTCGTTATGGATGAGGGCACTTACACCTATACATTCTCTTGCCCCATACCATCTAACTGCCCATCTTCCTTTGAAGGCACTTACGGGCATATTCGTTACCTCATCAAAGTGACATTTATAAGAACTGGTGCTGCCGATCGTATACATAACGTCGGTTTCACAGTTCTCAAGCTTTTAGATCTGAATCAAGAAAGTAAACTGTTACAGGTGAGTGAAATAACATTGGCTCATCAATGGTGTAATATAAAGTATCTCTTTTGACAGAGTCCTGCCAGCAACGACGCCATGGAGAATATATGTTTATTTCTGTCTAAACCGGTACATATGAAAGTTGATCTCCAACAAACCGGTTATGTGCCCGGTCAGTTTGTCTTGATCAGCGCTGATGTGGACAATAAATCTGCAGCAGATTGCAAAAAACTAATAATAATGCTAAATTTACGCGCCACCTACAACTCAGAGACGCCTGCTTTGCATTCTGTATCCGAGAAAATCTGTCTCGTTAAGAAAGTGTGCGGTCCAGTGCCGCGTCAATCGCACAAATCCTTCGCTGAGACTATACGTATACCAGCAACTGCGCCAACTTGTGAACACATCAGCAAAATTGTACGAGTCTCTTATGAGTTGTGCGTTATGGCCGTAATGAGTACCATAATGCGAAATCCAAAGACTACAATACCGATAACTATAGGTAATGTGCCGTTAACAACGACCAATACGATAGAAGAGGACTGGTTGGAGGAGAGAGAAGTAGAGAGTATGCAGCCGACAACATCACGTGCTGTTTTAAGAGAAAACAGTTTAGAAAATGAAATAGGGGCCTTTGGTGTGAGTGAGGATGATATCAGTGAAGAAGAGATGGAACTACGTAAGTTTAAACACTTTACGAAATAGCATAAAGTCGATTATTTTGGAATATAATGTTCACACATTATATATATTTTTTTTTTTATTATTTAAGAGGGAAGGGTAGGCGTATTCAGTAAGGAAAGAAATAAAGGAAGTCAAGAAGAAAGTTCATTACACATATTTATTAAACTCTTAAGATTTTTAAAGAGTTTAGGAGGTTTGTTCCATCAATAGCTAAACAAAATTACTTATAGAAAAGGAACGAGCAATTGAAAGAAAAGTCTAAAATGGTAAACACTGTTTATTACTGACAGACATATTATTATCACTACTTACAATTAATATCCGATAATGTCTGTGTAAAATATTATCTAGGGTTTTCTCCAACATAACGAATAACCGTCTCGGAAACTGATTGTAACAGTGTTTGATACTACAAACAGATGTTTTGAAATAATCCGAAAACTTTACAAGAACTAATGCGCTCATTATTAACTTCAACATCCTCGTTATATTTTCAAAAACTATGCCTTTCCTAATAAATGTTTCATTAATTTTTGCTTCTCTCAATTATTTTTTAGCTCCGCCATCCTATGAACAAGCGATGTTCATGAGCACAAATATTGCTGACAACGATGCCAATACGGTCAATGTGGATGCACCTTTCGCACCACGCTATCCGGTCTTCAATATTGATGAAAATTCTCTTGCCTTCAGCAGCAGGGGTTTGAGCCCACCCCCGAATTTGCCGCAAAAGCGACCACGTCGTAGAAGAAGACGCCGACCGGCAGAAAATACAGCAGGGTTCGTCAAAGAGCAACAGCCAACTGAATCGCCAATACAAATATGAAATTAAATTAAAAAATTCTCGAGAAAATAAAAAAAACGAAAAGAAAGCCAAGAATATGAAGTGCAATATTTTAAACATAAATTTTTTTGTATGAATATAATTGTTAAGAAAAGAAAATTAATCTGTACACAAATGGGATAATGTAACTAAATATGTTTTGTGAATGAATATGTTGACTTAATTTTTAAGATATACCTCCATAAGATAGTAGTATTATTCTGGCGAGTATCTACACAAAGTTTATTCAAGCGACGCAAAGAAACTTTTGAAGATAATTGAGAATTCACAATATTAAGATATAATAAAAATTATTTATGAACCTTATGAGCATACAAACAATTACCAAAAACTGTTTATCAATGGATTACTATCAAGGTTGAATTCCGTATACTTAGAGCTGGCTAGGCGTACGAGATAGCTAACCAGCTTCAAAATGTTATATAATTGGGAGAATTTTTGTTAAGGTTGATTAGATCGTTTGCATACTGTGTTTCCGTTCGTTCACATCTATGATAACTCCGTCTTTACATTTATTTTAATTAGACTCGATGCAATCGTTGCTTTATCCACCAACATCACAAGATAAATTCAATCACGGCTCAATGTTTAAGATTCCTGAAACATCAGCGATGAGTCAATATATTTATTGTATCCTTTAAGTTAAGTTTCTGGTAATTATATTTTCAGAAACTTAACTGATTGATTAACATCGAAACACCTGTATTGCCTCTTGGCCTGCCGTCTAAGAGTTGCTAGATTAGCGTAAACTTATAAAGTCTTAAAACCAGTGGAGATTTCAGATTTTAGCGGTATCTTTGGTTCAATTTGCTTTAAATTTAAAGCAGCGTACAACTTCTGTCTTTAAATCTTCATTCTTAGTCTCATCTACTTCGAGACTCACTATTAGATAGTTGTTTATGTTTGGAACCGACCTTTGGAACTTAGCGCTGATCTTTTAGAGATATGGATCTCGTTGAAAAATTTATAACATATATTTACAAAGTATTATTTTCACTATACACGTGTATATGAACTTAGCTCTGCCCAAAACAGCTGCTAAACTGTGATATTTAACCGGCTCGCCTAATAACAAACATGAAAATCATGTGAAACAAAAACGTGTTGATGACGTCATATCTAATGGCAAATTCAGACCTCTAAACATACCTATATGTAAATAATGTACATATATATATGCTCCAACAACGCTGAGATACTGAACAACTCACGCGCTCATTAGACACGCTAGCTCTCCACTTGCATAGGTATATGTGTGTATGTATGTACATACGATATCTGTTGATGTATTACAAATGCTCAAAGTACCAGTGGAACAGTTTCATTTCGTTCATTCTTTCTAAACAAAGCAGAGCTAGAATTTGTTATATTACTTTGTTAGATAGTCATGAGACGGCAGTGCGCTGATAAGCGACAGCTTAGACCAAAATAGACTGTGAAACACCGCTGGTTGGTCGTCTACACTATACGACATAATCACATACATATGTACATACCAGTATATATGAAAACTTAGTTATAATGTACAATATATTGTTGTTTCAAATTTAAATATGTTCAGGAATAAAAGCGCTGATAAAAGTGTACTATGGGTTTAAGTAATTTTGTTTAAAGATTTGGTGAAACATAAAAATACATTGAAATACGACAGCGTTGATATTTTAGTGCCGCGTTAGTTTAATTGCTGCTTGTGACAGTTTGTAGAACGGTGTCTTCGCATAACTTATAACACATATGAAAATAAATTTATAGTATTTAATTAAAGTCAATTTGTTTACGCGCTAAAAATAACTAATAAATACAAAAACAATGCCATCAGAGTGTATTTTCGAATTCGATCGACCGCAACCGTTTACTATGGGAGGAAATAATATTGGACGCATTAATTTGACACACAGCAGAGACCGTTAGAGGTAAGCGGATTTTAATATTAAATATACAATTTCAAGAATAATTAAAAATTAAAAGTTTGTGAAAATAAGAGGGTTCTACGTTGTTAAAAATCTCTGTTTTCTAAATTTTTGGATTGAGAAACGCATGAAATTGTTTCGCAGTTGTCGCTGTCTGTACGCTCAGCTATCTCTCTAAGTATAGGGAATTCTATAACTTTGATAGTAATACTCTTTGTATGAACAGTTTTTGGTAATTGTTTGTGTGCTCATAAGGTTCATAAATAATTTTTATTATATCTTAATATTGTGAATTCTCAATTATCTTCAAAAGTTTCTTTGCGACGCTTGAATAAACTTTGTGTAGATACTCGCCAGAATAATACTACTATCTTATGGAGGTATATCTTAAAAATTAAGTCAACATATTCATTCACAAAACATATTTAGTTTACATTATCCCATTTGTTATATTTTTTTGGTGATCCAAGTAATGGGTGGGAAGGGAGGTACCGAACAATGGCGGCAGGTCGGCAGGGACACGCCCTCATAGCGGAAGTCGTAGCGTAAATAAATAAGGTCTAAAACGCAAACAGAAAATATTTTCTCTATCAGTACACTATCTGCATCCGTGGTACTAGAAAGAAGGAGAAAACATGAAAAATGCAAAATGTATGAGCTTTAGAAAAAAAATCGATTTTTAGCTCCTTCTTTTTTACTAAATATTATTTTTTTAAATGAACAATTTTCAATATTTTTAGCAAATTTTAGTAGCACTGAGGCACAAACTTCTGATTGCTCATTTCTCTCAGCCTGTAGGACTTTCATTCCACCAACTCGAAAAATGTGCGGCGGACCAGCGCGCTTGACACCGTTCTACCAAACGGACGATAACTTTCGTAATTATACAGATTCAAGCTCGAATTTTTGAAAGCATATTTTTGAAACATGTATCGATCAGAATACGCAAATAAATACAAAGCGATTATTTTGATTTCACAAGTTAGAAACCCCCCAGTAATAAAATATAAAATTTCAAAGCACTTAAATATAAGTAACTTTTTCGAATTAATCAGCGTAATGTAAATTGTATTGTGTATATAGCTACTTATAATATTATATATGCAAACTAAATAGTAATTACTAACAAATGATTTTATTTATCTCCAAACAATGAATAGCAATTGATCTGCTGTTCCCTGGAAATTAGTAGTTTACACTAGAATTGCAATTATTCACATTTAATCATATATATATACATACTTAAAAGTTGTTCGAACGATTCACATTTCATAATTATGAACTCTTTTTGATAGCATTTGCTTTAATGAAGCGTACCTCTGGCATGCAAACGCTTCACAAAAAAATCATCAAGCTTTCGATAGCATTTTGTTACATTTTTTGATTGATTATTGGAGAGACTTATCTTCCTTGCTGTACAAAATATTTGTTTGGGGCATTTCTGCTTTTTTTTAATATCGTGATTGTTAATTTAATCCCAAATACCGGATGAAAAAAAATTATCAAAAATACGGAATAAAAAATTAAAAACTTTTTAATCTCTTGGGATTAAAAAAAAACTTTAAACACAAAAACTGGATTTTTAATCCCAAATACCCAACAGAAATATAAAAAAAATCAAAACCAAGAGCACTGCTCGACTAACTTCCACATTCAAGCAATTTATATTTTATCAAATTTTATTTTTGATTTTAGGATTAAAAATTAAAATTTTAATTTTTACTATTAAATTACGCATACACGCAATTAATCCATATATCTTTAGTTAGACATAACGGTTAGACAAACAAAAAATAAAGTTCAATGAGATAGGCTTGAAGACGATCCACGCGAAGGATGACCAAAAACCGCAATCATACTTGAAATCATTGAGCAAGCTCATAATGTTGTTAGTGAAGATCGAACAGTGAAGTTTGACTAAGCGTGAAGTTGCTAATACCATAGGCATCTCAGATGAACTAGTACTTCGTATTTAACGTGGAGAAATAAATATGAAAAAGCTGTTTGGAAAGTTAGTGCCGCACACGTTAACAATTCAACTAAAACTGGATCGAAAACAAATTTCTGAGCATAGCTTGGAGCGTTTTAAGTCGAATAAAACCGATTTCTTGCATCGTTTTATAACTATGGATGAGACTTGGATCTACCATCATGATCCTAAATTGAAATAAGAACGTCTATAATGGACGTACAGCTCCAACGAAAGTCACAACGATCAGAAGAGAAGCTTTTTGGGATGAAAAAGGAATTTTGGTGATTAATTATCTGCAAAAAGGTAAAACAATCAAATCTGAATATTATTGCAGACTTTTGAATCAGCTCGATGAAAAAATTTATGAAAAAAGACCTGGTTTGCAGCACAAAAAAAAATAAAATGCAGCTGGTCACAAAGGTGTTTTTACAATGGAAAAATTCAACGGATTAAAGTATGAACTGCTTGAGCACCCGCCGTATTCACCATATTTGGCTCGCAGGGACTACTAGCTATTACAGCCGTGGGGTATTTTGCAGAGCTTTCGGAAAGCGATTATAGGGATGGCATAAAATTTTTGTAGGATCCTTGGAATAAGTGTATTGAATAAAAATATATATTTTGTTACAAAAACAGTATTTTTTCATTTCGAGCGCAGAAACTTTTCAACCCACCTGTATGTTATATATAGTATATATATCTAAATATACTTTTTTTCATTCTTTTCCTACCAAAATCAGAGGTCTACATACTCTTTGTCGGCGAGGCAAAGGTGCGCTGGGAAGAGAGCCGTACACGCTCTAGGGATGGCAAAACTGAGCACTATAATGAATATTATCGCGCTAACGAAACCTATCTACACTCGAAAACATGTGTACATGGCGAGGGTACACTACAACCCGGCACATATACTTACACATTTTGCATACCATTACCGCTGGAGTGTCCAACATCGTGTGTGGAGAAATATGGAAAAATTGCATACGAACTCTCGCTAGTGGTGAATCGACCATATCGGTTCGATAATGTGTTCAAAAAACCGCTAACTGTTTTATATCAGGTGAATTTGAACATGCAACCGGAGTTATTGGTGGGTTTGAAATATATTTATTTTTTTAATATAAATATTTACACTAAATTCCATAATTTCAGATACCGATTAAAAGTGAGGATATCAAATACTTTTGCTGCTGGCCGTGCTCTTCCGGGCCAGTGATGTCCACGCTTACCATACCATTTGGCGGTTATGCGCCTGGTCAGAAAATTAAATATCAACTCGAAATAGACAATCAATCGACCGGCTATGATTTAGATGATGGCATTGAATTAAAACTCACACAGATTTACAGTTTTGAAGCACATACGCCGCATAGAAAGACGCGCTATCACAGCAATACATTGGCACGCACCGCTCAGGGTATGCAATGCTTGAGACTGTCTAAGCGCTTAATTGATGGTACACTCCTAATACCGCCTGTGCCACCTACTTCGAATAGAAATTATATAATTGGTGTACGTTATGAGATTAAAATGTCCATAAATACCGGCTGCTGTCACACAGACTCCGAAATAGTTATACCCATAACAATTGGGACAGTGCCTTTGGCGCAGAGTGCTACAAATCCACAGAATGCAATCGGTTTGTTGCCGACGGCGCCAGGAGTTCCCAATACACCGGACACACCGCCCGGCAGTGATACGCCACCGAATTATGAAAAATTCAGTAAGTAAATTCAGCTTAAGTATTAAACGAACTTTACAAAATTTCAATCTTCCACAGAGCCACCCTCCTTCGATGAGGCCACCACCATTGGTGGAAAGTTTATCGATCGCGATGTCAATGAGCGAAATCGCACCGATGAATTCATACCTAGATATCCAATGTACACGAATTTCGCCGTGCCCACAGCGCCGTCTGCCGTAGGAAGTGATGAGGTCGATGCACTATTGCTGACATTGCCTGCTACGGGTTCAACGAATACTGCACCACCACCTTATCAGCTAGGAGATCGGGAGTCCGCCCATTCAGCGACACGCGCCGCTACTGGCTATGGTTGGAATAGTTAGAAGTGGCGAAGACGCATTGCGATTTGTTAAAAAATTATTTATAAGCAAAAATCAGTGATTTGATTACCAATGAAAATTTTATTACAGTGAAGATCGCTTAATTGGTGCAGATTTCCTGTCACAAGCCATAAATAACTTTTTGCGTGGTGACTACTTATAGTTTCTCTTTGATAAATTCTTTCTGTAAATTAATTTGCTTAAGAAATTAATAAAATATGTTAGCTTCGATTAAATACAAGCAAATATACTTTTTTTCAATTTGAATTCTTATGTTGCTGTTGTAGTGCAAGAGACAGTCTCGTATTTTATACATTCATCTTTCAAATATATATTTTAAACTCGAAGCAACACGTTTTCAAAGTATTCGAGTTGTAAGCTTAGTATGTGGAACGTGATCGATGCTGGTGATATGTTAGGCATCTATGCGAGATGGAGAGGAAAAGAGACAGTGTTTTCCGGAGTCCTCTAGCAGCTTATGGCCAAAAACAATAAATATCGTTTCGAATTATCTATAAGGCAGTCAAAAAAAAAATAAGGTGTATTAACCCATTCGCTGCCAAGGACGAGTATACTCGTCTTTAGCAAGGAGTCCCGCACTGCCAAGACGAGTATACTCGTTCCACTTTAGATATGTATATTATAACATGCAGGCTTTTGAATTAGCAAATTTTTTTTTTGCCACAAACATAATATAAATATGTAAAAAACTTGAAAAATACAACAACATTTTTTAAATAATACATAATTTCTTACAGAGAAAGATCTTTCACGCAAAAAGTAACTTCATCATGTATTTATTACAAAATTATTTATTACAAAAATCAACTTCATCGTGTATTTATTACAAAATCTTTTAGCCACTAATTCACTTATGATACCTTATCTTCATGATAGGATTTATAACAAAGTCCAATGCATAGTGGAGGTTTATCAGGATAGCTTGGACAGTAATACCGAGTCTCCTTTCGAATGCTTTTTGTTGCACTCTACATTTGCGAGTTGGGTTTTTCTTGTGTTGTGTGGCAGGAATAGCATCAAGATAATGAAAGGAACTTTGTTCTTGGGGTATGGTTGACGCCGATTGATGAGATTGAATGACTGCATCTTGGCTTCCATTTAGTCAACATTGTAGAACTTCTTCCCTAAATTTAAGTGATGTTTTCTTTTCTGTATTTGCTTGCTGACAATACAATATATATACATTATGCACAGCCATTTCTATGATGTGCACAGCTATTTTTTTGTACCACCGATGAGTTTTTCTCATAGCACTATAGTAGGACAGCATTTGATCCGAACGGTCTACATCTGCCATGCCTTTTGTGTAATCCCTTACAATATTGGGTTTGATGGAAACTTGTCCATTTCGGTCAGCAACTTCAACCATCTCCGCTTAGTGCATATTTGATTTGGTAAGTACATCTCTTTTATCTCTCCACTTACAAATAATAACCGATTCGGATCGCTTCCAACTGTACTCGCCCTTCTTCAGTTTTTGTTTGACCAATTCTTTTGGATTACCTTTACGATTAGATCGTAAAGTTCCACAAATATATGTCGAGCGCGATGTTAACTCTTTTGCTACCGATACGGAGTTGTAAAAATTGTCCATATACAAAACAATAACACTCAAAATATCAATGGCAATGGGAATGACTTTATATAATTTAGACTTGGCAGCGAATGTGTTAAGGAAACATCTTACACGTATAGGTAAGCCGTATTTTACTCGCTAGCATCATCAATCTTTAGTTTCAAATTAGTGAGATATCAAACATTTCTCTTTGATGCGCTCTCTTTTGAAAGTAGTATTAAGAGGAATATAAAATCTAAGGTATCTGATTCGAGTTAGAAATTGCGTTTGCAATTCAGAAATATCAGAGCACAGTTGAGGTGAAATTCGAGACAGCGAGAACTACTAGTGTTAACAGATTCATTGTTAGCATTCAAACTTCACTTAATACTCAAAATAAATACTAGAATATAATATGTAAATTTTTATATTCAAATATTTATACCCTGAACTGGTTATATAAAAATGTCGGAGACTCTATAAAATATGTATATATACAAGTAAATGATCACACACACGAGCTGAGTCGAATGGTTAAATCCGCTTGTTCGTCTGTGTGTATATAAGAGAGCTAGTTTCTCAGTTTTTGAGATAATAATCTGAAAATTTGCAAACGACCTTTTCTCTCTAATACGCTGCTCATTTGTCGCCAATATAAGACCAGTATAGCAAATACCTGCCATACAAACTAAACGATCGAAATCAAGTGCTTGTATGGAAATTTTTTTTATTTGAAAAGATATTCTCACCAAATTTGGTAAGGGTCATCGTCTAAAGCAGCGGTTTAATCTCCGAAGAAATTGTACAGATCGAGTCACTATAGTATATAGCTGCCATACAAACTGACCAATCAAAATCACGTTCTTTGTAGGGAATCTTTTGTCTTCGTAAAGCGTATTATAGCTTCGATGTAACCGAATTTAACGCTGTTTCTTATTTTTTTTCCTTTCCCACACTTTAAAAAAATTTGACAGCTTATCAAAATAATACTGAAAATCATTTGAAAAAAATAATAATAAATAAAATTTACATGTATGTACATATGTATATATTTAAATAATTTGTACAATAGTTTGTTTTGTGTATTTCTCAGGAAACTCAACGTTGGATAATTTCAATTTTAGCAATTGTCGTAATTTTGAGAATCTTTGACGCCCGATTGATGAGATTGAATGACTGCATCTTGGCTCCATTTAGTCAACATTGTAGAATTCTTCCCTAAAATTTAGTGATGTTTTCTTTTCTGTATTGTGCTTGCTGACAATACAATATATATACATTATGCACAGCCATTCTATGATGTCACAGCTAATTTTTTTTGTACCACCGATGAGTTTTTCTCATAGCACTATAGTAGACAGCATTTGAATCGAACGGCTACATCTGCATGCCTTTTGTGTAATCCCTACAATATTGGGTTTGATGAACTTGTCCATTTCGGTCAGCAACTTCAACCATCTCCGCTTAGTGCATATTTTGATTTGGTAAGTACATCTCTTTTATCTCTCCACTTACAAATAAAACCGATCTCGGATCGCTTCCAACTGTATCTCGCCTTCTTCATTTTTTGTTTGACACAATTCTTTGGATTACCTTTACGATAGATCGTAAAAGTTCCACAAATATATGTCGAGCGCGATTTAACTCTTTGCTACGATACGGAGTTGTAAAAATGGTCCATATACAAAACAATAAAACCAAAATATCAAATGGCAATGAATGACTTTATATAATTTTAACTTGGCAGCGAATTGTTAAGGAAACATCTTACACGTATAGGTAAGCCGTATTTACTCGCTAGCATCATCAATCTTAGTTTCAAATTAGTGTAGATATCAAACATTTCTCTTTGATGCGCTCTCTTTTGAAGTAGTATTAAAGGAATATAAAATCTAAGGTATCTGATTCGAGTTAGAAATTGCGTTTGCAATTCAGAAATATCAGAGCACAGTTGAGGTGAAATTCAGACAGCGAGAACTACTAGTGTTAACAGATTCATTGTTAGCATTCAAACTTCACTTAATACTCAAAATAAATACGAATATAATATGTAAATTTTTATATTCAAATATTATAACCTGAACTGGTTATTAAAAATGTCGGAGACTCTATAAAATATGTATATATCAAGTAAATGATCACACACCGAGCTGAGTCGAATGGTTAAATCCGCTTGTTCGTGTGTGTATTAAGAGAGCTAGTTTCTCAGTTTTGAGATAATAATCTGAAAATTTGCAAACGACCTTTTCTCTCTAAACGCCTCTTTTCCAATATAAGACCAGTATAGCAAATACCTGCCATACAAACTAAACGATCGAAATCAAGTGCTTGTATGGAAATTTTTATTGAAAGATATTCTACCAAATTTGGTAAGGGTCATCGTCTAAAGCAGCGTTTAATCTCCGAAGAATTGTACAGATCGAGTCACTATAGTATATACTGCTATACAAACTGACCAATCAAAATCACGTTCTTTGTAGGGAATCTTTTGTCTTCGTAAAGCGTATTATAGCTCGATGTAACGAATTTAACGCTGTTTCTTATTTTTTCCTTCCACACTTTAAAAAATTTGACAGCTTATCAAAATAATACTGAAAATCATTTGAAAAAATAATAATAAATAAATTTACATGTATGTACATATGTATATATTTAAATAATTTGTACAATAGTTTGTTTTGTGTATTTCTCAGGAAACTCAACGTTGGATAATTTCAATTTTAGCAATTGTCGTAATTTTCGTAATGCCCACCTGCGAGTTTAGTTTCGAGCGTGATACGTCGGTGTATGTGTGTGGTGAACAGCTAAGCGGCAATGTAGCAGTAACACTTGTAAAGGAGAGATTACTTGAAGGTATGTATTTTGGCACACATATTATTTATTAGTAATGTACTGTAATGTTTTATCGCAGATATACGCATAGACTTCTGTGGCAAAGCTACCGTTAATTGGGTTGACACAATGGCGCGCTTTCCAAAGCTCTATTCCGCTGAGGAGACATACATGGAGTTGGAAACAGTCGTTTTTCAAGGCGGTCTACTAAAGCCAAATACATATAATTACAGGTTTAATTACCATATACCAGATATATGTCCGACAACTTGTACAACGGATATTGGACGTATTTACTACGAATTATCTTTAATTCTGTCAATTCACGACAAAGCAGAGACACGTAAGTTTACCAGCGAAATAATGGTGTTACAGTTGTTTAATATCGATAAAGTGCCCAATGCATTGGTGAGTTGAAAACTGTAGTAAAATTTTCCAACATTTTAATTATATGCATTTTTTTTTTTAATTTCACTTAAAACTCAATGCAGCTGCCAGTCATTCGTAACGATGAGATCTACTTTTGCTGTTGGCCCTGCTCGGCCGGTCCGATCTCTATACACCTAAGGGCAGCATCGGGCGCCTACATACCTGGCAATAAAATAAAATTTTCCATTGAAGTGGCTAATATGTCGAAACGTTGCAAATTTCGCACACACATCACCACCTACTTTGTGCAAATCTACAAATTCACCACACAAGTACCGCGTCGTCGTACACGCTATATTTCGTATATTTTGAGTAGCGTGGAGAATCGCATAATTGTCAAAGCGGATGACATCGCTTCGCTGGACGAGGAATTCTTCGTGCCACCGCTGCCACCATCCACACAGGGTACACACATAATTTCTATTAAGTATGAGTTACGTCTACAAACGCGCATCCGCTATGTCACACAAACAATGTCGGACTTGACATTGCCCATACTGATAGGCACGTCGAGGGATATAACACCCGAGCATACGGTGAGCCTGTTATGCATATGTATATGTATTTATGTATTTATTATATCGCCTATTCCTAATTGATATCTCTCGTCTTTTTATGATCTAGAATGTGATGAGGAAAAGTAGACACTGGCAATGAAGTTTAATCTACAATTATCTGTATGCATATAACCCTGCGTTTATTTGACATATATAATAGTTATGTATAAAGCTATATTTAATACTTATATGTATATGTTTTTTTGTTACAATTTAAATGTTAGATAAGCTGTTATATAACAACAGATCCATCTACAACACTTTAACGCTGCATTTCTCTCTTTAACTGTTGCACAACTCCCGCGTAGGGATTATTTTCTGGATTTTGACCCTCGTTAGTGCTGTGTTGTGGCGCGTCTGTAGTATTTAGCACTGCTGTTGTAGTTGCTGTTATAATTGTCGTATGAGCGGCAGCATTTTGCACACCTGGCATACTATCTATGTCATAGTAGAGATATGTTGGTTGAAAAACGGTTTGTTCCTTATTGAATTTTGATTTTTTTGGCTCGGCGTCGAATTTAGTTTTCGGCAAATGTGTCGCTTCGCGGAATGACGAAGTGCCTGGAATAGTGTAGAAAAATATATATATGTAACTGAACATTTTATATTCTTGCAATTGGCATGGATCAAAGCCGGCGAAATAGCGAAAATCAATTATGTAGTAGTAGTATAACATATGGAAGTTTGGGTGATTATTGGCCAATTTTACATATTTACAGCTTTAAACTATTTTAACTTTAGCTAATTTTGCTACGATATCTTACTCGTGAATCAATATATACGGTATAAAGTTATGGGAGATAAGAATAGTATTGACCCGATTTTATCTAATCTCGGCATACTATATATTATTTAAAGAAACAAACGTTATCTGTGTATCATTAAGGTATCTTACATACCAGCACCAATGTACCATAAAAAGAGTAAAATCAACCGAATGTTTGAAAATCCTGATATTATTAGTAAAATACCATCTCTCATTTTCATTAAGATAGCCCGTATATTAGCCGATATATGCGGTATAAAGTCATTCGCAAGTTCGAAAATCTTTATATTAAGCATGTTGTGCTATATGGAAAGTGGGCGTGGTTGTAGACCGATTTCGCCCATTTTTTCAGCATAGCATGGGAATTTCAGGATAATTTTGCCTACCACATTGGTTGAAATTGGTCAAGTAGGTTGTGAGCTATGTGATTTCACCTAAATATGGGCGAAATGCCATAGTGCCAAAAATATTTGTTTTGAGTGAATTTGGTTATTACAGCTTTAGTAGCTTTGTAAATATGTACATTAAACCTATTAAAGTGCCGGGCCTACTTTCTGCAATTTTTTAAACCGCAGATGCCGCTCTCTAATACTATGTTGTGCCAAATAACGGTGTTGATCTTTATTTCGGAGTTTAGTTATGGCGCTTTATAGGTTTTCGTTTAGTGGAATTTTATAGGCGTGCGTCCGATTCCGCCCAACAATATCTCCTCAATTTATAACTGGATTTTAACTCATCTCTTCATCCTGATCAATTTTATATATGTACCATATATATAACTATATAAACCTATATCTATCTCGATTAGTTTTAAATGATACAAACAACCGTTTGGTTAACAAAACTATTATACTCTATAGCGACATGTTGCAAGAGTATAAAAGTACTGCTCCCTAATTCTAATTTTTTAGTTGGTCTTGTGAAGATGATAAAACAAGGACAAGAGTTTGCTTGAAGAACTGCCTTTATAAAGCTTGTGAAGCTAAAAATTATAGGGAGCACTGGTGACGCCACCACTGTCCAAATCTTCATCCATATCCCTAAAATAGTAAACCCAGCTTTTATTTAAAAAAAATATTTTATATCTTCGGATAGTATGACCTATTTGATGCACCTTGGCTCTTTACGAAAAGATAAATTTAATAAGATCACGTTCGTACAACCTTATATCGCAGAAAGGTGGTACTTCCCTGTACACTTATTTCCCTGTACACTTATTTCCATTTAAAATTTCCAAAATCTCCTATACTTGTATTGGTTCCCTTTCTTCACCTTAGTAGCGTAATAGAAATACAATAGAAACTCTCAGCAAACAATGGATTATAATCGCTATAACTCACCTAAATTTAACTCACCCAAATTTGGTATGGAAGATTCGGAATCGGGTGCTGTAGCCACCGCAAAGCAATCTTCAGATTGCACTATTGGCGACACATCGCACTCCATAAGTTTCATAGGCAAATTCTCCATGCTACACATTGCAGATACTGCCGTTTGCTGTGTGTCAGAAAGTGTACGCACTTCATCTGGAGTGCGTAGGGCTATGGTACCCACAACTATGGGTATCTTTGCTTGTAGCGAACGTTTCGCATTATCCGTGGTCAGCCGTACACTTAACTCGTAACTTATTTGCAAGCATTGACAATCGTCTGGATCGGTAGTCGGCACAGTTTGTGGCAAGAAAAGCGTATGCAAATGTTGCACACATATTTCCCGTGGACCGCAGAATATATGCACATATTTAGTTAAAATTTCATGGAAGTATTTGGTTTTCGTTTTCTTATGACCATGCGCGGCGGTTATGCAACAAATTTGCTGTAGCTCGTAGGTCAGTTCGTGTAACTGCAACTTATCGGTATTCTGTATGGAGACGTGTATTGAAAGTTCTTCGCCAGGTACAAACCCAAACTGCTGTAAATTTACACACATTTTTAAAGGATGTTTAAAGACATGCCAAGGCATACCCTCTTCGACGAGCACATCATGCGCTTTATCGGCTATTTGTGGGCAACGACGTAGATCGAGCGGCTTTAGCACTTGCAACTGTTGTGTATACCATACTTCACGTTTGTTCATATGATCAATGAATACTTCAAGCATATAGCGTATGTGACCGTTGGCACTTTCAAAAGTGGACGGACAGCTTTGCGGTAGTGCAACGGAGAATGGATAAGTGTAAGTGCCACGTTCAATGATTCTGCCTGTTGCTGTACGTGTAGTGTGTTCAGTCGAAGATATGGAAATATATTTATATGTATATTTAGTAGTAAAAATATATAATTCTTTATATACATATGTATGTACCTTCCTCGGAACCGACAAAATAATTTACATTTGACAAAAAGTCTTCTCGATTGTTGTAAACTTCAATACGCTGCTCTACGGGTAGTTCGATATCTACAGGTTGCTCCGATTTATTTTTGTGCTTGATTTTCTTAGCTTTCTTCGGTGGCAGAAGCCTCTCCCATTTCACCTCAGCAAAACCGGAATATTTGATGGCAACCGCTATTGTTTTAGTTTTATTTTTTTAATCGTTGTAATACAGTGTCGGGAATTCCAATTGTTATAATAATAAAATATTGAATATGCTTCGTAATTGCATATGACTCATAGCAACAAAAACCAAAATTGTAAATCACTTCATACCTTTGATAAGCAGACGTACCTCCATTGTTAGTAGCACATGGCCGGTGAGTCTGTCGCCGGGTTCATAAATACTTTTAGGGTTATCCAAGTGTACCTTACAATTAAGCACCATGGTGCTTTCTATATGTTTTATATATTGTAATTTTTAGACTCACAAATTTGTTTCAACCATTCCCATTCAGCATTCCGCTTCAACAGTCGCTGTTATACTATTTCGTACAAATAGCTAATATATTATTGAATCGATTTTGCTTCATTATTTCTTTTCATTATCTTATCATAACCCTTTTGGCTTCAAATTAGTTATGCATGTACCCACATATTCATATTATTTATCTACTTGTACAAATGAACCATTTTAATCTATAATTCACCTGCGTTTACGTATTCTTATCAGAAAAGTTTAATATTACAACTGTTTGATTCTAATTGAAAATGATTTGAAATCAACAGATATGTCAATGTATACGTTTGTATGTATATATACGTACATTTAAACCAAAGAATTTTAATTAACAAAGAATCGTGTAACATACCTTATACTGTTATTAACAGCGGACTGTTACAAACATTAAGCTTTAATATGCTAAAACAGAGAATGTTAATAATTTATAAATAATTTGTTAGCATTCACTGCTTCAATGCACTTTTAAGTTCCAAAATTTTCCTTTAATTAATACTTAAGACATTGACAAAATCTCCGAAAAAATTGTTTAGATCGGACTACTCTATAGCATATGGCTGCCATTCAAACTGACCGCTCGAAATCACAATAAAGATTATTTTATATTCTTATATGCTATAAAAAATCCAACTGTGGGCGGTCTTGTAGCTTCGGTATAGCCAAAGTTACCGTATTTATTGTTTTTTATAGTTATATAAATAAATTAGCAGCTCTGAACAAACTATCAGGCCAATATTAAGAGCTTCAAAAATTTAATCAAAATAAATTCAAAGAATTAGATATGGTGTATGATCTCTTAGCATCAGTCGGCCTTTTAGGAGATAAGAGACATGTCTTATGCGCAGAAAGAAGCAAAAGAGGCAAACGTCCAGATAAGCCTTATACATACATCAGAGCTACTATTTCATATACAAGTATTCGACATATCCAACTCCATCAGTAAGGCAAGCAGCATATGATACTAAAATATTATATAATATAAGAGTAACTTTAAGTACTGATTTCAGCGTCTTCGAGTTTATTATGATATTGAGTAAGAGAATGAGCTGTCGGCAAACGAAACCCAGATAGTATATTTTCTTATGACAAACGGATTTATTTTAATTACTTCTAAATACATGTACTTTGTATAATAAGAGTTTCGACGCGCATCTTCAAAACATGAAATAAAACTAAATTAAATTCCAGTCTTCTCCTTCGATTTGAATAAATATATATTGTCGAAAATAATTTCAAAGCTTCTACAATCGAAATATTAAATCGTATAACTTTTTTACACTAATACTAAGGCATCAAATATATATCTTTTATATTATAAGCATTTTAATCATTTACAAACTACAAAATGAGGTATCTGCATCATGGCGAGTGGCAAGTTGTGTTTTTATATTTTTGGCACTTTTTGTTTATTTCTTTGGCACTTAAATCGGTTTCAGTAAATTCTATAATTTCCTTTTTTTTTGTTGTAAAAATTTGCACAGCATCTAAATGTATGTAGTCTGTGTAGACGATCGATCAAGCTATTTTAGAAAATGTCCTCATCATCGTCATCATCATCGCCTTCGTTAGCGTCGTGCACATGCTCATCGGTTTCACTGAGTACCCCACAACTCGAAGCAAAAGTGTCTAGACTACGTCCCGTGTGCCCAGTGTCAAGCGAGCCATAGGAATGATAGTAATTCAAACTCAAAGCCGAGTCTGTAGACATATTAATGGCCTGTGTGGAGGCAGCCACAATATCATACCCAGGAAATTTGGGCAACTTAATTGTACGCTGTTGTTTTCCTCGTGATTTCTGATCCGATAAGTGACCAACACTATCTAGGGTCTGCTGGCTACTGAGCGTGGCAAAGCTGAAGGATGGAGGCACTAAAATTAATGATAAGTGTACATGTTAGTTTAAAGAAGGAACGTTGTAATTGTACAATAATATGAAATAATAATAGAATAAATAAGAATAAAATCAATCCGCGTGTGTGTGCAATGTTAAAAAGGAAGCAACTTCCATAGTTTGTCCAGTAGTACAACAAACTTCGCGGCACCTATCCACTAGGTTAAATATAAACTTAAACAAAAGTTAAATAAGCCTTCGTCATTATTCCATGTTTAAAAGGCATTTACCAGCAGTATTTAGTCATATGAAGTCGGGAAGATTACTTCGAATTTACTAATGTACTCTTAAAAACAAAAATAGACGATCTTCATTTAATAGAATATATGGTCATCATTGACTCTCTTTGTGCCATTAGCCCTATCAACTAATTTTTTTTTTTTTTCTAAGTCATAGCTTTCAACTTTTACAAGTATTCTTATAAACAACTTACAACAACTGTCATATGAAGGCGGCTCATCATCGTCGTTGTTATTGGATATATCTTGGTCTCGTGTTCGTCGTGATGTCGTATGGCTACTGGCTATTGGTTGGATCACATCATCATCATCATCATCATCGTCATCATCATCCTCTTCAGTTTGATTAATTTCCGCCTGCACACTCCACTGTTCGCCGGCCACATCACCGTCTTCCTCCTCTAGCGTAGATATATCACGTGTGCTGATTCTACGTGGCTGCGTGGTCACTAGCTGGACACCGCGCTGTTGCAGCGGAATTGTGCCTATCACAACTGGTACCGAAAGATCTGTATCATAGTGAAAATAGCCGGTTTTTAACTTTACTTGCAGCGTGTAGTGTACAAAAACAATGTAATTGGGATTCAGAGTTGAACGCGGCGTGTCGGAGGGTACACATACGGTACCCTGATACATGCGTTTGGTCAAACGTAGCGTACGCTCCGTAATGATGCTTTTCGCCAGTGTTTTCGTATAGAAATTGCGTTTATATGGCTGTCGTGATAGAAAAATAAAATGCTGCTTGAGTGAAGCCTCAATGCTGCAAATGTCATAATGTGGCGACTGGTTGTCCACTTCCAGGAAGAACGTAATTTGCTGTCGTGCGACGAAACCATTGTAAGGCAGTAGTAATGTATACATAATGGGTCCAGAGGTGCATGGCCAATTGCAGAGATATTTCACGTTCTCATCGCGTATTGGCAGCTGCGCGAAAGCAGTAAAAAATAATTTTAAAAAAATTTAGTTTTGTTTTAAGCACTCACCCCATATTCCGGGTTATGATTTAGGTTTAGCGCTTGCACCACTGTTATGGGCTTGCGAAATACCTCGTCGAAAGTCCACGGCTTGGCGATGGTGAGTGAGATGTTATACGCTATGAAACCATAGGGGCCTTTGCATGAGGACGGACAACCGGACGGTATGCGCAAGCGCAACACGTAGACATGTGTGCCTGCACGAAATTCAGTACTATCGAAAACATTGGTACGCGTATATAAATATTGCTGATGACCACAGTAGTTGGCCGAGTCACTTTTGCCACTGAGAGACCATTGCACGCGAGCTTCGCCCTCCAGTGTTACATAGACAGCTGCAAAATGGAATAAATTAGTTTGTTTATAAAAAATGGGTCTCAAATAGAAACTCAAAACTGATAATTATTAACTAAAAGTCATTGCGGGAAATATTCAATTAAACAAAAAAAATTTAAAAGGAGTGAATTGAGCATTTTTTTACAGCTATTCTAGTGAAAAACACTTATTTTGACTATAAATACCACCCATTATGATAAGATTAGGTATGGTAGAATTCTTCAACGTTTTTCTCTTGAAAGATTTATTAGCGGCGCATATTACATAATTCTTATATTAAGACTGCACCTTAGCCTTCAATTCCCTCAACCTGAATTTTTTAAGACACAAGTGATTAAGGGTTGGTTCTTAGTTATGTTTAAGGTTATTATTTTAAGGTTTAACTAAGATGGCTCCCGTCAATTTTTTCAAGAAAATAAGGGATTTGTAATCGAAGTTTATTACTCGTACACATACCATTTAATGTTTGTCTTTATTGAAATCGGTAAATTTATTTGAAACTTACGACAAAAATAGCTTTGTTTGTTTAAAATTGCCTTTTCATATACTCATATATAAACAACTGATGGTTTTTTTTTTTATCAAAAATATTATAAGCAATATTTGTCACAAAAATTGAAAAACATTTTTTTTTTTTGCAACAACTATTTGGTTTAATTTTTGATTTTCGCTTTCTTTGTTCGTTTCCAAAAACAAAAAACCTTTTAAATAAAAACTATGAAAATAATTGCATAATTCCATTATTTACCATTCACACGCTTCATTTTTTCGGTTTTTAATACGATGCGTCCGTGAATATATTCGCCACTATTGTAGACCGCATCCATGCGGTCCAATTGAAAAGAACACATTGTAGGCATTTTCGTTGCAAATATTTTTTTCGAAAGCCGTGCAGCGATCAAAAAGTACGTTTTTTGAAAATTAAATATAACTTTTCTTATATTTTTTCACTCGCATCAACCGTTAAAAGCGTTTTCGAAAATTTCCCGTAATAACTAAAAAAATTCCGAACCCTTTGCTGGCTTCTTTAGCGTTTTCAACAACGATGACAGCACAACATCCGCTTTATTATCCCTTTGGCCTACCAACATGTATGCTTAACCACGGCTATGCGACTAAAGTACTCTGCTATATTAAGGTCTGACTAACGAACAACTTTTGTGCACACACATAATTACATGGATGCTGTCCGTACAGCGTTTGCGGCACGCATTGTGTCTGGTTGTTTACGGTCTCCATTCTGGCCCGTAGCGAATCAATAAGTTGGCGCCAGAATGCCTTCGAATTTGACAGCCAAACGAAAACAACAACTAGAAGCACACAGCGTAACTAGAAGCACACACACGTAGCAATATGAGGATATGTAGACTATAACAACAATATGCAATAGTCCAGCAACAATGCGTGGCACAAAGAATTTGAAAAAATTGTGTACTCTCCGCACACCTAAGCGCCAAAACCACGAGACTGAGAACTGCTTTAGACGCATGTTTATGTGTGTATGCGAGGCGCTGTCAAGGTAACCGTGCTTTGTTTGATAACCCGCGTACTACCATACAGTGAAAAATAGTAAATACTCGCGTTAGTTAACGGCAATCGGCGACGAAGTTTTACAACTCAGACTCGTTTAGTCTGGCGATTTTTATGCGTTCAATGCCATTTCTACTGGCAGTCATTCATAATGGTTACAGCAATTGCTGAATGATAGCGTGATGCTGTTGTTGATGTGCTCTAAGTTTTATTGTTTTAAAATCGTTTCAGCTGCACTATTTTTTGGTGAGTGAGAGTGAGTCTCTTGTAGTTGAAAACATTCCATTGGTTTCACTCTGTTTTGCTAATTTATGCAATCTTTATAAAAAATATTGTCTTTTAGGATAACAAGCTAGCTACGTACCGGTATTGGTAGCATTTCAGATTTAATAATTATAGAATTCGAAGTAGTTAGCTGCAAAAATATAGCTATTACCTTACTATACATATATACATATCTGATTCCTCCGCAAAAATCAGCTGCTCCTTAAATATCACTCAAGGTTATACTAAATCTAATATGGAGACCATGTGTCGAATTTTAGATCGATCTCTTTTGATATCAGATAACAGTTAAGGATTAATCATAATCTTCATATACTGCTCCAAGAGTATTACAAATCTACTGAAACGTGTAATTAAGATTTTGTTTTCTAGAAATTACTATAATTGATTTGAAGTTTTAAGTATTAAAAATAGAAGAAAAATATAGAAGTTTGTATTTTTATTTGTCATTTGATTCTTTCACAATAGTAAAACTGATCTAAAATATGCAAAACGAAATTTGGTAGCATTGAAGACAGCGGCTATACCACTTTAATGAGGTATCCCCATAATAGCTTATACAAATTCAACTCGTCAACTTTGTTGTTGCTTTTACATGTAAATGTTTCGACAAGACAGCAAAAGATAGCAAAGACATGACGAATCGAAGACAGCTTTAAACTTTATTTTTGCTGCACTAAGAAGATTCAACTTCAACTTTATACATAGAGCTTCGCTAAATGATCCATCAAACGGAAAAGTTCTTAGCCACGTCGAATGGATGCGCCATTACGAAAAATCCGTCGTTTGTGATTGTATTCATAGGCTGGTTTCATCTCGGCACTTGCAAATGGATCTTAATATAATGTTTTATTTTATAAATGTCACAACTTCATAAAAATTGACGTTCGGGCTTATAATCTGAATTTCGGGACGCTCCTGTCTTCATATAAACGAAAAACCCAAAGCATATAAATATCATCTCCAAATTTTCATAAAAATCCCGTAGTACGGGATTTTCAAATTCAGTCCGATTTACGACTTCGTCTTCATTAAAAACACAACTACATTAGCATCTTTAAGTAACAATATGTGGTGGTGTAAAGTGTTTTATGTCAGCAATGGCCTACTTTTAGGCGCAAAATGATGTCACAGGCGTATCAGCAACGTTATTTGGTCGACGTTAAGTTCTTAATAAACACAAATGTATTATATTTGTGTGCGTACTGCGAATGGCTTCTTTTCTTATATTACTTGTGTAAATGTGATTTGTTAGAGATTTCAATTATTCTGTTTACTCAAACATCAATCGTCTTTTGTGAGTAGAAATGGGGCTGTATGTTAGGTATATTTAAAATAAAGTGTAGTGCATTAAGGTTGTATTGAAATGAGTATACAAGTTTTTTTTATTTTGCACACTTTGCTAATACGTTGTTATTTGACAAAATTTTAAATTGCATTTAATTTAATTAAACATTTATTACAATAATAATGCCTGTTAAACTAACAAAGTGTATATGGGTAAATAAAATGGCTCATTAGTTATAAAAACCCGTAAACGATTTTAAGTGCAGAAATTTTTATTTCTTTATTAAAGCAAATATTGACAACAATAGCTAGTTTTATTTCTATTATAACATCATTAAAATACAATTAATATAAATGATAAAAGGGGAACAAGAAAATATTTATATACATTTTTTGTTTATAAACTGTTTTTAATAGCTTATCATCTCATGCTGCACATTTATTATGCAATAATTGTTGTTGTAATTCTTTACAAATATCTGCAGTGCAAGAGTCTTGCTCGCAATTATGGTTTGCAACTTGTGTCTGCAACACGTTGGCTGATGTTGATAAGGTGTTTAAAAGCAACACTGAGGCATAATCGGGCAAGTAATAGAGCATATCGGTCTCCTTTACACAGTTTTCATTTGTTTTATCACAGATTAATTCATCAGCAGCTGAAAGTAGAGTAAAGAATATTGCATTAAAAATATTTTTTTTTGTTACATAATAATAAATTTCATTAAACATTAATTACATAAAATACTTTGCTTATAATATATATGTCAGTAAGAGAATTAGCTAGATCACTGTATAAACGATCGATTCAAATTCAAAATTTTTGCAATTTTCTTCACTTAACAATGCTTAAATAAATTTTTTTCAATCTGAAATCAATTCTTTCTCACACTCACCAAAATTATCGTAGCAGTGATATTGTTTTAAATCCTCAACGTTATGCTGCATACTGTTGACCCGCACACTTTTCGGTGGCACTGTACCTAGTACAATGGGTATAATCAACTTCTGTAAAATGCGTTTTTTATTGACGAGCACTGCTTCAATATGATAACTTATTTGTATGAGATTTTTTGCATTGCCGTCCCAACAAATGTGTGCCGCTAATGGTATACACAATTGACCGGATACCATGACGTATGATGAACTTATTTTCTGTACATCAGTATTTAATACTTTGAGATATTCTTTGCATTTCGCTTGCGGTTTGAAAGCACGAAATGTGGCGTGCTGACATAGATTCACATGTAACTTGTTGCATGCGGCAAATTTATGCTGACCGCATAGTGTGTAGGCAATATTTTGGCCCGGCACATAGCCAGTGCCAGTGGATAGTGTAAAGCGTAATAGCGCGTGAGCGGCTGGCGTTGCTACGTTGGCGTTGGTCAGCGTATGGGGCTATTGGTTGAATAAAATATTTATGTAAATAATTGTATATAAAGTATAATTTTGTCTAAGTTTTGCGTTATTCCTTTTACCTACCTCACTCAACTCTAGCGCCGCGCTTAAGTCCACGCGGTTTTTCACTGTAATGCGCGCATTGTAAACTTTATCGGACACCGCTTTACATTGCAACGTTACACGTACGCAATAAAAACGCTGACCATACTGCATAATACAGCTAGCTGGCGCATCATAAGGCAAATCGAAGCTGAAATTTTGCACACAAACTTCCGCCGCTTGTAAGCTGGTGCGCTTCGTAATTGTACAGGACTCATATAAGCGCTCCTGCTTGTCGCTGTAAAGCACTTTGTTGTCCTTCTCAGTACTGTCATTGTGTACTAGTAATGCTTCTCTGCTCTTCTCCAGCCACTCCACTTGCTCAACGCCAACCAAAGCAATTTTTATGTCTGTCGAAATGAGTGAAAACAATAAAGCATTAAAATGCGCGTAAATAAAGCAACTGCATGTATGTTAACGTGTTATAACAAAATCGGTTGTGCTGATGTTTTAACACATTTTACTCATAAAATGCACATATGCTTATTTATATGAACTCAACTTGTTGCCGCTTATCACTTCGTATTTATTTTTATAATTTCTTATTTAGTTTACGATTTTACAATTTGCGAAATTTGCGCCAGTGGCCTTTGGGTAAAGCAAATTTGTCCAAAGTGCTAATTAAATGCAATTATTAAAGCAATTATCGTTTATCTAATCACACAGATAACAATACAGCTTTTAGTCTTCATATTTTATATTGTTGTGAAGGCGGCCGCCTGCAAATTTTGGTCTTAAATTTTGATCTTATACTACAGATGAAAGAACGCATAGCAAATAATACCTTCTAAGCTATTGAAAGACTGATGCACATTTTTTTTTCTTAGAAATGTTATAAAATTTGCCATTGGCTATTAAAATTCTCCATTAGACCTACCTATATTGTGCGTTAAGCGCACTCAAATATTACAAACGTTAACAGATACATAATGAGCTGCGTGTCACTAATTATATACAACCATTCGTCTCCAGCTACGCTAAGTATTGTTCATTTAGTAACAATTTAATCAGCAATAAGTGCTTTCATTAATTATATTATAAGTTAATTACTATTCACTGTAAATGTCATATAAATCATATAAAATAATCGCTATAGTTAATCCTCACTGTGCTGAAAGAATTGTGTCTAATTTTAATTAAACTGCATACATATTTCTATTTATAGTAAGTAGTGGCAAGTAAGCTTTCATTTCAAATACAAGCAGACTAGTTATATTAGCCGTCTTCATTTCGCCACTTTTCTACTCGCAATATATTTGAGTTTTGCCAGTTCATAGCTTTGTATGTGAAATGCCTAATAAAGTTATGCAGCTAAATTCATACAGTAGTATAACTCTTTTATTATCTATAATTATTTCACCTAGTCAGTATATTTGATTTGAACTAGTTTTTAGTTCGATTCGCCACTTCGCTGTGCACGATCTTCAAAAATTCTGAGTGCGTAAGCGACCAAAAAAACTAAGTAATCGGTTGATCTTAACACAATATAGTAGCAGCTGACTTTTTATGTTATTATAACCGCCTTCTGTACTATGAGTATGCCCTTATGCCAGTTTAAATACTTTATACCAATTATTTGTTCTATTGTGTCAATCTCTAAGGCTTGGCGTATTGTAGTCTATTGTTTGAGTCAGTTTTAAAGAAGTAAGTTAGAAAATAAGGACATTTTCTGAGGAGAAAACCACTGTTTTACTTGTACAGACTTATAAACTTACTCGGATTGAGTTAGCTCATGTTGAACTGGTTATTGAAAATAATAATCAAATTTATTCCATTGTGTAAGAGATTCCAAAAGGACTACGAACATTTATTTGAAAATTTCAAATAATATTTTGAGTGAGTATTATAATTGAGTAAATCTAAAAGTTAGGAGAATATTTGGTAATTTGGCACAAAATATTTTTTCTAAAGCATTCGATGATTAGTTCACTTGTTGTCTAGGAGTGTTAAAAAGACTTACTCAGTTAAGAAGTATGGGATTAAATGAGCTTTAAATGGTCTTCAAATTTTATACAGGGTATTATTTTAGATGTATAACATGTAAATTTTTTAATGAGTATTGTCAAAGTGAATACACGTGTTGAATATTTTTGCTTATGATCAGCGCTACTGTCAATAATACTAACAAGATTTAGCAATATGCCATACACCAAAATCACTTTCATAAGCAAAAGAGAAATACTCACCTTCAATTGCCAGAAGTTTTGTGCTGCTCAATACAATGAGGCCACTTATTTGCTCACCACTGTAGTAAATCGGCGTTGTGCGCGAAAATTTAAATTGGCAAGTCGTTGGCATATTTGCGAGTAGAATGCTACTTTTTATTTTTTTTTTTGTTTGGTTAATTTCTTTCACTTGTTATATGAATGATTATTTAAATTTTAATTATCCAAACAAATGTTTACCATTATAATATGTTGTTGTTTTCTTCAAAAAAAATTTTATGACAATTATTTATTGTGTTGTATATTTTCTTTATTACCGTTTAGCTTGATTTGATTGTTAGTTTTGTTGTTGCTTTGATTTTTTATACACTTTCAATCACGTCAAAGCAATTTATATTAGCTACGTCGTTAATTCGAAGTGATGCGCCGCCGCCTACTCCATAGAATTCTACAAATCGTGCATTCATAAATATTATATTATTTACATATACATTATTTAAAAGGAATATGTTCACTTTTCATACAAAAAAAATATGGAACCAGTTATTACTCCGTTGTTGGATTATTCCAACAGGCACTACACGACACTTGGGCGCGACTGAGGCGTTGGTTGATTTCACACAGCGCTGATGGTGCCGGTTTGGCCCACAGCAGCGCCGCCGCTACAGCCGACCGGGTGTGCGACACAGCTAATCAAAACTTGCACTCACAACTCAATATGCGCGAAATTATGTATGCTTGTATATACATACATATGTACATATGTATCTACACACATATTTGCACGCGAGTTTGATGCCGTTAACCGCTTCTACAATTTGCTCTACTGTTATCAAATCGCCGACTCTTTTGTGTGGAAATTTTGCGATTTTTGACGAATTTGATTTTCCGCTTATCGCTGGTGTAGCGCTCTACGACCACTACTCTGGTTTTTGGTCAACGCTTTGCAGTTGTTGGTGGAACGTGCGGCGACCTGCAGCCCACAAACTGTTGCAGGAAATATTGAATTGAATCAACTAAAATACTTAGGAAGTAAAACAGCTGTGCAACTAATTATTTACTGTATATATAAATATATAGCTGAGCAGCTATTTACTTATGGCACTGTGTGCAAACAAATTTATTGCTTTCCATTTATTATGATATTATCTTTCGGAAGCAAAGAGCTTCGGTTTGAAGCAAGTTAACGTTATGTAAATAAACACTTATATGTATATACTTATGTATATGCATATGGTATGAATTGATTTACGTAGAAATTATTTTCTAACGTAATGTGAAGAATGCATGGCATATTCTAACCAAAATACATATTTGTACAACAACAAATATACTACAAATCTAGGTACATTATTAAAAGACAGCGGAAGAAGTGTTTGAATGTAAACAAATGTTAAATACTTATATATATAAAAATATGTATAATAAGTATATGTAAACAGCTAATTAGTATTTTGACATCTAGGAGTTGTGTTTTCAAAAAATAAGATATACCAGCGCTTTTTCCAATTGTCGAAACACTTCCCAAACTTTATTTTTGAAATAGCCTTCAGCCCTTTCAGCGATTTGCATCTATTTTGTAAAACTATGGCATTCCAAGGATTTCTATGTTTTTGAAAATATTAAAATATCCACGAAGCCTTGTCTGGCGCATATGGAGGCTAGGACATTATTACAGTATTGTTTTTGGCCAATAATTCTGGAACAGGCAACGAAGTGTCAACTTTTAACAAACAAAAAACTCGACAATTGGACTAACCAATTTTAAAATTCAAATATTATCTGAACACACCACGTACTTAATATACACAACAAGGCAATAGTCTTATCTTATGTCGCCTTCGAACATATACCTCAACCACTTTTTCGTATTAGAAAGCTATCATTGAGGTCACATTACCTTGTGATAGGCTCTATCTAATTTTACAGTAGCCTCAGACAACATTTGTATTCTCATCCCACTCTTGTATGACAAGAGGAATCGCACTCAGTAAGATAAGAGAAATAATCCAATAATTGTCATTTGCTCTAAAACATATTCGTGAGTAAGAATATATTTTGAAAAAAATTCCCTCAGAGCACTTGACCTGCTCGCAAAAATAAATAAGTTCAATAGTAATTAGTAGCAAATAATCACTTTTTGGATATAATGAGAAGATCTAGATCTCTTCGGATATGAGAATTCCTTTAAGCGACTTGTAGGTTTAGAAATCCTTTGAGTAAAATGAAGAAATAGTGCGTTATAGGTTCCAAATTTTTTCCGTTGTCTATGCATATCACAATGGTTATAAATTTATAATAAAAATTATTTTATTATATACCAATATTGCAAAATTAAAATATACTGTTACTGTCATATAGGGTGAATACTGATGACACTATCGAGAGAACTCTAGATTACGTCTTTCTCCGTATTTATTCTAGCTCACGTCTAAAAACTGTCGAAATCGGATTTCAAGTCATCAGATACTGAATATGTGGACCACAGTATAATAATAGTGTGCTCTAGTACATAAATTAGATAAAATCAGTTAAAAACTTCCCCTATCTCCCATATAAGAAAAATAAGGATTTTTACACATCCGGTTGGCTTTATGCTATATGTGTATATCGATCAATCTATGATGTGCGGTTAATACGAACCCCCTTATTTATATCTAATTTAAGAATTTCAAACTTCCAGTTGGCTTTATACCATATAAGTCGCAAAATATGTATAAAAAAGTTTTCGAGTATACTTGAGTAAGATCAAAAGGTAATGCAATCCGGCCAGACGTTCCCCTAATCCCAATGTATTCGATATTGATTATTTTGGTATTTCCTCCTGACTCTTTAAACCATTTATGTATGTCAGTCAATTTGTGTGATATTTTAATGATAATTTATAATATGTGTAATATAATGTAATAATAAATATAATATAAGCTCTGCTCACTATTCTTACAATAGTTTATAGAAAACAAGTTTTTACTAAAACAGTTTCTAACAAAGAAAGAAGAATGTATCCACCAAAAACAGAATCAGAACACAATTACGCGTGCGTTAGGGGCCATGCTAACATAGGGTTGCACCGCAAGTGCTGGCAGTTTCTTTGAACAACCTGTATAGTTCTTCTCTCCAATGCTTGGCAGATCGAAGACATATAGACTATAACACAATGGCTTTCACTTAAACTAAAAGCGACTAGTAATTCAAATTTAAATAATTTTATTCTAGTAAAGAGGTTAATTTCAAATACTTGGAACAAAAGCAGAGAAGAAACGCTTAGTTTAATTTGGTCAATATATTTAAAAATTTATTTAAGGAAAAAAGTGTGGAAATGCACATTGAAAGGCTTAATAAACAACATATATGTAAATGAATAGGGAGATTTTACGGGAACATGTTTATTTTATGCTTAAAATTTTATTTATATATAGGCATATATATCTGTTACTTAAGCAATAAATATTTATTAGTATTTAAATATATTTTTTTAGGAATTGCTTAGTTTTAAAAACTTATTCAATATAAGGATTTGTAAATTTAAAAATAATATTTAGCCTAAAAGTATATAAATATTGTTAAATATATGTTTTTAATTTTTTATATTTGATGTTGGATTGCTTTACAGAAAATTTAAGACGTTTGAAAAAAATTATGGCAGGCGCCATCTTTTACATTTGATGTATTTATAAAGTAATTTTTGAAAACTTTTTTGGAATAAGAATGCAGCTCGTTTACATAATTCACAATTCTTAAATAAATACTTAATAATAATTTATGATTATACTTATTTTCACAAAATTAAAGAAAAAACTTTACAATAGTATAAGTTTGTTAACTTTTTATATAAAGTATATTTTGGCTTATTATCAACCAATTACACTCCAGCGAGTTGATTTTAATCTGTTCAATGAGAAAGTGAGAAACATTTATATACCTACTGTTCTAAAAGAACAGCAGTGCTGTTACCATATTTAACTACTTATTCCCTACTTTATCTAAATCGCAATATATAATATATGTATGTGTGTATCTAAATATATGCTGGAATATAGAGGAATATGCAGGAACGTTAATAACAAAAATATAATCATATTCACATCGAGTAATTATGGGCAACACAACGAAGACGCTTATGTGGTTTACATACATATATTGTTTACTGTGCGCTATTAGTTGTCGTGTTAATTAATTCAAATAACTGATTTATAATTTCACGATTTTCATACAAAATTGCGTTTATTTTTACACAATCTTTGATGAATAATTTATTTAGCGAATGCATATTTTCTACAAGGACCACCGCGGTTGACTGTTAGGTCGTGGAATCGACGGCATATAGCCCGTCGTTCGAAATGAAAGGTTTTCTAAAAGAACTGGTGCTTCAGCTTGTCGTGTTTATTTCTGAGTAACCAGACATCTATCAAACTAAGTCCAACTATTTTTGTCATAAAAGGATAAAATTAATTTACAGCGAGTGGCCGTCTATTTATTTAATTATACCTATGTTTTCTACACACTGCTTTATGTGAATCGTAGAAAGTATTATGAATTTGGAAAACAGAGAAAAAGTTGTTACATCATTTAGAAGCAAGATCAGACTTCCGAAATATATTCGATATAAATATTTATCACTGGGTTATACAAGAAATTCGTTTCTAAAGACACAGTTGAACTGCAATTCAACTTTGGAACAATTAAACTTTGGCAACACAAATTACAACTGATTTTAGTTGAAGCTATATCATGAAAATGTACATTCATTTTATTTAGATAAAAAATTCTAACAGAATAAGAAATTAATCTTTGAATATGCTGTAAAGCTTTACTAAAAATTAATTCTTACTTGACATTCGTAAGTAGACGAGCTTAAGTGCTTGTTATATTTATTTATGCTTTGCACAAAATTTAGAAACTCTTTTAAAATTTTTTCTGAAAGTTTTCTCTTTCTATTTTCTATTAATAATTATGCTACCGCAATAGCGTTAATAGTAAGAGTAAGTTGTTAAACAACTCAACTCAAAGCTTTTGAAAAAGTTGTGTCGATAATAGTGATAATACTGAATTCGTAATATTTCAACTGAAAAGTAGTGACAGTTGTATAAACCATCATAATATTAATTTACGAAAAACAGTAATTTTTTTTTGTGGCGTACTATAATAAGTTGGCTCTATTTTTTATTTATAAGATTTTGTTTGTAGAATATATAGTTATATGAACATATTCTTCTATAAAAGGCTAAAAGAACCGATTGCCAATCTGAGATAACTAATGTACTGTTAAAAGCGGACATCTACCATATCTATGTCAAAGGAAGCAGCACATGAATGAACCAAAATTGAATTAAAGAAAGGGTGCTGAGAAACTAATATGTAATAATTTATGAATAATTAGTCGCTTAAAATTGTTTACCTCTAACTTTGAAAAATAGATTTACAGTCCGTTTGTTTTGAACAGCGCTTCTCTGTGTTTATTTTTTTTCTTTTTAATTTGCACAGCTAAATGAAGTGTTTCTTCAAAATTTCATTTTAACTGCTTTGTTACAAATAAGCGAAGCAAACTAAAACCAGTTCACATAAAGATAAATTCACGAATTCACAAAAAGATTAATTGTCTCTTCATAGATAGAGTCATATCTATCGCCAACGTTTTGAGTTAGCAGACGGCTTATAGTCAGCTACTTAAGGTGTAAAGTGTCCTCAAACTAGTAACGCTACTTAGAAATTATTTTTATAATTGTTAATCTTTATTTGTTGCAATATTTTTAGTTATCTAAATAGCTAAATTAAGCTATTTTATGAGTACTAAAGCTTTTAAAGTGTGTGTTTTTCTGTGAATGTGCGTGCGTTATTACGATTACATGTTGTTGATGGCACAAAGTTTATTTAATATGTTAATTATTTAAGTGGGTAATCATTGCTGTTACATATATAATCATTATCACTTTTAACTTAAAATTAAAGATGCATTTTGACTTAAATTAGTTAGATTCCACTTTGCCATTTTTTATGACAAAACATGAATTCATATTCAAAACAAATAGCGATCATATTAAAATGTTGAGAATTTATGCACATACCTATAGCATAATAAATTTGTCATTAAAAGGGGCATAAGAAAATATGATCGGTTTTCATACGTACAAATAGATACGAGTATTTGTATGATAAAAAATGTAAAATTCCTGCAGTGAAATATAATATCAAAATAGTTTAGAACTATAAACTCCTGTTTAAAACTGAGCAGCTCATAAAAATACTAGCTCATCGTGAGCTTCTAATCGAACTAGTCAGAAAACCACTAGATTTTAAAAGTAACCAGTAAGTAATAAAGTGGGTTGAAATACAATTAGTTAGAAAACATTCAAGTTTCCAACCAACAAGTCAGACAACAACAAAAGGCATTAAGATCGGCTGACTTACAGTTATAATACCTGTAATTTCTTATAGTAACAATTCGTATAATTGAAAATCTAAAAACGTAACCGCAAACGGTTTCTAGATATATGCTATAGTATTCCACAGAAAGGGACGTGTGCAAATTTTCAGACTGATAGCTCAAAACTGAGAGCCTAGTTCACATATATACAGACAGACGGACGGAGAGACAGACGAACACGGCTAAACCAACTCAGCTCGTCACGTTGATCATTTATGTGTACCTAGGTATTTTACAGGGTCGCCGAAGTTTCCTTCTAGTTGTTAAAAACTTCATTGCAAACTTAATGTACCCAGTTCAGGGTAGCAGAAAATCATAGTACTTTATCTCAAATTCAGCAGCATAAAAAATAATGCAAAAAAATACTTTTTGAGTTAAAAATTAACTACTCCAAAAATAGTACACAGCTATCCCAGTTTTAAAATGAACTTTCAGTGAGAACATTTTCAAATTGAAACGAGAGGTTACGTCCACAATTGAGATTTTTTTTTTCTTTTTGCAACTAGTATACCCATATCTGATCGAAACTGAAAATTAATGTAACGCAAGTAGTGTAAAAAATAATGTTAAAAAAAATTGGTCGACTGACTAAATCAGTCTCTGGCACATATTCTTTATAAAATAGTTTGAAACTATTAATTAATTTCACTGCAGGTATGTTACACAATTTTAACTGTACGATAGTTAGGCTTAAATAGTGTATTATAATTTATACGAGTATCTAATAAATATTTACATTATTTCTTTTCTTTACGAAAGACGTTGAAACTGGCGGCACTAAGCGGTTGATGTGATGAATCGGTCGAATCAGATGACTGTAACTCGATACGCAGTTGCGAGGGTGACTCATCGTAGAGTGTTTCTATTTGAAGCGTTATAGTAGTATAAGTAGAAGTTGTCATTCGTATATACAGTGGACGCATGAGGGACAAAGACAGTGGGAATGTTAGCGAGGATTTATTTTGCAAGTTGGAAACACAATTGGAGTGTTGCGAATGGCAAGTTTGTTGATGAGCGATTAGTTACGTGTTTGATGAGTGATGCGGAGAAAGTAAAGGAAGACGAAAGACAGATTAGCATTTAATTACAATATTTATGAATTTTTAATTTTAAATATAAAACATAAAAATTACTTGTGCGAAAGTCAAAAACAAAATACATGCCTGGTGAGTTTAACAGAATACTAAAAATATTTACATACAAATAGTTCTACTCATGTCTCTTAATCTATTAATATTAATATTTATGTTAAATAATTTAAGTAATTTCAATATAAGTTGTTTGTTTTTGTAAAAAAAAAACGCTATTTATTTAATAGTTAGCAATATCGCTGTGAGAAATAATGCAATTCTTCAGAAAATATTATTGGAATAGGTTGTTAACTATGTAAATAATTAATCAATCATATATGTTTTAATGCGATTTTGGATTATTGTCAAATTAAACCTAATTGAAAGATGGAATTCTGCAAACTTAGCTTTTCGTAATCTACTTATTTTTTTCTAAACATATACATATACACAACAACTATAATAAATTCATTATGCATGCAATTACATGCCACGTTATAATATTTGCGCAATGATACTTATAAACTTTTTATGTGAATTTTTTATGCTTAAACTATTTTATTATCTAATTTTTGGCTATATAAAAAAATAAAAAAATTTTAAACGGTATATATGTATGTATATTTTCAAAGCTGTTTAACCCAAGTAAATATTCTTTCATATTTGTTTTCCGAATGCTTTTTTTTGGTTAACCTAGTTGCTGACCAAAAACTGTTATTTCTTTGTTTAAGCTTCTTTCATTCTTTTAGCACTAAAATGCACCAGAACAGTGATCTGCATTAGAGGAACTGCGACTGTGTGGGTGAGCATAAAATTAACATAAAGACACCCAGTGAGAACTATGTAACCGTAAATTTCTCTATTATATTTATAGATTTTACGATTGAGAGCAAAAAAAACTGATCTTTAGATTCTGTAAATAATCAAAAATATGAAATGTAATATGTACATAACACTAAAGGGTATTTATAATAAGAAATAATGTCATGCAGTCAAAAATTAAAATACGCACATTCTTATGGGCACAGTTATTTAGGCAGCAGCTTGACTTCACGCCAGCTGGCTTGCAGTTGCCGCTGCCGCTAAATTAAAACCAATTCTAATTTTGCCGATGCCAATATGAAAATAGCACTGATATATTATTTCTAATAACAATTGATAATTTAAAACAATGAATCGCTTTATTTACATTTTTTTTTTTTTTACACAAAATTTTACTGTGAATGTTTCTATAACATTTGATAGTGCTGCCACCATAGGAAGAAATTAGTTTTGAGATTTTTGTGGTAATTCTTGGGTATTTTTCTGTTTCCGTTCCCCAGAAAAGTATACCTAATTAAGATTAATTTTAGAGGCCAGATATCCCTTATTAGCCCCTAACATACGTTTGTACATATATAATATATTTAAATCACAATGGATTTTCCATACTAACTTTTAGACCTCAATATGACAAAATATTTTAATATTTCAAATCTCTTTTATGTTCTAAACAACATAAACATAAACCTTACTTTTTTTTCGTGGCTAATTATATATTTAATAAACAAATATTTTTTGGTAAAATATATGATAATGAAAGTTTAAGCAAAATAATACTTTTCGATAAATACTTGCACTTTCGTAAAAAGAACCTATCGGAAGTCCCTTTAAATAAAGTTTAGAAGCATACGTAAAAATCACTAATAAATCTGATCTCACAAATAACGCATTATTTTTCTAATTTATTGCTACGGGATTTGGAATTTCATTGTTTTGCTTGTCATCTATTCAGTAGCTTATGAACTTTCAGTGCTGTCATATTACACCACAGCTCTAAGTGTTTCGGATCTTATTATCCAGTTAGATGTAAACTAACACGACTGCACTATTAATTGCCGACCTCTGGTCAAAAGACATATTTGGCATATTTCTTCGCAGATTATAAATATAAAGATTTCTTTCTAGATATGAATTAAGTAAGCAAAAATATCGAAAACGATTGATTATATAATGTATAAATATTTAGCAAATATTGTATACAAGTTACGATACACAATTTGGCAGGATAAGAATGTTTTTTTTTAATTTTTAGCTGTGGAAATCATCACACAAACGCTAAAATAAAGGTATTGTTAAAAGTCACTAGAGTAGTAATAACTCTTTGCATACAAACTAAATTTATGTATGGTATATTAACATTTTAAAATTTCATTAGTAGTTTGACACAGGTTTTGGTATCAACATTTTTGCGATAATACGAAGAACAGTGATCGTTTGACTTTATACGGAACACAGATGTCAAATTCACGTTGACAGCTGGTTTGACAGCCTTTCAAATAAGAAAAAATGTATCTATACCTGTATAAATTTTTTGCCGAGGCTTTAGTGCTCAAATATTTTTGGATACTTATTGTTATAGTTTTGTATGTATTTAATTAATTTATTTTTATTTTTCCACTTATATCAAAAATATTACTATTATGTTTTTATAAGTGCAGTTAACCTTTTAAAGTTGTACAAAAAGATACAATAATTATTTTTTTTAATTTGTTGAACTGTTGTCAGTTAATATAATATCTTTCAGTTAGTTTTTAAATATTTTTAATTAACGCTGTAATTATATCTTATTAATATATATAAATATATTTCATAAGTCAGTGGGAGAAAGTTCTATTCCAATATATTTAGTAATTTGATAATTTAATGTAAAAATTAATTTCAATATCTTAGTTAATTATTGTGCATTTACATAAAGATCCACCAAGTATTGAATACATAATATTGAATACATAATATTTCTATATGCTTGAGAGTATTATTATATTAATGATTGTGTCTATTTACGGTGTGATTGTTTGATTGCTATTTAATATTTTAAACTTTCGGCAGGCACACATTCAAGCAGGCAGGCTATGTGTCAGAACCCTTTATTATTATTAAAAAAACAGTGCATTTTTAATAATTTTGATGCTTAGTGATTATAAACACAACTTTAAAAGTGAAACTTGAAAAATCAGAGAATAATACAAATTTATTTATAGTTATATAATTAAAAATAAATTTTTTGTTTTAACGTGCAACTATTTAATTTTCATAATTCGAAAATAATGCCTAGCTGCAATCTTTAAATTTATCAAAAAAAAAAAGAAATTTAAATATTGATAAAAAAAATAAGTAAAATTTAAATTTGGCATTCCAACATTCGCAGTACTTAAATTCGAGCATTCGAGTCACTATATACAAAAAACATCAACAAATTAAATTCCAAGTAAATTTTATGATCAATTAAAGCCCGAACTGAAAATTAGTTTTTTTGTTTGTACTCCAATCGTTCAATTCTAAATATCGGAGGTAGAATCATCACTACCAGGCGGTATGATTGGCGTCTCGTACTCATAGTAGACGGGATAGCGTGGCTTAAACGACTCGGCCGTTTCATTGGAAACAATACTACTTAAGCTGACATTTTGCAAATATTCGCTGTCATCACAGAATTTATCACTTAACGCCATGGCATCTTCATACGAAGGCGGCACTATGGAAAATAAATATAAGACATTGTCACCCAATTAAATAGCTATGTGTCAGTAATACGCACTCATAAGTTTATAATCGGGCGGATTGTCACCATCGGTTATTAGCAGTGTTGGTATATCGTTTCGGGTACTCTCAATACTCTCTTGCGATGGCTCAAGAGCAGCTTCTACTCCACCCACAGCTGCTGACTGTTCCGCATTCTCGCTTGCATTTTGCCTCAACAGTCTACGCTCATTATAATAGCCACGTCTAACGGCATGCTGGTTTTCTAATAAGCTTGGCAAGCCAGCCGCTGCTGCCATACTATCTATAATTGGTATGCTACCAATGGTTAATGGTATTTTAAGTTTCATCTTCCAATGAAAATCCGTTGGCTTAATTATAATCTTTATTAGATAAGTGATATTAATGGGGCATATCATTTTCAACGATGACGGCGGTATGGAGGGCAAACTGAGATATCCACGATAAACTTTACGACTCCAACGCAAAACATTACCGAATTGTTTGCGTGCGATGAGATGTTTATCATAACGATATTCATGCTGTGGATCATGTGATTCGTAGCTCACTTCCTGCTTTAGCTTGACTTCACAGTCCGTGATATCAATGGACGATTCGTTGTTAATATAAAGGACGAAATGAATCTTTTGGCCGGGTGCGTAGCCGCAATAGGGTGTGGAGAATTTGACAGTTAATGGTCCTGTGGGACAGCAAAAGCTCCAGAATCGTTTGCGATCAAGAACTTCGAGGGGCACCTATGTCACAAATAAATGATTATTAGAACGATTAAATTTATCACGAGTGCTAATATTATCCATACTACTTTCGTGAGCCCACTTACCCTGTAAATTGTGTCCAAATTCAAATCTAACGGTTGAATTACCGTAAATGGCAACTTGAAGACTTTAGGATATCGAGCTGGCCGATCGATTGTGGTGATAATCTCATAATGTATCTGCCCATATTTGCCGTCGAATGAAGTGGGCAGATTATCTGGCAGTATTACGTGAAACGTATACGAGTAATCGCCGGCCGACCAGTCCATACACGAACTGCTCGCACACGAACCGAGCACATACGAACGCGACGATAGATATGAGCGGTAGGCACGGCACATAGCACGTTCACTATCGCGCGGATAACCCTTTTTTATCCAGCGTATCTTCGCATAACCGCTAACTGTAATGTGTATTGCTGAAAGATATAAAAGTGTTTATAAAATGATGGCGGTAATAAAATATATATAATATATATAGAAAGAATATTAATGATCAATTACTTGGCCTTTGTATGCGATTCGATTTGATTTTCGATAGACGACAGGAAAGAGTAAATAAAGAATATACTAATTATAAATAAAATGAATTCAATTCATATGGGCCAACATAACTCCTATTAGGGTAAACCTATTATTGCATACTGCCACTAAATATGTTTATAATATTTGTCAGAAAAAAAATTTATATTAATTAATTGAATTGAAGAGTAAACTCAGTTTTATCAGCTTTGTTGAAATTCATGGCAGAAAATATTGGTCACGTGCCAGCCTATTGAGGCAATTATTATGCGAACTGACTCTTGCCAACAAAACAATGAACCTGTTTAAAGAGCTAGATCTACGAAATTCATTTGAAGTCAAGGCTTAATATAAAACTGGGCGTACTATTTCAACTACATAGCAGGTCATTTTAAAAATAGTTTACAAAATGAAATTATCATACACAGCAATTACATTAACGCTGCCCAGCAGAATGCCGATAATATGTATGTAGTTTTTATATATAAGTTTTTTCTTCTCTCTCTCTCTCTGCGTGCCTTATATAGGGTGCTTCAAAAATGAACTGATTATTTCAAAATAAATTTCGGATTTTATATAGATTATAACGTATCAGAGTTAAAGTGTCTAAAAGATCAGCTAATATATATATATATATCGCTATTCTGGGCAATCGCTTTGTCAAGATTGACAATTTATCAAGATTCTCCTATTCTGTGTCGTAACTAAAACGGTCTTTTCTTGATAAACTGTCAATATGTCAAATGTTTTGACAATGCTCTTTACAAATAAAACATCTGTTTTACTTTTTGTGCATTGTTGTGAAAATCAATTTGCTGAAATGTAAGATATTTTAACTATTTTTGTTAGACTAAGAGAAAAATTACGAAAAAAAAGTCGCACATATTACTTAAGAAATTTAAGATATGTTAGTTATTAATTTTCGTGGAGTGATTATACTTTCACGCAAAATTTTCATTTGGGGCGATTTTCGGCGTCTTATTGATGAACTTGCTCACATGATAACCAAAAAACCATGCTGCTTTTAGCTGTAAGAGTTCTGACAGCTTTAAACTTCATTGGGCACGGCTCATATCGAAAATGTGTAGGCAACAATAAACACGCAGAAATCATCTGTTTCTGTTTTACATATTGTAGTTTTGTTCACCACGCGCTGCGCTCTAAAGCTTCAAATTTTATCAGAATTTCAACAAAATAACAAAAAACTTTTTACTTGCTAAAAATCTTGATAAATTGTCAATATATTGTTAATTTGTCGAGTGTACAAAATAGAGTTGTATAAACATAAATTCAATCGGGTTTGTCTTTAAAAACGTTTTCTCAATTATTGCGTTGCTTTAAGCTGATAGCTTAATAAAGCCACATAGTTGACATATGTATGTCATGGCGGACACGAATAACTTTGAAAATTGACATACATCACGTACGTAACCTGAAATGCATAATAACAACCATTTCTTACGTCGTGTATATAGAGAACCAAAAAAAAAATGTGTACAGGGAGATGACTTTAATTTGAAGTGACTTAACTCCTATACTACTATATTATATTCATAATGTAATTGAAATATATTTTTTAAGAATTAAACTTTTTCCAAAAATTAAAAAAACTTAAATTAGCTCAATTTTTTAAAGCCAAAAAAAAAACTTGTACAGTTTGCATAAATTGACATTTTAACACTCTTAAAGGAAAACTAATACTTTGTATGTGCATATATCCTTGCTCTCTATCATGGTTTGCAGTCTTGTATTTATAGAATGCACAAAAGTTTGTGTAAGTTCAACAGGTCCTTACGCCATACAGATCAACGACCGTCGCATCCAAATAAATTAAATTTTGACTCATCGGTTAAAATTACAGAATCGCAAAATTCGATATCACGTTGGATATACTCTTTGGAATATATGTAATAAACGTTTCACAATACTTCTCTTCTTTAAAGGCAATGCATCACCTTGTACCAGTTTTTTTGTTTTTTGGTTCACTGCATGTACATATATCAACATTCTTACATCTTCCTTAAATTTTGCCGTTTATAACGTGTAGCAAGATTAAAAAAAAAGTTTCATACTTATCTAACATAACTCCTTTAGTGTCAGTACAATCTATTTTTATTATTGGGTGACACTCTTATCGAAAATATATCTGTGTATATTAACTTCCAAACTACCATCATTTGATACAAATGTTAAACATATTTTAATAATTTACTTCAAAGTAATTTTTTTTTAATTATAAAATAATTTTGGATTTAAAACCGCTCTATTAACAATATTCAATTATTTTTTTTTTAACTATATTTTAAATTAGTGGCAACTCTTCTAAGTTCTAAGTTTTTTAATTGACTTCATAAATTGCTATACTACTTTAGCACTTAAATTGGTATAATTCGTATATCTTAAAAATATTAAAATTTATAGAAAATTTAATTTGATTGCGCAAACAGGTGGCAATGCTCAAAAAAATTTTTGTTTTTTTATTAATTATAAAAAATATAATTTTCTTAAATTTTTTAACAAAAACTTTAAATTTTGTCTACTTTTTAATTATCCATGTATTGTACTATACCGTACAATATGAAAGATAATTATTTCTATTGGTTCAGCCTTACCTTTGGTTAGAAAAGTATGGTAGCATTTTATTATAGCTAGTATACACCAAAAAAAAATGTATCTTCAATAATACTAAAACTTCATTTCGTTGACATAATTCTTTTCTGAACCACCCTTTACGCTCAAGGCTACATGTATTTGTGCGAGCATGTATATATGTATGTATATTATAGCGCACTATTACCATGGAATGTACACATACTACACATTCGTAAAAAACGACAATTTCTGCAAACAAAAAAATTTTTAGCATATTAAAAGTACGAACAACTCGTTTGCTTTTATTAAGGTATATACAAACTAAATATGTATGCAGATGTAAAACTGTAAATGTCGCGACAATACTGTATCGTCACCCTCAAACACTAAGTCTAAAGATATACTATGTTGAGTATGTCTACTAATGCGCATGGTATTTGTAAATAAGGAAAAAATACGATTATTTATGGTAATATACCAAGCCCCTATTGTAGTTCTACTCACATCTTTCTTTTTTTGTTGGTAGAAATAACATATATCACAGACATGAAGAAAAACTTATTTATGAGTATTATATGTGTATAATCTTAAATTCACAGAATAAGTTTAAAATATCCATCGACCAAAGCTAAGTTTTTAGGAATATTAATTAATAATTAATTGTGATATTAAATTTTTTTTTCTTTTTGTTTGATTTTATACATTATAGAATATTTGTAAGAGACGACATAGTAATGAAATATGGCACAATTGGCAAATCAACCTTAATTTAATGTCATTTTTAATTTATTAATTAATTAATAATTTATTATATTATTCATCAAAAAATAATATTAAGTTTATTAGCAATATGTACAAACAATTAAATTTTAGTGACGAGAGGAAGCTTCATATCTGTCAAAACTGTTAAAGCCACCGTAAATATTGGAGTAGCATATGCAACACCCACAGAAGAGCCGTAAATAGCAGCGAGTCACTGATAACTGAGCTGCGTTAGACTATATAAAAACGCTAAGAATATACTTTGTACATAAGTAGAAAACTGTTTGTGATAATTGACATATAGACCGAATAGCTTGAAGGGATGATCAAATATTACTCATAATAATATTGCGAATATAGATATGTGGGTTGAGCAAATAACTTGTTACTCTTATGTCACGAAAATATACTGAAATGTAATGACATTGCAGTTGGCCAAATTTGGACCATTTTCTTACAAAGCATACTACATCTATAATATTGGCTGAAAAATAATCAGTGACAATTTCATAAAGCTTATTTAGTTAGTTACTGATCTGTAATAAGCGACTACCTTCCTTTCTGTGATAATACTATGTCACTTATGTATATATCTCAGTTGCATATATTTCTAAAGCCTAAAAAGAAGGGCTGTACCGTTTCGTAAAACATTATTAGGTCTCCAAATACGAGTATAGTAGATGCCCCAAGTTCCAGTTGCGCTTACTACCAGAGTCTCAATTAATTGAGATATAATTAAATAGTGAAATTAATAATGTAATTAGTTTCAAATATTATCGTTATTTCTCCATTTGATTTCAACCATAATTCGACAAGGGCATATTCACATGTGGATTTGTGCCCCACTACCACAACCGTACATACATACATACTTGTAAAAATGTAAATTAGGGCCAATGACCATTTACCAACAACTCCCACACATTCCATATAAAAACTAATGACGTAATTGCCTTGCGCTGTACCAGCAACCAAATGCAAATGCAAGCAACAAAGCGCATCTTCAGCTTGAGCTGGGTCAGAACATTTATGTAGCACCAAGCCATAATAGCTGGCAGAAAGGCAACCAACGTAGGGCGACATAACACGAAAGGAAAGCCAGAAATGATGACATCGGTGACGGCGATAACATGCACACATCCTTATATACATATGTATGTATACCCGTGTGCTACTTGGATGAATATGAAATAATAATTGTCCCTTGTGTGTCTCTAACTGAATTATAAAATATTTATAATAACAGCATTGACGTACATATGTATTTCTGTGTTTTGTGCAGCGAGCGTAACAATGCACATGTATGCAAGTGTGTGCAGCATTTTTATCTGCAACTTTAATCCAATTTGCCATATTAAAAACAGGAAAGAACGCTTTAAATGCACGGCGTGGGATTATATATAATATTTGCTATCTCATTCCTTGACATGCAACACTTATTTTTGCTTACCTTTAATGCGCTTTGTTGCGTCGACGCTGAGGTCAACAATGCCGGATAGCTCCTGCCCAGCATAGTAAACACCTTGAGGATTATTATCAAAGGATATAAGGCACTCAATGGGCATATAACTATGTTATTCACCAATTTATGCAATTTGAACTTTTCTCTGCAGTATATATTTACGTGTGTGTGTGTGTGTGTGTGTTTAATGTCAAAATGTATTGTAAGTGCGTGTGATTATTAGTTGAAATACTATATAATACTTATTTTGCTTTGTGTGTTGTTGTTAAGCTTGTGTGTGTGTAAGTTGTTGTAAAACGCAATTGCAATTTTCTTAATTGTTTCAATTTTCCACTGCTTCATTAAAATCTCACTTTTTGTCAATTTGTGATATTACTTCGTCGCGTGATTCAGTTGGGTTTTTAGGTTACTCATACGCCTAGCGTGTCTTATTATACTCGTACATGTACTATAAATGATACACTAATTTATGCATAGCGCACACAGCAGTGGTACATACGCATAAATTGTACTTAAATGTGAACTGCTTGCACTGTAATCAGTATATATATGTACGTTTTAATTTTTTTTTTTTAATTTTATATATTATATATCTAGCTAAATAACTTGGCTGAAGTGCGTTTATATAATTTGCTTTTTGCTTTTCCGTTAATTTACAGCACTTCAATGAAATTTGTTCTGAATTTTAGCATCACATTCATTTTATATGACTTGAATGATACATATTTTCACGGTATATTTTTGCTAATGCGCACACACATTGGTATTTCACTAATTTTGCTATTTTTTTTTTGTTGCCTGCCACACCGCCACTTTGCAAATGCTTTGCGTTAAAACAAGTTCCGTACGCTCGTATGTCCAACAGCCGTTTATGAGTAAATGCATATTTGGTTTGACAGCCTGGCACATCGTCATCATTATCCTTGTACCGCTTTTCGTTTTTTGCCTTTAATTTGCCTGCTCTCTTTACAACAGTTCTCTCGTGCGCTCTTTTTTTCATTTCTTCTGTATACCGTTGTATTTTGTTTACATCCAATCTTGTTTTTATCGCTTTCGGTCAGGGTTGGTGTGTTTAGGTACTATTTTCTCAAAAGTTGTACACCAAAAAGTGAAAAGTAGGCAACAAATATGATTCAAGAATATAAGTACTTAAGAATATAGATAGCGTTACTTTGAATCAATAAAGCATTTTCTAACCATATATTTAAAGTTTTTACAAAGAGCTGCCATACAAACTGATCAATTAATCCTCAATCATTGTATGGAAAACTTGTATATTTGCCAAGTTATCTTAGCAAAATTTGAAAAAGATTATTATTCAACACATCTCTACAATCTTCGAAGAAATTGTTTAGATCGGATTACAATAGCATATATCTGCCATAGAAACTGTTCGATCAAAATCCAACCATGGTATGGAAAACTTTTTTGTAGATATGATAAGATATCTGCACCTAATTTGATACCAATTATTGTCTAGAATAATACTATAATCACTGAATATACTGTTGGGATTGAAGCACTATAGCATATAGCTGACCGATGAAAATCCATTATTTGTTTGGACAGCTTTTGTATTTGACTAGATATGGATTATTATCCAAACCAACGGTACAAGCTTGGAAGAAATTGTTCAGATCGGATCACTATAGCATATACATATCTGCCGATTAAAATCAAGTTCTTGTATGAAATCTTTCTTATTTGTGAAGAGCATTAAAGTTTGGTGCAACAGAAGTTAAGGTTGTTTTTTGTTTTTTTTTTTTTTGTTTTTTTAATAAAAACATTTAAGAACTTACACAGTTGAATAAAATAATAATTTTCTATAAAAAGAGGGCTAATCTACAATAAAAGGATTTATCAAAAAAAAAATTTACATCTTATTTGACCACATTTTACATTAACTGTAAGCTCTATCTGCTTTTCAGCAAATACTTTGTAATCTAGAGATATGTTATTCCGTCTTTATACTCTAGCAACCTGTTGCTAGAGAGTATATTAGTTTTTTTTCACCTAACGTTTATTTATATCACCTAAAACTAATCGAGTTAGATATGGGGTTATATATATATAAATGAACAGGCTGAAGAGACGAGTTGAAATCGGGGTTACGGTCTGTCCGTCCGTCCGTCCGTGCAAGCTGTAACTTAAGTAAAAATTGAAATATCTTTATGAAACTTGGTACACGGTTGGTATAGCAGATGGGCGTAGTCGCACCACTGCCACGCCCACAAAACGCCATTAATCAAAAACAAATAAATTGACATAACTAAGCTCTACAATAAGATACAAGACTGTAATTTTGTATACAGGATCACATTAGGGAGAGGTATCTGCAGATTAAAATGTTTTTGGGCGTAGGCCCGCCCCCTAATAGGTTTAATGTGCATATCTCCTAAACCGCTAAAGCTATAACAACGAAATTCACTGGGAACAAATGCTTTTAGCACCTCTATCGTCAGTGTGAAAATGGAATAAATACATATAATTTGTTGTGATAACTTGCTCGCCCTTTCTACCTACGTCCATGTATCCTAGAGTTATTCGTCAAATCGACATTTTTGTAGAAATTTTAGCCACCCTTTAACAGTTGATGGTTTTCAATGTGAAGAGTTTTAATGGTTTTCAAAAGGTTTTGCAGTTGTGCTCAAATACGGTTCGTGCATTTATGTTCTGGATTAGTAATTTATCTAAATATACTCTCCACTATAATCCACTCTCATCAAGCTTTCAACCAAAAAATTTATAATAACAATATACTACTGTATAAAAATATTTCAAAATCAACATTTTTTATATCAAACATGCCGACATTGTCATGCTGCTGAAAGCAAATATTATTTAAAGTGTTTAATAACAGTGCATGTTAAGTTCATTAACATCGAAATCAGACAGTAAATAACATGTCTCTGTTAACAATTTGTTAATGTTACAAATATACTGTAAAGCAATTTAACGTGTACATTCGCACAGTGTATTCCACTGCACGCCAAATAAAGTTTTCAAAAAAGCTTTCAGCAGAGAGCTTAAGCAGAGAACGTCAGCTGTGCAAGTCACATATGAAATGACAGCACAAATGGAACTGTCAAAAACAGCTGAAGCACAGAATAGAACTGATAAAAATTGACCTAGTAAACAATCAATTACACAGCAAACAACCGATGACAAGGATGAAATGATGCGAGACTCTTTGAATCGAGAGAGAGCTGTCAAAACCCACATTTTTTATAACATTTGCCAATCATGCCACTGTCGAAAGAAAATGGATTGGGTATTATAAAAAAAACTTTTGGGTATTTTGTATTTCAGTATTATTTTTAGGTGCTCCGTCCCCGAGTAGGCCTATATAACGCATATACATCCCTATATACGTGTATTTATATTATAAAATTTTTAAAAAATCATATAACATAAAAAAAATTGCATATAAATAAAAAAAAATTATAACAAAGAAACAAAACAAGTCATAATAAAAGATCATGGTTTTATAATGAACGTTTTAAATTAAATTAACAAATAAAATTTAGTTGCACGTTATTCAAATGTATTTGTGTCGTTCCTTGAAATTTCGTTTCGCACTGCTTTTGTTAGCTATTTTTGGCTGGTTTATTTCTGGCATCCCGTTTTTTTTGACATCAGCTGTTCGAAATTCCCTGATTTTAATAATCAGGGAAAGAGAATAACAGAAAAATCAGCGAAAATGAGAGAGTCTCGCATCATGTCATCCTTGCCGATGAACCAACAGTCGTATCAAATCAGAAAAATAAAATAAACAAAGTAAGTGTTACATGCCTGCCAAAACAGTTCAAAGCCGTAATAAATTGAAGCAACATTTAACCTTACAATCACCTTTTGCTGCGTTTTTAACGGAGCAGTGCGATTACTACAGTTACTGAGTGTGCGTAAGATGTCATCGTCCGTGAACTTATCAAGTATTCAGTATAATATGGGCTAATAATTGCATTTTCATTTAAAATAATTAAATACTTTACAGCGCTCCGTCTAAAATATCGTGAGAAGAAAGAAGTTTTCCTCGAAGAAAATATCAAAGTAAAGCAGCCCATAAAGTTATTTTGCGAATGGCTAGAGGAAGCGGTGAAAACGGAGGAGCTGCTTGAGCCAAATGCCGCCTGCTTAGCAACGGTGAATAGGTAACAAACTCTAAAATATTTAAAATTATATTAGTTGTAAACACTTATTGATTTATCTACAGAGATGGCAAGCCCTCCAATCGCTTTGTGCTACTTAAAGATGTCACCGATGACGGCTTTCGTTTCTTCACCAACTATGGTAGCCACAAAGCGCTAGATATTGCCAGCAATCCAAATGTAGCAATGACACTATATTGGCTGCCACTGCGACGTCAGATACGTATTGAGGGCGTGGCAGAGAAGATATCCAAAGAAGATTCACTCGCGTATTTTCATCAACGTCCGCGTGCATCTCAAATCGGTGCCTTGGCTAGCGAACAGAGTTCACGTATAATGTCACGACAGCATTTGGATGAAATTGAGCAGGAAATCAAAAACAAATTGGGACCAGATGGCGAAGTACCGCTGCCTAATTGGGGTGGTTATTTAATACGACCACATACTATTGAATTTTGGCAGGGACAAACCGATCGCCTACATGATCGCATACAATTCCGTCGTGGGCCAGAAATTGAGAAGGTAAGGTTTTGCATATTGCTATATACAAAAATGACTGTTTATAGTTACGACAAAGTCTACTCAGCTCTAATGTAGAATATTCTAGCTAGATGTAACGAAAAACAATTTTTATTGTCTGATTAGATAAAGCACAGATTTGCTGAGTATGCATTGTCAATTGATGAGTATACTACTTTTGTTAAGAGAGTTTGCTAGGGCCTAGTCAATATCAGAATATTACTAGTAAATGAAGAAGAAGAAAGACCTTTTTTTTTTCTTAGGATCTGTTTATTGCCATAAGATGAACGCTTCTTACTATAATTGTTTTTTGTTTTTGTATTAACGTCCATGCGGAGTTAAAAAGAAAGTATATAAAGAATAAAAATCTAGAAATGGCCAAAACCGAAACGACACTCAATTCATTTGGCTACGGTAAACACTGACGACATATTTTTTTCTCTTTCGCCACTGATTAAATCAATCTATCTTATTTGCAATGGCTATATCTTTATAATAAATATTCTAATTTAGATTATTTAAATAATATAATATTTACTTATAAATATAAGCAAGCATATCTGAATGGAAATTGTTTTCATTTCAGGAAGTCGACGGCAAGTTGATACATAAAGGTGAAGACGGTTGGGTCTATGAGCGATTGGCACCTTAGAATTGACACTAGATGTGGCATGGACCTTCTCTTATATAAGTTATTTGATGAACGCGTGGTGCTGTGAAGCTAGAGTAAGGCTTCATTTGATGTTGCAAGCTCAAAGCCCAGAAAACTAGAATTTTGCATTTTTACTAAAAATAATTTATGTGCATAAAATTAGAAAAATTAAATTATTGATTGGCTATAAATAAAATAGGGATGCTATTTGGCATAAATGAATTTAAAGAAGATTTTTTATTAAGAGCTTCTAAGTCACATATAATTTGGCAACATAATAAATCTGTACTTTAAACACCGGTAGTTCTGCCACACACAACAGCGGCCTAGAGACTTTTGTATCAGACCTTAAGATTTTAAAATTCACTCAAAATTTTTCGAATTATTAAAATTTGTAAAGTTTCTGTTATGCTATCGCATTAATAACCAAAATATTCACTGTAAAATCAATCAAAAATTATTATTCAGATGCCTCGTATGCTGAGGTGTTTATATGGTAAAAAGTCAACGGAAAGTTATTTGAAATACCCAAGGAGTAGCGCAAGGTGACCGTGTTTTTTGGTACCTCAAACCTGCAATACACATTACCTTCATTGAGCTTCATCAAGTCAGCAAAATTGTATTCAAGCTATCGCGTGGACGCGCTAACGAAGGGATGTATAAAAATTATTGCATTCTTATATCTATCTCGATTAGTTTTAAGTTCAACAAACAAGTGTTATGTGAGCAAAACTTTAGTGTATATACTCTGTGCGCAATATTGCGATGCAATCAAAGTGTGAGAAAATCCATCATTTTATCTCTATATTTAACGATTGCCACGAAACTTCTACTAAACAAGTTCAACCTTGAAAAAAGATTCGCAAAAATGTCTAAGCTATGTGCGTAATATGTACACACATACATATAATTTTAAGAAAATATCAAATGTCGTTGTTTTAAAATGTTAGCAAATAATTTTTAGACTGAAACTTCAGCTGAGCTGTAATTTGCCGACAATATTCAATTACATATGTATGTACTAGTAAAACAAAGTAAAAGCTTTGAAAATATTTCGTGCCAATATTAGAAAGACTACGTACGCCAAGAACAAAATATATACTTATATAAAAGTATTGTATAACGCACATGTATTGTTGTTTTTACGTTAATTAAAAGTTTGCCGTTCGAAACCACTTATAATCTCTGCTAAAAATATACATACAAATTGTGTTGTAAAAGAGGTAAAGGTGTCCTTAGCAGAACGGGAAAATAAGGGTGTCCGAAAACTAATGCAAGATTGGAATTAAAAAGTAAACACAGTTTTTAGTCTTTTGTTTGTAATTTTTTTATTGAATCATAAGATAATTATTATTATGGAATAACACATCGGCCAAATAGCCGCCACGGCTTTACATATATGTACATACGCATTCGTTTATCGAAAATTTCAATGACTATTCTGCATAAATATGGATGTATTTTAAATAACCACATAAATATAAATATAATGGTGTTAATTCACGCGATCTGGGGGGACAATTCTGATCACTACAACGACCTGAAAATATCACATGCAGTTATTGAAGTGATTCACGAGCTGTAATATATAAAATGGCGGCTTATTGAAAACTTTGTGGACAAAATGTACAAAAATAGGTATTAATACAGAATAAAATACTCGAAAGTAATAAAAAGGTCGATAAAAACTAATTGCTGAAAATTTCTTTGAAAATATTATAATATTGCTTTGCCTTATTAGCGAGTAATCGAAAGCCAACTTACATTAGACCCCATAGCAGCGTTACGCTTGGATCTCAATCCCCAATTGTGCTAAATTTGTGTACAGAAAGTTATTATTTTGCAAAAGAATGTTTCATAAATCAACGCTACTGCGTACATTTAACAGCAAAGATTACTTTTTGAGTAGCTTAATTGACGAAGGCCACATGGATGGCCAGGATATATTTATGGTAAATATTTTTTTGTTGTCACAGGTGGAATCTTCAAAAGATATCGTCATATTGCAGACGGCATGCACGATTTGTCCTACTTGTATACACTAGAGGTGCATCTCGTTTGGAATTACGTGCACCAGTTTTCCCGTTTGCGGGACATGCGAAGTAGGACGTCTACGTATTAAACCCATAACTCCATCTCCTATAACTTCCTTGCATGACTGCCTAAAGGCATTTCTTCGCAAAGAAAAGTTTTAGCCGGTTGGCTCTATGTGTTATTAATTCCACTACTTCTGGCTCATCATCTGTCTCTCACTGCTTCAATGCGTCTCCTTCTTTTTAAGCTCAATTACGGAAAGGACAGGCAACCTGGTTCAGCAGTTTTGGTCATTATTCTTGTTAGAGCTGTCGTCACCCTCGCCGCTTTCTCATACTGACAAAGGACTTGAGTTGGTTTTCATAGCAATTTTTACACAAATTATCGCTTGCACGGAGAATAGATGTACGAGTGCATAAACAGGCAGATTCTGGAGTTATCCGTTCGTTATACTTTCAAATTTATTATACTCTGTGCAATATATTGTGAAATGACTAAGTCCAATTGATCCACAACTAAACAAAATCGTTATATGGTTTCATTGGGAAGATTGTCTTCTACGCGAGCGGTGTCAGATTGTTCGATCATTTGGAAATATTATTGTATTATTGTGTTAGTTTTCTGGTTATGCTTTTGTTGTAGCAGTTTCCGCCAGAAAAACAGAGACTCGCTTAGTACAAAAAAAAAACGACAATACTTCACTCTCTAATTAAAGCGACTGGAATATATGAGTCGCAGCTTTAAATAGATCTTTCTAGTTTATTTCTACTTCATCTATTTTTACTATACAAATTTTGTAAGAAACTGTACAAATTTCTGTGTGGAAAATAACCACGATTTCTCCTTGTTTTTAACTGAATTTTTTCTAATGTCGAAATTTTTTTATTGCCACTTGCTATGTTCTAATCGCCTTTCTAATAGTTTCAGCTGCATACCACATATGTTCTGTTAAAATGGATGAAGTGATAGTATAGTAATCATTTATATCGGCGTCTCTTCCATCCCAATACCTGTGGAACCAAAAATTTAGGAACCATCAGTTTGTCATAAATGTTGCTTTTATTTTTTGCCTGATAAAAACCTGGATTATTACTACATTACTATTACATTAACTTTAATCTTTATTGAATCTGTTTTTTCTTATTATGTTATAACAACCGTCTAAATTGAAAATACTAGAAACTTTAATGTCAGTTCTTTCTTTGTTGTTGATTGTTGAAGTTTTACAATTAGTATCTATGTCATCGATGGGATATTGCTAGATAATTAACTATCAACAGTGCTGGCGGTAAAGTTTTTACCATTTTCGACGATAATTTGTGTAACAATTGCTACGAAACTTTTTACTGAAGTCCTTTGTCAACCTCTGGATGAAGGAGGAGCGATGGTATTAACAGCTGAGAACATTGACATGCAAGCATTGATTCGCAATTGGTTTGACAAATGATCAAGTTTAGCCCCGATAAGATTTTTACTAGACCTATGCATTATTTTTCCAATAGATGGTTTCAGTTAGCTGTATCACGTTTTGTATAAATTCGATCGTGTGATGCGATATGGCGATAGAAAACTAGGATTTTGTACTAAATAATCATCTCGAAGATGATTGATTTTGGGTCCTTGACTCCAAATCTTATTGGAGCTCAACTTGTGGTTTTAGATATTTTTTTTAACCAAGTAAGACTAAATTGTCTATAGATAGGCTCTTTCTAATATGCTGCTGTATAACTCCTAATACCAAATACATTGAAAACAACAAAACGTTAACCTGTAAGTTTGTAAGCAAACATACATAAATGTATATGATTATTAATAAGGGTTAAATATTTGGAGATGCATCTACTCTAGAATTAAGAACATTTCTTACTGTACGTCTTTCATATTCGCTGATAGCTGACAAAGGCTATTAGCATAAATCCACAGACAAATTGTCGGCTCGGCAGTCTCATTATCGAATTCTGCATATAAAGAACATATAATTTAACTAGTTATCTAATAGAACACTAACGGATTGTAACAATAGTTGCCCAATTACAATGGTATACAATACAATTACTATTACAAGCTTTATCAGTGTGTTATACTTTTCACTCACTAGCCAAACTGTCGCCTCAATAGCCTCGTTATCAAACAGTCGTTTTGCTTTCATGTGACACGTGACAACTAACACAATAAGTAGGGTGGCAGTTTCTTCCTTGGGTGGCTTTGAGTCACCATACTCTCAATAAATGTTTGGCTCTTCGCTCGGTATTGTAGTATCTTATACGCCGCTTTTGCCAACTTTTTGTTTTGCTCACAATTGACATAATATACCACAACATATGTATACATATACATTGGTGACGCCACGCTATACATTTTCAATCTCCTTACAAAAGACAATCGTATGTATGGTATATATGAAAATGTGTGTAAGTATCTTCGATAAGAGTCAAAGAGAAGTGTCTGTAATGAAATTGTGTTGAGGCAATAACAAATGTCTTTGCAAAGAGAGTCATTGGCACCTGTAACCGACGCGGCGGCTAAGAAACATACAGTAAATAATTGTGTGAAAAAGCAAAGAGCTAAAAGCAAATAGCGTTAAAAGAGCGCAGCAGCAACATGTTTGTTCATGCGCACATTGCCGCCTCATCCCACTTCTTCTTGCTTGTGTTGAGTGCATGAACCTTTGAGATTTTTTTTACTTTTTTTACCAACAGTAGTACGTTCTATAGACACACTCGTATACATATAGCACGTAGTGATATTTGTAAATTGTATTTGGTAGAGCTTCGCAGCAGCAAGCGGTATATAAGGTGTAACGCAAGGAAAAGTGACAAAGCGCACAAAGAACAAAGTAAAAAGCCGACAAAGTTGCAAAAAAGGACAAGGGTTGTATGCGTTTTTTCCTAGTTATATCTTACAAGAATGCCATTTTGCAAAAATTTCTAAATAAATTGTATAAATGGATAGCATCAGGTGGTGATTGCGTTGCAGTAAGCAATTAAGCATTTAGTTCTGCTTGCCTATATTGCGTTACCTTCGTCTGGAGTAATTCAAGCATGCCAAATTTAATTAATTATTAGAGAATATAACCACATTTCATGAACCATTAAAAAAATATTTTCACAGTTCGTATAAGCTGTGTTTTCTTAGAGTCTAATATTCCGGTGTTGAACAATGACCTTTACTGTTTGCAATCGTTGCAAACTATAGTCTAAGCATTATATCGGAACGTATATGATCTTTCATAAAATCGATTCTATTATAAAAAGCAGAAACGTTGAAAGTGGCGATCTTCGAATAGGCGAATTTCATTGTAACAAAACTTTAAAGGCCAATAATGCTTGATGAGGTGAGTGCTCTAAGCTATGGAAACAGGTTTGTCGTTTTTAGTGCGAACTCACCAAAGACGAAGTATTTTTTAGCTCTTTGTTAACAAACAAAAATCCTAAAATATTTCAGAATAAGTGAGACAAAGTTCAGCTATATGCCTCAAAACCTTTAAATGTTATTCGATAGACGGAAAAACCTTGCCAGTAATATTTTTGTTGTCTATCTATGCACCGTAAAAACAATTTCACCACGTTCTTGTCTTTTCTATTATAATTTTCCTTTTTCTTGCATTTAAAGTGCACAAAAGCAACAATCACGCACCCCAACGGCAAACCCACCGACTCAGCATTATTCGCTAATATCCGGCTTCACAATGCAGACATGGATGGCACGTTTTTTCGACTCCTTTTTAACCATTATATTCGTAATTCTTCATATTATATTGAGTGCGAGCGATTGTCTATAGGCAAGCAAATGAGCAGGCATCCTGCCAGGTAAACCGGCCGATACGAATGAGAGGGTTGTATGTGTAGACGAAGCAGACGCAGAAGAGAGTAGATGAGTTGTGTACACTAGCAATAGCTAGCTTCTATATTAGCCGGAGTTCACCACACATACGCACGTGCACACGCTTACGTTTATGTGTACGAAGTATCACCAGCGCAAGCAAGGGAAGTAAAGCAATAGCAGTAAAAACGTTGAACTAGACAGTTGCCCAGTGGCTGTAAGGCAAAGTTGACTGCGATTTTTACGTTGCTTTAATGTCGCGGAGTTTTCATTTACCATACATAAATATACTTTTTATACACAAAAACTTTATGCACTAATTTAAAATAATTCTAAATTAGCTTAAGCATAACTCAAGTATGGTAAAAGAAAATAGATTATTGAAATATCATTACTAAGTGTATTTAGCGGTGGATTTGTTAACTTAAGCAGGAAGAGTTTTCCCAAGTTCAACGTATACCAAGTGGATACAAAAGTGTTACCAGTAATATAATAAATTTGAAAGCACAGCTAAGAATTAAGTGCTAGGAACGTGTATAAGCAACGCAAAGTTGTTGCAGTTTGTATATAAAAAGCTGCTAAAAGCCGCTGCTATAACTAAAACTTCTAAAACTAGGCTAATTTTATTGTTAGAACAGCGTACGTCATAAAGTAGGCTAAAAATTTGTGTTATATTGCATTATATTTGTAGTGGTATGCCTTAGCCATGTGCTGCGCTCAATTTATTATATTATTGTTATAATTTAATACGAAATATATAATTTTAAATATAATTAAAGATCGCAAAATTTACAACAAAAATTTAATTAATAAATTTAGCTCGAGTAGTGTATCTTGCACACGCCTTCCACAATACTAACTGCTAACATTTTACAAAATTAATAGAAACATATGAAAGTTATAGTTCAAAATTCAATTACAGAAACAAAATTCGCTCACTCACTGCCAGCGGAATATATCAATTAAAATAGGTAAATACAACAAAAATTGCTTAGCATACATACAGATGTATATATGTATGTGTAAAAAGGTCATTCCTAATAAGTGACCATAAATTGAAGTGAAAGAATTGGCCAGCAATGCAAAAAGGAAAATTTCAACACAGCTGAGCACGAGGTATGGCCACCTGCGGCTGCTTGTCATGCTCGTAAATATGTCAATCGGTATGTAGCGAAAAAGCACGAACAAAAACACACATAGAAAAAACGCATGCAGGCATACAAGCAGATAATACAAATTGCAGCACAAACAGAGGTGCATTCAAAGTTGAACAATGAAATGAAAAAGCTGCACTCAATGCCGCTATTATTTGCTATACAAAGCTAAGGGATCGAAAAAAGACACGCATACTTGCTTGATTGTGCGTAAAATGTGAAAAAAACACTATTTTCATAGAATAGTGTAGTGAGTTGTTTAATTAAAAATGGTATTTTTCAAAGAAAAAATTGTGCTTTTAAAGAACAAAGGTCGGTTAATTGTTTTTTTATAGTTTGCGAAGAATAAGTGTTCGACAAAAAATTTCTCACATTTCTGAAACTAATTATATGTAGCGAAAAAACATATGTATGACGTTAAGAATAAAAAATTTGATTTAAAAATAGAAAAAATTTTTTTTTTAGCATATTTTAAAGTGTTATTTTAAAAACAAGATTGTGAGTTTTTGATTCAAAAATCTAATTTTGAAATAAAATTTTCGTTTTCTAATTCGACGTTGGGCTTACAAATTAAAAATCTAATCAAATGGTTTGGCATTAAAAACTGAAAATTAAAGATTTTATTTTTTATATATAAAAAATTTTTATTTTTTAATTTAAGTGTGTATTTTTTGCTGAGCGTATTGATGATGATGGCTGTGTGCGATTTTAAAACAGTAGTACACAAAGTACACAAACATGAAACATTTTTAATTATAAAACAATATATTTTTTTTATAAATTCTTGATTATATGCTTTTAAGCTTTAAATTTTTCAATGCGAATTTGGAGTAAATTTTAAAAATTAAAATTAAAAAAAATTAAAAAAAAAACAAAAATTAATTCAGTTATTTTTTGTTGCAATATTTGCAATCATTATTAAGAATTAGTGCAAATTGCATTTAAAGTAATTACCGCGTACTTCGATTTCTTTTAAAGTTTTAAGTTTAAAGAAAAAAATTAAATGAGCGTAAACTTTTTATATAAAATCGTTTAAGCCATAAAAAAGTATACATGCATTTCTCGTGAGTGCTTTAATGTCAAAAAATAAAAACCCGTTAAAAGATTTTAAAATCATAAATTTTGTAATGTTATTAAATTTCTTTAATAATAAATTTTGCTCTTTATATTTGTTATAAAAAGTCTACAAGAAGTTGTGTTAAAAGTGTCTAAAAGTATAATTATGCATTAAACTGAAGAAAATTCTGTAAGAAAAAAAAATCCCCATAACAAATCCAATATTAATTTAGACTATTTATAGTGCCAAATTAGCATGAATAATAAGAGAAAGTTATTTAAATGCAAGAATTTTCTAAGTTTTTTTCTTGATAATTGTAAATATTTAAAACGCCACCATAATTAAGTCTAAGCCAATTTAATAATTTATTTATAAAATATAAATATAATGATTCTTCATTTGTAGTCAAGCTTTGACACTCTTGAATAATGTGCAAACAGTTTTTATATAATTTAATTGAAAATTTTAACAATTTTACTGTTTCAAAATCAAAAAAAAAATTTCAGAATTTAAATTCAAAACTCAATCACTCGCGTATAATTACTACATGTCAAGAACGCAGCCAAATATTGTGAACACAAAAACAAACGACATTTGCAAACAATTTGAAGCACGCCTAAAGGTATGCTGCATAACTGGCGCATTCATTTTCAGAGTCCACCAACAACTTTAACAACAATATGAAATCACTGAATACATTGCCTAAGTGTAGTTAGCTTACATACATGCATATGCAGAGTAAGCGCTATGCTCAAAGTAAACCTAAGTGTAGTTAAAACGAAAAAAAAATTAATGGAATAGATATTAGTAAAGCAATACATAATATAATATAATAACAATAATAGTATAAAATGCCAGCGCAGCCATAGCAACTCAAATACAAAAACGCTGTTACTACATGTAAGTCTTAGATGCATAGCGCTACTAAAACTTATAACAAATACATAGAAAAAGTATACAAACAAAATATAATTTTAAAAACTACATAAAAGTCCAACTGATTGAAAGGAAAAAACGTGCAGATATAGTATAACGATGTTCAACACAAAAGACACACTGCACGTTGGGTCTTACCTTCGCTATGGCGCACAAAGTGGTAGTCGCGGTTTAGCCGCTGCAGCTGCATCCACATTTGGACGTGGCAGCGCTGCCAGTAGTGGGCGCAATAGCGCTTGCAGTTCGGGCAGCATTTCACCCATACCGAATATTGCGATCAGCACTGGCGATGAGTCGTCGGAGTCGGAAATCGAAACGGAGCCGGCGCGTATCTTCCATCGACGCCTTTCAACGAAAAGAAATATTAATGCGGCGGTAAGTGTTTCATATTATTTAGGGTGTGTTTGAATTGTTGACGGATTTATGTAGTTTAATTGGTAAATTGAGAAGTAAATACTTGTAAGATGGTTGGTTTTTCTATTTATTGGTTTCACTTATGAGTTTTCTACAAAGAATATTTATTTTAAATTATTGACTAAGAAAAGTTACTGTTTTGAATAATCATTACCTTATTACTGACAATAAGGGGATTCAGCCGGGATTATTCATCCATGAAAATCGAAATAATTGAAGAAAATTACCTTATAGGATAAGTCTATCTGGTTCAAGTTATGCTAAACAGCATTTATTTTAAATTTTTCTGATGTTATTTCTTGCACAGATCTCATTGCTTTGTAATTTTGCTAGTCGATATAATGATGTTTAGATTACCTAAACTGACGTACATATTATAATGCTCATATATCAAAAAATTTGTAAATAATAAGCAAGCGATAAATTAAAGGTACGGTCCAAACACATTTTTTTAGAAAAAACAATTAATTTTTATTAATATATTTTAAAAATTCACAGTTTTTTATTCCATTCTGCAGCTGTATTCTTAAAAAAATCATAAGTACAAAACTTCTGAATTTATAGTAGCGCTGATTTACTCGTTTGATATTATTTAAAAAAGCTATTTTGTGAGCTGTTATTCCAGACTTATAAAAAGTTCTTCTCCACTAAAATTAATAAAGAATGCTTTAAAGGCGTGGCACAATCACTTCTACTACTTTATTATTCTCTACAACTATAATATTATTTATCTTTTTCCTCGAGAGATCAGATACAACTTATAAGCTTTTTGATTATGGCATATATAATTTTATTAATCATGCACTTAACTTAATTGAATGCAAAAATGCTGGCATCATTTTAAACTTGGCGTCAGTCAGGCAAAATTAAAGTTACTCATACGCCCTAGCACACTGCCATAACTTTCGCCTTTTGACTTTAAAGCAAATAGCATAATAATTTAATAAACAAATTATTAAAAAAATTATACGCACACACACTAATTTTGCTTTCTATTACAATTACTGCGAAGTATACACATCAATGTAAAATAGGTTGCATGATAGCTAATATGATTATGAATAATATACAACCTGTGTAAAATATTATTATTTAACATAATTGCTTTTGATGTGATTATAGCCAACTATGAAAAATATAGTAAATATATTTAATAAATTTAAAAGTTTTAAATACTACAATTTTCAATTCATTGTCATAGTAGCAGGGGAGCAAATACAAAAACAACAAGTAAAATAAAACCAATTTCGATTCTTCGAAATTTAAATACCGTTATAATCGTTGGCTAATATACTCGAAAGTATAATCGAATTAAGTCAAAAATATTACGTTTTTCTTTAAACATATGTCAAAAGTTTCAGTCCGTCTAATAAATGTTGTATCGTGTTGCCTGGCCTGGCGTTGTCCTGATGGAACACGATTCGGCCTCTGTTGATCAAAGATGGCCTCTTCTGGATGAGTGGTGCCTTCAAGCGGTCCAGTTGTTGGCAGTAGAGGGCCGAATTGAGCGTTTGGCCATAGGGGAGCAGCTCATAGTAAATGATTTCTTGCGAATCCCACCAAACACACAGCAAAACCTTCCTGGCCGTCAATCAGGTCTTGGCCACCATCTGAGCCGCTTCCCCGAGCTGTGACCACGACCGTTTGCGCTCGATCCATCATGTTTTTTGCGTTAGTTCGTGTGACACCCAAACATCGAGCTCCTTTTTGAATCCAAGGTTATGCAAATGGTTCCAAACGGTTTTCTGGCTTATCTTTAGTTCCTCAGCAATTAAATAAGTGCTCACGTGACGGTCTGTTTCCACTATTTCCATGATTTTATCGCAATTTTCGACGACAGGCCTCCCGACGCGTGGTGCATCTTTGACATCGAAATTACCGGAACGGAACCTAGCAAATCACTTTTGTGCTACACGTTCGTTTACAGTATCGGGCCCATAAACTAAATAAATGTTTTCAGCCGCGTTTGCTGCTTTTTCGCTTTGAGCGAAGAAAAATTGTAAAATATAGCGCATCAAAAACAAACTTTTAGCGTGAATAAACACGTTTTCAGCGCCGTATAGTATGACATGATGAGACACGTAATACTACTACTATACAAGACAATACCGCCATCTCTTAGATAAAAACCGAACGAACTTTTTACCTGACCTAATATAAAGCTTTTAAAGCTATCGATGATCTATTTATTTCGAGTGGTTCTAAGAAGCTTGCGAGTTTCTGTATATATTAGTAGCTTTGGCTTACTTTAGGGCTTGCATTGAAAATTATTATGTTAAAAATTAGTTTTGATAAGCTCTTTTAATTTTTGTCTAAATAAACTTAGCAAAGTTGAGGTTTTCCTGAAGCTCGACTGACCTCATTATAGCTAGACAATCTAAATTCCAAACTTTCTCCATGTAATTCTTACTTTCGTTTAAGCCACACTGAGAGCGCCTTATAACAAGAAATAAAAAGAAGAAAATGTTAGAAAGCTCTTCACAACAGAGCTTTTATCTAGATTTATCTTATCTTACACATTTGCTTCCTCTGCTTAAACATTTATCATCTTAGCATATACCGTCGTATAATATACAGACTTATGCCGCTCGTCTGTTGGTTGTCCTTTGGCATTTTGTTTCAAGCTTTCTCTTTCGTAATTTACACGTGCACAACGCCTAAATGTGCGTTCTAGCAAAAAGGGAGAAATGTGTGTGTTTGTATGAGTGTTATGGTTAGGAAAATCTCTGGCGGTGAAGATGATGAATATGAAAAAGATGTAGAAAGTCAACAAACATGTTTATATAGGTTTATATAGAAAATTGTGATGTGTATTTAAACGATATTTGATGAATGCAAGCACACTAATACTTTTTCAATTATGCTTGCTTTTTGAATTGTATATACTTGCATAGAAGTATTTAAAATGTATATAAAATTATAACATATTTCTATATACAAAGGATTTAATCTTGTTAAACTGAGTTTAGTAAATACTGGAATGTAGTCGAGAGTTATTTAGGGGGCAGAAATTAGTTAAGTCTATAACTATATTATTACAGTTTGCCAAGAGATGGCGCAACTTGATTTTTACTACATAACAACAATAATTTTCTATACCCTAAACAAGTTATATTAAGTTTGCCACGATGTTTGTAACACCCAAAAGGAGACAGCAGGGATAGTATAAAGTTGATATTTAAATGATTAGCGTGACGAGCTGAGTCGATTTAGCCATGCCTGTCTGTCCATCCGTCTGTATATATGCGAATTAGTTCCATAGTTTATAAGATATCTGCCTGGAATTTTTTAAATTGTCGTTTTCTCAACAAGAAGCTGCTCATTTGTCGTAACGGCCGACATCGGACCCTATAGCCTATAACTTGCATATAAACAGAACGATGGGAATAAAGTGCTTGTATGGAAAGCTTTATCATTTGAGGAGATAACTTCATGAAATTTAACTAGGGTTATTTTCCAAGGCAACGGTATTATCTCCGCAGAAGTTGTTCAGAACGAGTCTGCTATACAAACTGACCGATCAAGTCAGTCCTTCTTATAAGGAGACTTTTTATTTGTGAAAGGTATTATAGCTCTGGTACAATCGATGTTAATGCTTTTTTCTTGTTTGCACTTAAATATGTCGAACTTTGTATCACAAAATTTTGTTTTTGCGGGAGTTCTTCTTCATTACTTTAACATGAAGAAAACCTCAGCCGAAAGTCCTCGTATTACTCTATAAAGATTGTTGCCGAATAGAAGAAGAGCTCGCAGAACCTTTAATAGTCACTCAAGCAGCCATTTCAAAATGTTTAAAACAGCCGGATACATTCAAACGTAAGGTAATTGGGTGATATATGAATTGAAGCCAAGCGACTTTGAAACACGATTTTTCATGTCAGAAATGCTCCTTGAACGAATGGTGTCTGATGATGGAAAATGGATGCATGCATTATTAAAAAACTATTTGAAAAACAGCCAAATGTGCTTGATTCGTTCTTGGCCGCCAAGCTGCCGCAGTTCTTTTGGGAAGGAATCCTCAAATACTTAGAAAGATGGGAAAATTTTAAAGCTTTAGATGACCAATATTACCAACGATACTATTTTACATGTCTTTTGTTTTTTAATAAAATACTCAAGTTTTGAGCAAAAATAACCGTTTAAGTTATAGATTATAATTTTATAAAATCATTTCAAGTCGCAATATAGGAAGTCCATATATCATATAATTGTATTTAAGCTCTGCATTTCTCATGAAAACAAAAATTACCACACTTCTTAATGTACAGCACGTAACTGCCACAGTAAACTGAAGTGAAGCCAAACTAATTAAATGACACACCATATTAGCACTTGTCATAAAAACATTGAAAATTATCAAAAGTTTGGCTCTTAACTACAATAACTAAGTCATAAAGCTATAAGGCAAAATAGTAGCATAGAAATACAAAACAGACTGAGCTAGATTTATAAATTCCACGTTAAAATCATCATAGAAACGTATATTGATGAAGGTTTTACTTCAAAATAAAGAGGCATGCCACAACGTTTCAATCAATTAAAAACATATTCGCAATTCGCTGGAAAAGGAGTAGACAATAACGACATTTGCACCCCTCGTTTTTGGCTTCAACTTCAACTAGTATCTATGAAAGCTTGTTCTTGGGCCAGCGACACTATGATGCTGCTGCTGCTGCTGTCATTTCAACAAAACTATGCCCATGTCAGTGTCATAGTCAATTTTGACCTAGTTTGCAAATGAAATGTGTCGGTCAGTAATAAATGTAAATATAAGAAAATGTCACAGGCATTCAACTCTTCAAATGAATAAATGGCTAATGACGTAGAAAATGCGTAGAAAAGCCACAATCACCAACAAGTAGCAAATATATGTGTGCAGTAGGTTATATTGATCAAGTATAGGGTGTTGGCATTTTTTGCTGTTAAAGTAAATTACATAATTATGTTTTTAGGATATTTTACTATACCAAGGCTTACCGGAAACTCGCATCAGCGAACAAGCTACTAATATTGACAGTTTAGAAAATTGGAGGACAAGATACTTTAGCTTTTTTTGTTGTACTGTTGGAAGCCCTCTTAGCTTAAACACTTTGGTTTTAGCCTTTTATAATAAATTTATACAAATATATGCAAATATTTAAAGATATTATTAATCTCTTTCATAAAGTGGATGGACACAGCTCCAATTGCTGCGCACAATGGCGCATATATTCATTTCGGTTTTCGTCGATACACTGCTACACAGCAGTAATAGCGTTTTCATTGCGCACTGTACGCATCGTAAAAAACACCAATTATATATGTATGGTAGTTAGTTGATTACGGTAATCAAGAGTCTTTTTTTTATAGCTTATAACAGAAAATGACTTTTCGATATTCATATTTTTTGTCACAATATTAGAGAACTAAAAAAATCCTAAATTTATGCCCTGTTCAGTAAGTATAAATAACTTGTTGATCTTAGTAATAACGATGTAAGTATTAAAGTTGGGGAGTTCTGGCATACATATGCTGGTTGTAATTAAATTATAGTAATATTTTTTTTTTAAATATAATAATATCTATTGAAAAAGAACAACTAATAATTTTAGTTTTACTTTTAAGAAGTACCCTACTATGTACTATACCTATATGCATATATATGCATAGCTGTATACATATATGTATGTATATACGGCATTACTTCGAAAAAATATTTTATCGTGACTTTGCTACATAAATATTAACTAAGGCTGTTAAACGCAAGAATACAACACAGCATATACAAGTAGTTCCATTAGTCCTTAATAACTAAATTATTTCGTCGAAAATTATATTATAAAGAAAGTTCCATAAAAGGTATTGATGTAGACATTTTGATATTAGTCCGAGGCAAATAACTGTCTGCTGAATTGTTTGACACGCTTTTATTTAAACTTTTTGCGTGTTCACTTGAATATCGCAGTATGTTAACCTCCATTAGCTGCGAAATTTATATTAAATTTTTAAAGCCTCAATATTGAGAAACTTTTACTTACTAAATTGTTTTTAATATTTACTATAGTTTTTATTATGCACCCAATCAAATAAATTGGAGATTTTCCAGTACTGTATTATTTTGTTTTTTTTTTCCACCTGCTCACATTTATATATGAGTGAGTATGAACATTCATTTACGAGTATACATATTGAATGTTCTGCGAATAGCAAACAAGCAAACATCTTTGCGCTTTTCAATAAATACAATTGGATCGGTTTTTAACGCTATTTACTCAGACCGATGATTTGACTGCGATGTTGTTTACCCAAATGGCCAAAGCGAATCGTATTGTTTACCGCTCCCACAGCAATTTGAGAGTAAATATGGTTTTAGCGGCCCAATAGGAAAATATTAATGTTGAATATCTTGTGAAGTAGTATAAAATAATTGAAATAACAAATGCTCACAAGAACTTTTTAATTTTAAAATAAAGTGTAATTCATAATTTGATGGTAGATGTGAAAAATTTCACAAATTTCAGTCAAGTTGGAGAAAAATTAAATTTTCTAATATTTCAGCACTAGCGCCACCTATCGGGTCGAAGTGGAGTTTTCAAATATAACTTATATGTTATATGAGTTTGAACTAAATAAAATTACAGAGTTTGCAGTAGCAGTTTTTGCCTTATACAAAAATATTATTTTCACTTGTAGTCATAATAGTAATGTAGGTAATGCAAGTAATTCTCTCAAGCTATTAAGAAGAAATTATTTTCTCACAACTCTAACAACTCTTATGAATAACTGCGACTTCGATATGGTTTGTCGGTATATGAAAACAATTATTAAGTATATTGTTTCCAAGTGTACATCGAAATGCTGCACGACCGCTTATATTCGTTCTCCTGCTACCTCATTTCTTTCCACTTTTTTTGCTTACGCGAAATGTTTACTCAAAGTTGTTTACCCATTTACTGACTTTTCTAGCCGCTCTTCTGTTTACTCTACATTCTTCTACCATATCTGCCCATATACTTATGTATATATATATAGGTATATATACGAGGTGTGTTCAAAGGAAAAGGTGAATTTTGAACTTTCCTTTCATTGGTTGCTTCAGTTTTGGGAATTCTTGTTGGAAAAGGTCGCATGAAGCCAAATCTGGTGATTACGGCGCGTAGTGTATGATTACGGTTTTGTTTTTGGCCAACAATTGACGTGGGACCTGATGCACTATCGCAATTTCGGAACAAACCTCGCTGCCACACGTTTCATGCCCAAAACGTTCGAGAAAATTGAATGACATAAGCTAATTGATGTGCCAACATCCATTCGGCGATATTCAACAACAAATTTTTTCACTGTTTCGATATTTTCCTCGCTTGTTGATGTGGTCACACCTCCAGGTTGCTCATCGTCAGCAACATCTTCTCGGCCTTCTGTAAAACGCTTGTACCACTTATAAACACTTTTTTGAGAAAAAGTGAACGCACCGAATGCCACAGTCAACATTTCAAGTGCCTTCGAACATTTTATTCCATTTTTAACGCACAATTTAATACAAATGCTTTGATCCATTTCATTCAAAAGTAAAAAAAATCGAAGAGCACACAAAAACGTGACTAATATTTTCTGTTGTCAAAAACCAACTACTATTCGAAATTGACTCTTAATGCAAGAAGGTGATAAGCATATGTGTTTAATTATAACAAAAACAAAATATCGATAACCGAATGTACACAGCCCGAAAAGAAAAAAAAAAATCACCTTTTCCTTTGAACGCACCTCGTATGTATCTGTGTATATAGTACAACTGTTTTTAAACCATATTCACTTACAGCTTAGCGACCCCTTTTGATTTGTGTCAACTTGTGCTTTTTTTATGAAAGCAAAAACTTTTCTCAAACCCCTCGTTTATTCTGCCTGCTTTAGAAATGCTTTAATTGCAATGCAAACGCAAAAGGAAATTATTGACATTGAAAATATTAAATATTGCATGGCATTACTCTCATTGGCAATTAAAAACTTTGTAATTTTCTGTGACTATTAAAGTTGCTGGCTCATTGGCTGGGGTACTCATAGTAATATGCGTGTACCCTGTAAGGAAGGCAAACAAAGTTAAAAACTAGTCGCTCACTGTCCCATGCTAATGTAAGCAATGTTGATGTCGAGTTATCAATGGTCAGATTTCGATCTATACTTTGTTTTGCAGTTGCTCCATTTTTAATTTGAATTTGAATTTGGTAAAGTATTTATTAAAAAAATTTTCCAACGTTCTACCAATTCTGATCTTCTGCACCAACTTTCTAATGAACTAGTATAAGTCTAGTCATTTTCTGACTATTTAATGTTGCTAAGGTGCGGTATATATCTATCAATATATTTATCTTTCTCTATATATACGTATATATTGTATATATGTGTCTAAGCATGACATTTTTCAATAGTACATTAGCATTTGTGCACTTTTCTATTAATACTTTATCTGTTTTTTGTTTGCTTATTTCCATTTAGGCCACAATCAAAGAGGGTTTCCTGTTAAAACAGATATGGTCATTTCAGCGTTGGCGTCGTCGCTATTTCCGCTTGAAACAAAATAAATTATATTACGCAAAGGATATTAAGGTACGTAAATTCACTACTTTTAAATTATTTTCTCATACAAAAACATAAGTAATAAATTCCTGTATAATAAAACTTTAATATAGAAGTAATTGAGTCAAGGTGGAACCGATGTTCTGTAACAATGCTTCAGAGCTAAATTAGCGTACACCTCAATACCTTCTATACCCTTTATCACCAATTGCTATCCTCATGAATATTTTCAGTGCTTGTGGTTTCGTAACCTTTTTAATGGTAATAATAATTATCTTGTATGTCGATTGCATATTAACATCGCCGATATAATATAAATATATATCTCTTAGTTAGTTAACTCATTGATTTAGAGAATAAATCAATAACCAAATTATTTATATTTAATTAGTACAAAGAATTCCGTATGGTCTTTAATGAAAATAAGTAACTACGCCTGCACTTGTATGATAGCTAATCGTTATTTAAGATCAAATTTCTTGGAAAAAATTGTACTAAGCTCAGCGTACTCAGAAGTACTAAGCTAGCGTAGCAAAAAAAAGAAATTTTGTAAAACAAATACATATATAGTGCGAAGTAGTGCTAGAGTTTGATTTTCAATGAGGCAATACTTTTTTGAGAGTTGGCCTTTTTGATAACCGTCGCTTGACTTATACTCAGCCATTTTATGATGAACAGACTTACGCCGGAACAACGTTTGAAAATCGTGCAAACGTGACGGTTCAACGAACAGGATCAGTAATGCGAGCAACCGATAATCGATATCGCACCACTTTTACTCTAGTGGATAATGCGCATCCTCAGAGACGTCGCATATTGCGCATCGTAGACGCTATTGAGCCGTGATAAATGACAACAATTTTTTTTGTAACTGAATTGGTGATGCTGATGTGGTCTACCTTTGGTTCCAATTAGACGGCGCTACATGCTGTACAATCAACGAAATAATAAATTAATTGAAAAAAAAATTTTGCTGAGCGCGTTATCTCGCGTCGTAGGCCGGTGGCGTGGCCTACAAGATTGTGTGGTTTAACACCGTTGAACTTTTTGTGAGATTAAGTAAAGTAGCTTATCTACGTAGATAAGCCCGAGACGATTGAGGCCTGGAATGTCAATATTCGGCACGTTATTGCTGCCATTACGTTCCAATTGCTGCAAAACGCCATCTGTGGCGCACCCTTGCCCGAAATTATTTTTAAAACATAATGAAAAATCCTTGTCTTTATAATAAAGCTAAATTCTAGGCAATAATATTGAGCTTTATGCATTTTATTATTTCTTGAAAACAACATGTCTAAAAAATACCCTCTGTATGATGCCAAGAACATCTGATAATGGAACTGAAACCTAACGTATTGACAAAATGTTTGGCAGTGCCGTCACAGAGCTATTTTTTAATCAAATTTTTTCTAAGTAGAGTAGTTTCTATTTTCTTTTACTAAGTGCAAAAAAACTAAAAAAAGGTGAATTTCCACTTTTTAATTAGTAGTAAATTTACAAAACAAAAATTGTTTGCCAATTATTCAACTTAGATTTTTATTTTAGCTAAATTTTGTCGGAAATTCGAGCCGAAGACCTAATGCTGCTGGTATTAGCCATTAATATAGGTTTTCCAATTAAATTATCTCTAGTTCTCTCTTATATTATTTTATTATCTTTACTTAGATTTTAATTTTAATTTTCTAAAACTGTTTACTTCCAGCTAAAACTAATATTTCTAGCTCAAACGTATTTGCTTGCATTTTAAACTACAATACTATTACTAATATTAAGTTTTGAATAATTAAATACATTTTTTAATTTTCTTAATATTCCGTGGTAATTAAAAGATATATACAAACATGACTTATTTATAAAAATATTTGATATAAATATATACTTTTATTTATTTAAGTGCTTTTATTAGCTTTGGTTTTGCCTTTATTGGCTTTCATTTGTACGCCCATTGTGCTCGTCCTAATGAAGTAATTAGTATTGTGCAACTAAAGAGTAGAAATAAATCATTATAATAAACTAGTATAACGTAAAATAACAGCAAATGCTCCTACAAGCATACTATGATACATTACAACTCATCACAGTCACCACGCAACTTCCTGAAATTTTCAGTGGCAGTAGCTGCATATATATATATATATATATATATGAATAGAAACAAATTGGATTATCACGCACATTTTGCGAACTTCAAAGAGATGAAATTTCCTGCCTTCACGCCTATTCCACTAAGCAATTAAGGCTAAGCGGTTGCTACTACAGAGCAGACTTTACTTGTTGTTGCTATAATTTGGCAAGCAATAGGCGTATATTAAATTTAATAATAAAATACTTTAGTGATAATAGAATAAAAAAAAAATAATCTAAAAGCTAATGTAATTTCCAAAAAGGGTGTGTAAAAGGAGAGGTCAATCCTCCTCGTGCACTAATAGCTATTTGAGAAATTCAAAGAGAACTCAAAATGGATTTATGCAGCAAATCAGCGTTAATTTGCAAGTTATCCCTCCAACACGTACTGTAATAGTAATTTGAATTTATAATAAGACGCAAATTTGTGCTGTAGTAGCCGTAAGGTAAATTTTCATTCTAAGCCTATGTATGGTATTGATTTTGGGAGCTGAGATTTTCCGCACGTGAATAAAATTAGATTAGGTTAAGTTCATATGCGTTACTATTGCTTATATGGGGCATATTTTGCTCCAACTCAGCGATTAATTAAATCTATATTGCCAAAATTTATATGGTCAAAAAGGAATAAAAATCGAATAATTTACTAAATTTTAGCGAAAATACAAAATGTTATGTACAACTTTAACTATTTAACATTAAACATCAAGATAGCATATGACAACAGTACAATATAAGCAGTAACTTTAATATCACAGATTCTCTGAATGTATGCCTGGGCGAGTAGATAGTAAAATAATTAATTTGCAATGCCTTAACAAAAGCTTTGCGATTAATTAAATACTTGTTATAATTGCATTGGAACTTTTGTTGTAGCAGGTGCTTATTTTCAAACAATGTGTAGCCATTCGCTGAATTTAAAACAGAATAAGTACATATATGAAAAAAATTTCATTTGCGATTATTTGTGCAAACTGTCGATAACAGAAATTATAATTATTCAAGTCAATATAATTTTAATAGCTTTACCTGCCTTTTTGTTCTTCCTTACAAATAGCGAAATTAATGAAGTACAGTCGAATCTTGATAATTCAGTTATATGCGAATTGCACGGTATGCGACTTATCGAATTTTCCATGTAAAGAAGTGCAAATGATATATTCCAAATGATTTTCAGATAATTAACTTTAAGTTTGAAATCAAGCCAATCAATATAAGTACATTTATTTATAAGTCTTACATATTAGAGTGAAGTTGGGTTTTAATTGCTTGGTGTTTCTTTCCCTTAATTTTATACCCTGAACAGGGTATAATAAGTTCGCAACAATGTTTTTAACACCCAGAAAGAAATAAAGGAGCCGTTATAAATTAGATTAGGATTATATACAGTATATAAAAGATAAGCATGACGAGCTGAGTCGCTGTTGCCATATCCATCTGTCCGTCTGTCTGTATAAACGTGAACTAGCTCTTCAGTTTTTGAGATATCGACCAGAAATTGTGCCTACATTCTTATCCCCTCAAAAAACAGCTCATTTATCGAAACCGCCGATATCGGACCACTATAGCATTTAGCTGCCATAAAAACTGGCCGACCAAAAATACATCCTTGTATGGAATACTTTATTAATTCACGTGATATCTTCACTAAATTTAACTCGAATTACTTTTTGAGGCAAAGATACAATATCCGTAAACATTTTTTAGACCACTATAAACATTTTCAACAAAATACCGTATGTTTGGGACATAAGTAGGTAAGTTTAAACCAAGTTTCATGAAGGAAACAAGTTTTTTCTACGAGATAAAAATAAAACACTTAAAAACTTTGTTATTTGAATTTTTCGTATAACTTTTGAGGTTATGTGAAAAGAGTTTTTATGCAAAAGTTATAAATATTTTTATTACTTACAACATTCTAACCACGCCCCTCTTCTTCCTTTTCCTGATCTCCGTTCGCTCCTAAATTGTTTTTCATTAAATGTTTGTTAATTTATGTTTCCTTTTCAATGGTTTTTAACCTACAATGAATTTCTTTGTGTTGTGTTGACATATTGCTACGCTTCCAATATATGCTATATATATATATATAATATATATTTGTTGTTTACTTTACAAAATTAAAATGCAATTGTGAAAAATATCTATAAGCATCTTTGTAGTGGCTACGGTGCCAATACTTAAGAACCACAAACCTAAAATACAATTATTATATCAAAATATTGTGAATTTGAACACAAATATAATACTTGCATTCGAGAATATGAAGGGTAAACGGCGTTATCCAGCTAGATCTGTGTTTTAAAAGTTACTCATACGCACCAGCCAATATTCGTAAACACGTCTGTTTCTCACGAACAAATAAAATTATATAGACTATGGCAAATAATTTAAAAGTAATGATACAATTTTAATAGGTAAAAAATTTGTAAAAAAAGTATAGTTTTAGCAATAAAAAATTAGTTCAACAATTTTATTCAAGCACGAAAAAAAGTTAAACTTTTAATTACGAAATTTTCGCTTATTAAATTTTATAATTCTATTAAAAAAAATAATATATTTTATACACGTTAAACTGGGCGGCCTTTTAAACGACACGTATTAAATTACTTGTTCTTCATTGGAATTCATCAAGTGTGGGCAAATGCCATGGAATGCCACAAGGCAAGAACAAATGCGCAAAAAAAGTATTCAAATGCAGAAAAAACTTGCAAATGAAAAAAAATTTCAAATTAAAAGTGAAAGTTGAGGCATAAACAAAAAAACTTAAATAGTGATGTGATGATGATGACGGCAAGCAGCAAAAACGTATGCAAAAACTCAAGGTTGTATGAATATGAATTAAGAAATGTTTTGCATTGTGTTTGTCTACCTTGCATTCTAGTCTGCATTGTTGTGTTGTGTCTGTTTGTTAGTAGGTATATAAATAAATGTAAATTATCGCCTGTGAAAGCATGTAAATATCACAAAAAATATTGTCGTTTATGGTAAGTATGAAGCATAATGCGTGTTTGGAAATAGTTTGAGCGTTTTATATACCGACCAGAGTTACATATTGTGTTATATGCTTTAATATTAAATTACACTACATTGGGAGCATGTGTAGATTTTTATGAGAAGACATAACAATAACATACCAATAAGCAGTCTCTACGCGGCGTATACGTAACTAAAATTGTAATGAATTGTCCTCCAACACAAATGAATGCTAAAATAGTTTTTTAAATAAATTTTAATATTTTAGTATTTAGCGTTAATAATAAAACGTTACGAAACCCTTTAAAAATGTGTTTTAAAATAACTGTTAAATTTATAAGACTGTTAAGTTATTTAACCAATATATAAACTTAGCAATTCGACACAACATTACAAAAACCTTAGATACCTGTGTCATATGTTTTTCTTTACTTACAATGGTTTTGTGCCCTTTTGCTAATCGAAATGTGTAAGCAGGCCACATGTCCGAGATATGTGAATTTAAATATATACCATACCTACACCAAAAAAAAGAATTCACAAAATATTTTTAAAGCTCATATTATTATGAGGTTGATATTATTGGATATTAAGGCTTTTGAGTCTTGTCTTTTGCATCTGTATTTCCCCGAATAGTACAGTTAAAGCCATACTAATGAAACAAGCCCACCAAATTTCACTGCAAGCACTTGTGGTGAAATATGGGAAATATCTTCAACAACAACGACTAGAAATGTCAATGGCAACACATGTGTTTATTATGATATTAATTTCTATATTTCCTAGATACTTTGTAAACAAACAGCTGTTTGATATCTAAAAGCATATATGTGTGTAAGTATATTTTACTATAGGCAAGCAAGTTGTGGTATTCATGGACAATTGATGAGCGCTACGTGCCGCAATAAAAATTATGATATTTTATACGCACCCACCAATGTGTGCTGCATATAATGTTTCATTTCTTCTAGTTATAAAATGTAGATATATATATATATATATATATATATATGCATATACTCGTATATATTAAACAATATATGCACATCAAAGTAAAACAAACAAACTCTTCGAACATAACCTTATTTGAATCAAGGTGAATTTACCGTTAATTATTAATAGAGCGACACATACAAATAAAATGTAATATCTGTCACCTGTTTAATCCATACAAAGTCCTAAATTACTATTATTGACTACGAATACGTAAAGTTGCCTCAGTTGACATGAATTGAACGATCACGGACATCGGTGCTTAAACTAAACACTTAGCGGCTGTAGTTGTGGTAATAAATGCGTGTTACCCTTTTACGATGCTCTCATGCGGCGCTTCATATTTTTAACAAATTTCGAAGATTGATGCGAGCGCATATGTATGTGGAGTGCGTACCATAATTTTTTGAATTCCTGCGAACTGACACGTAACCCAACAAATATTATATGACTGACATACGTCCATACACACCGACGACCGTTGACTATTTGGCACATGTGCAGCATTCAAATGTTTCTTAGGCCAATCCACACACATACATAGCAGCATGTTCATTGTGCTTTAATAGTCACCTCATTTTTCGTCTACTTCGTTTTTATACTGACAAGGAAAAAAGGCGGAAACGTGCATATTATATAGCTGGCAGCGTTTATTTTATATAAAATATGTCTAAACATTTATCTATGTATATGTTATATATATGTATATGGGAAATATATATGTGTGTGTATGTATGCAGATGAATACCTTCAAAATGTTTATATCTCAGCCTTGTGTTTAAGTGTATTTATCAAAGTGTATGTGTACATTTCTGCATTGCCCACCAGCACAGACACCAGTACTATTGCACACATACACATTACGGCATCGCAAATCCTGTTGTAAGAAGCTATGGTTGGATATCCTAAACTTCAACTGCAATTCACTGTTTCTATGGGACCGTTGTTAGGCATTTCTTTACAGGATCCAGTTCAGGCAATATTAGCTTGGACTCATGTGCAAAATATCTTCTAGTGTCACCTGTTTTTCTATATAAGTCGCTATCTCTGTTCTCTCTATTTCGAATTTCGAACAATTGATGAAAACATGCTGTGCGCTTTCGCTGGCGTTACTACAGAAAGAACAAATTGTGCCGTTATCGTGACCGTATTTAAAGAGATATTCCCTGAAGCATCGGGGTCCGGTGAACTTTCTCTCCATCCAGGCTTGCACATTTCCTATTAGTTTTTACGTCCAACTTCCTTTTTCTGCGATGTCCCAGCACTTCTGCTACTCATACATACTTTTCTGCCTTCTTCGATTCGCTCTTCTGTTGTGAGATGTCTTCCAATGCCTCCACAACAGTGGACCGAGCCCTACGGTACTCCACCCGTCTTCCCGTACCCTTTTGGTCCCTCGTCAGTTTCTTTTAGTTCGAACAGTATTTCACCTTTGGCCGTCTTCCTAGCACGTGAACCGCTTTCTTCTAGTTTCTGCAGTTTTTCCTCTTTTCTAATTCTTATTAAGATGTATCTGTAGGGCATGTCACCAGAGCGCGCTATAACTATAGCATCGGGACGTGCTGGTGGTTAACGTGCAGTTTACTTATTTTTTTTTTTTTTGGATTGCGCTTGACGCTTACTTACCTCTTCTCTGCATTTATCCGGTCTATTTACCTCTGTCTTCTTACTCAGGTTGACTATTTAATTTCCAGGTGCCTCTTCATGTGCCGCTTTATTTCTCTTCCACTACTTTGGCTTGGCGTGGTGACGACCTTGCGTGTACCGGTTAATTTAGGGTGAGCGTCTGGTTAGGCGACCGTGCTAGCCTTGATGCGCGCTTGAAAGCATCTATGTCCGCACTTGGAGTTTCCACAGCTAAGTCTATCTTTGCGGCAGCGTTTTCAGCGTGACTACTCATTACGTCTCCATAAGTGTTGCTTCTATTAAATGTGTTGTTTGTGTTTTTTCTCGACTTATATTCCATGAACTTCTGGGGGTGGGGACTAAATAGATCGGAACAGGCATACCTTGGGGACCCTTACCCCAGTTCCCTGAGGCCAGAAAAACACGAACGGACCGACGCTCACCCGAGGCAACATAGGCTACTACTGCTATGTCCAATGCAAACTTCCTGCCTAAGGAGCGAAGTGGCTGTTTACTGGTACTGATGGCTGGAGAGTAGTGACTTTCTGTACAATATAGCATGCCATACAAACGGACTGAACAAAATCAAGTTTTTGTAAGGAAGCTTCTTTATATGTGAAGGATCAAATTTTTTTTGTTTTTAGGCTAGAAAACTATCGCTATTGTGCCTTCGTAACCAGCAGCAGTTTTACTCAGATAGTTGTAAATTTCCTATTAATTTCTCACTACATGATATATTCCATTGAAGTATATGGTTGAAACGATATGTTCACCTACTTTTGTATGCCCGTGAATATAATATATACTAAATGTGTGTATATAAACGTATGCATATGCAAACAAATGACCACATTACACGCACACACATACACGTATAGTACACTAAATGTAAATCGGTACTTTGCCCTCGAAAAAAGCTCGATATGTCAGTGTGGTGGGGCAAAATTACAAAAAGGATTCGCCCAGTTGATGTTGTGATTTTTGTTATTATTTTTGTAAGCAGTACTTCACATCTGTCTCTTCTTCCTTTCACTATCTGGCTGATGTGTATATATATGTAGTAGTTGTTGTAATTTACGCACGCTTATATTGTAGATGTTTCGAATTCACCACACTACAAAGAATAAACATAAAGCAACGGAAATCGCAACGCTGTGGTAAGTGCATAACAGTTTTGACGTCATGCTTACGCTCGGAGAGCGATAAAAGTACAAAAGCTTTGCGAGCGAAATATGTGCTTCGGCTATTGTGTAGATGTTTGGGAATACTCGGAAGAAAAAGATAGTAACAGATATTAAACTGTAGTCGGAATAAACACTTTTAAAAATACTTGGCAATATTTTCATGCTTCCAATTTATTTTAATACTGATTTTTTGGACGAATATTTTGATGACTCATATCCAGCTCCAGAACTGGAAACATTATTTCAATATTTTTCAAAATTTTTAATACCACCTAAAACTAGCGGTCACACTTTTTTCCACAAATAAAGGCAATCCTATTGTACTCTAACAGCTGTATAAAAAAAGCTTGAAATAGCTTTTGGGATAGCAGCTCTTGAAAGTATAAAATTATTTATAATTATTCATTAAAAAACTCTTGTTTTTTACGTTGCACCGAAGCTATAATACCGTTCAAAAATACGGAAGATTCCTTACAAGAATTCGATTCTGATTGTTCAGTTCGTATGACAGCTATATGCTATTGCTATAGATATTCCGATCGAAACACTTTCTACGGAGATTGCATTATTACCTTAAACAATAACTCCGAATGATCCAATCAGAACAATTTCGGCGGAGATTACATCACTGCCACTGGCAATAAGTGATGCCAAATTTCTTGAAGATATCTCTTTAAATCAAAAAACTTGTGCCAAAGGAGCCGATACCGGCGATTCCGACAAAGAGAGCAGCTTTTTGTAGAGAAAAGAATGTGTGCAAATTTTCATTTAAATCAAATCATTTAGATATATATTTTGTTATAAAGTGTTTAGGCTCAATTTAATAGAATTTATGTAATATCGTCCACCTTCCTATAAATAACTTTTATAAATAACACAAATTCAATAATGGCACTAAATTTTAAAGTATATAGAAATAAATTTTCATCACTTTACATTCTTGGTTTCATTTACTATAACTATAGCACCTTACTGTATATACTTGTATAATATTACGGCAGTGCGCTTCAAGAGAACCTTGCTCTCAGCATCTTTAAGCACATGCTTATATTATACGCTCTCATTAAATAAACATGTGCTCTGTACACGTCATTATATCCTGTTACACCTGGGCATAGCAGCGGATCGATGTAAACATAATTAGTGTAAAATACAAACGAACGGATAAGTGTAGCTGCTGTACACGTGCTCAAAGACGCTTGTGTGCCCGTACTTTTGCCGCCACTGCCAATCGGTCAGATGCAAGAGCTTTACACAACATAGAGAGTGTGGTGAATTTCATATACGCGCCTATAAATACGCGAACGCAGCATGGCAGGCGCTCAGTTCAAATTCACATCCTGTACCTATAACTTGACAAATAGAAGAAAATATACAAAACAAAGGAAATAAATATAAAATATTGTATCTTTTGAAATATATATGTAAAAATACAAATGTATTTATGTAATACAAGCAAATCTATATGCATAATTTAAGACTTAAAATAAATCAACAAAAAAGAAAGACGTTAATAAATTGTAAAAATTTTTAGTGTTAAACTAATAACTAATTGTGGCACTTTTTAAAATCTCTCTATGTATATATATATATAAATATGTTGCTAATGTATATGTAATGTATGACTTGTGTGTTTAAGTAATGTATATCTTTAAATCATAAAAATTACCAAAAGCATTTTGACATACAACTCTTAACATCGCTGAAAGTGTAGCCTACATATAGGCATTTAACCATAAAGTGACTAAAAGTGCTGCTATAAATTTGATTAGAATTTTGTTAATTTGTCTTGGCGCGTTTATGTGTGCGTGTGCATACGCGCGTATCCGTAACAGCAGTGTGCACTAATGGATCCAAGATAATGTGTACAGCGCGCCGCCTTGGGACATTGTAAGATGAAGCAAATAGGAGAAAACATCAGTACCGACGACATTTCAAACAACATCTAAGTAAATGCAAATATACAAACATAAATAGAAAGTGAAAGTGTGGCAAAGCTGCAAACCGTGCTTAACATATACAAACAAATAAAGCCAACAAACATACAAACATACTTCTTCTCATTAAGTGGAAATATAACAAATCCTGAGCGGAAAAAAAGTCAGCGCTACACACCTAATGGTAATCCAAATAAAGATATATTGTTGCGAGAAGAAAAATGTTAGTCAATTAAGTGGACTTTTAAGGTAAGCAGCAGATTTACGTTTTCTTTTCTCTTTGCGCTTTCAAACACCTGTACTTGTATGCAATTGTACATATATTAAATATGGCTAGGAACGGCAAGGAAATTATTTAAATCTTCCATATATTATGTAAAATGGCGCACAGTGTACGCACACGTATAACTCTCTCATAATTATAATTTAACATGGCCTAAAAATTTTGAAGTTTTTAAGTTTGTCAGTAAAGTTTTAAATTGAATATTTTAACTTGTATTTGCTACCCTAATACTTAACTACTTATGTAGCTGCCAACTTAGATATCACTAAAGCTTTAATGAAAAGCAACATTTTATGTACTCAATTAGCACTGTTAATCATAAGCAGCTTCCGAAATAAAGTTATTCAGTGAACCGCCTTCTTCTGTAAAATGAAATTTCGGATTAAACAAAATTTTAAACATGAAATAGGTTTTTATTTGACAAATTATCTTCACGAAATTTGGCATCGCTTATTAACCAAAGCATCGCTATAATCTCCGATATATTGTGAAGATTAGACTACTATAGCATATAGCTACCATACAACTGAAAGATAAAATTCAAGATAAACAATTTTTATACACTTTTATGCTATAAAAGATAGAGAATTGTGCCCCAAATAATACGAGCTTTTTGCAAGTATTAATTTGGTTACCAGTGGCCAGTGTGTAGGGGCACACTGACCATCTTGGTAAGATTCGAGGGCGACCTAAAACCTCTTCCGTTTTCGGGTACGGAACCCAGTTGCTTGTGCAACTTCTTTTTCCAACTGAAATTCAGTTCTTCCAGCATTTAGGTTTAAACCACAGCCACCACGATACTCCCCAAAGGGCCGAACCCAATGAGCAGATTGAACCGAAGTCCAAGGGCATTCTGCTCCCCGTGGTACTAGAGTTGAGTCTCCGGTCAGACTGTGTAGCTGAAGCTACTGCCAGTTGAGCTCCGCCTTACTCAATGACTGGTGACATTTGTCGCTTGAACTTCAAATGTCTTTTTATTTTGAATCTCATTTAAAGTCTATAATATCAGTTCAAGCTGAGTATTATAGCACTATTTCTGACATCATTTGCTATGCTGATAATTCTGGGAAAAATAAATTAACAGTTATAGTGCATTTGGCTTTTAGTCGCCTTTTACGACAGGCATGCCTTACCGCGGGTAAATTCTTACCCCTATCCGCAGGGGGAATAACGTTGGTGCAGCCGAAATTAACGTTTTTTTCTTGTTTAGTATTTATTAAATTATTTCCATACACATAATCAAACGCTGAATAATTTTCATGATCAGCCGCTGTTAAGAACTACTTTGTAAGTCTCTTATCGAGTGTGTATAGCAAACATTTGATAAAAGACTTACGAAGTAATCATTTTGTCTATTTAAAGGATGTTTTAAGGCAAAGCAGAAAGCACACTTTGTTTAAAAGGATAATTCAACATTTTTTTTCGCATTTTCACTTGCTTAAATTGCAAGAAAAACTCGTAAGGTACAAATCGTGAAGTCAAGAAGCAAGCTGAGCATTATAAAACCCTACTAGTACTACTATTAAGTTTTTTTATGTGACTTGCGTTGCTGTCGCCAATTCATTGTTAATACTATTGTAATAAACCGATTAAAGTCTTTACTCACTTAATTTAACAGCGTTTATCATAGATTTCACATTTGGCAGCAACGTCATTTTATGGACAAAACAGTTGCGTGCTTTTAAATCTACTTGAAAATCAATTGAAAATTTCTGGCACGTAGGCACATTTAGAGACAAGTCCGACGGCAACTGGCAGATTATAATGACGTGAGAATAGGTATCTTAATGGGAAAACACATTAAGGAATGTATAGAACATTACATATTTATAGGAGTTACAGTTGTGCCTTAGGAATATCTCTATTAAAGAAGGTAATGAAATTTTTAGACTGTGATGGTATTACAACAATTTTTTTTTTTGGGAAATCCTGGTTAGGAATGAAATTCATATAATAAAGTAATATATATATAAAGCTATATGCTATATTAATCCAATCGGAACAATTTCTTCGGCGTTTGTAGCAATGCCTTGTACAATAATTTACGATAAATAGACGCCTAGTAAAAAAATGTTTTCCATACGAGGAATTGCTATAGGTATCCGGTATCGGAAATCAAATAAGAAGACTCCTGATGAGAAAACAACGCGAACAATATTTCAGTGCGATATCTCAAAAATCGAGGGACTAGTTTGCGTATATACAGACGGGCATTGCTAAATTCACTCAGTTCGTTATGCTGATCATTTAGTTATTAAGGTACTTTATAGGGTCTCCGACGTTCTTTTTGTAAAGAAGGTTTGCTGGGTGTTACAAATATCTTGGCAAACTTAATATACCTTGTTCAGGGCGCTTGACGGAGTTCTTCATTGCGAACGTTTGGCTTATCGTCAATCAAAGAATATGGGGGATTTTTTCAAAGGATATTTCGATACAGCTTAGATTTTTTAAAAAATAGCGTATATTTGAATTAATTTTTTCATTTTTGTGTGAAATTGTCGCTATGAATTGTTAGAAAATATGTTAATATTTTATAAAACTTATTCCTGCATTCAATACCTGAGGAATATATGCAAGAAGGTTGCGTAAAAATTTCAAATCGAACCATTTAGACATTTCTGGAAGTCATGCCGGACTTTTGAACCGTTTTGCGAAAAACGCGTCTCTTGTTTCAAGTTTGCTTTCTAACACTTTTATATGTATTTTCAAATTCAGTTTGCACTCGTATAATTTTATATTTACCTAATTTAAATTACCCTTCTTTTTACACATACATTCACCAATGTAATATTTATTTAGATTTCAATTTTGCTTACTTTCAAATAATTCAAATTACCTTACCCTTTAAACACCCACTTCAGCACCACCTTCAGCACGTCAAGGCCTAAAACTGACAACTAAAATTGTTACAAAGTCAGAAGCAACTATAGAAGTTAGTTGCCAGCGCAGGTACAACACACCACACATATATGCATACATCTGGCATTATGTGTGGCTCATAAGGCCCATGCCATGGGGATTAATAGTTATGTAAACATTTAACATTGTTGGCAAATTGCATATGCAATGTGAGTCATCCATATCCAATAGGATAAGTGACGTTAAAGCCTTATAGTATATGCGAGTTGATGTGAAAGGGATTCAATGCGGCTAAGTTTAGTTACGCAAACTGAAATCTTACTCATTTAACCTTTTGTGTGTAAATTTTAGAATATATGTAAGCGAATGTACAAGTATATATATATGTATATGTAAAACATCATGTCTTATTCAGACTTGATTTCATGGACAAGCGTAAGGCAAACAAGTTGCAAAGCTTTGCAATAAAAACGAAAAGCTTTAATAAGTGTTGTTTAAGTTTTTTATTGATGTTGTGCTGGTGTATGTATTTACTTAGGTTTAAACTACGTGACCGTGATAAACATTTCGCCAAGGTGAGTACGAATATTTTGTATAATACTTTTTGGTTTTGTATATATCTATATACGTTTTTGTAAAGAAGGCTCTTCGCTTTCAATGGAAAAATTATTTGATTTCATTTGTATCTCATACATGTTATATGTTTTTTTTTTTGCTTTATCTAATAAATTTCTTGAATGGTATCTATTCGTGTTAAGAATTTAAATTACTTGTTTCTGCTATATTAAAATTATGTTTTTTAAGACACAAATGACGTTGTTTCGAAATTTTGCTCATCAAGCATTGTCTCCTACTCCACATGATAGTTCCTTACCACGTTTGGCCGTCGTTCGGCAGAAAGATTGATTTGTCGACAATTTTAATTAGAGGTTTGTTTCAAAATATGTTTATAATATTTTCAACTGGTGAGTGAAAACCAGTAAAAGACATGTGTATATCTAAGAGAGAAACCATTTTATAAAGCATTTTGTATATGAATGTTGGTTTTTCTAAAATCGCTCAACTTTATCATATTGCACAATAGATACATATTTCAAATTTATTTATTTCTAATTTAAATATTTTATTTTTAATTTTTTTTTTCAAATATTTCTTATCGAAGAGAAAGCACCTACATATGTAGTCTATGAAATGTTGTTGATGTTGTGAAGAGATTTTGTCAAATAAAAAAGTTTGCATACAAAGATTTGATATTGAGCGGTCAGTTTGTATGGAAGTTATAGGCTATGATGGTCCGATATCGGCGTTTACGAACAATTTTCAGTTTCTAGCCGAGAAAATTACGTGTGGGCAATTTTAGATCGATATCTCAAGAACTGAGAGAATAATTCGCATACATACAGGCAGATGGACATGACTAAGTCGACTCAGCTCATAACGCTGAAATTTATATATACATAAACATACATATACTTGATAGATAGACAGATATATGACAAACTTCGTCGCAAACGGAATATATACTCTTCTGGGTGTAATTATAAACACAACCCAAATAAATGTGTATTCTCAATGCACTACTCTCACTTCTTTCTCGAATAACACCTATTCGCTTGATGCAAATAAGAATACAAGCTACTTTATTCATTTCTATGCGTTAGGGCTTTATATTAATATAAATATTACTATTGTCTTTTGTGGCTTTATTCTTATACAATATTTAAGCATATTAAAAAAGTTTTAGCATCAATATATTGATCACATGTTCCATCAGTATGGCTTAATATGTACTCCAGCTGTCTCAAACGCCTTCTACCTAATATATTGTTATTGTATGGTATATATTTTTCGTGTGCGCTTATTAAAATATTCGTTGTATTGTTCTCAATTATTGTCGCACAGCATCATCAGCTCAATACTATTTAATATGGGTACAACAGCATTAAAACTAATGTACTCTTTGTAATCAGTCTTTATCCCATTAATTAAGCAGTAACTGTAGTTGTGGTGAACTTATACATATTTAGAGCCCAATCAAAATGGTTGCTGCAAGAAAACTTCCGGTGATTTGTATGATGAGAAAACGTTTTTTCGATTACCACCATCG